TCCAAATGGCTTAAATATAGACTTTGATCTTTGTAATTATATTTAAAAATCCTTAAGAATGTTTTTGTTTTATTTTCATAGACTTTTAGGAATTATATATACTTAAAAAAAAAAAAAAGTTTTACCTATATATATTTTTATAGATTATATATATGTTTTATTTAATATTCATCAGGAAATATCCTCTCTAATAATGATTCTCCTTAAAATGAATGACCTATATACTTATAACCTTTCTCTTACACTGTTCTATTATCTGTTTTTATTCTATGCACTATTGCCTTTATCTAATATGGAGTATGAACCTTTGGAATATAACCACCTATTATGGGAAGTATGCTCCATGTAAAAATAAGATCACTTTGAACTAAGAAAGGGACTGAACACGAGTGTGGAACGCATCTTTCCGAAAAATTTAAATGCGCGAGTGCAAGTGAAATGGAATGCACGCATGTACAAAGATGGCTGCAGGAACGGGAAGTGATGCTAGGTACCCTCGCGAGCCTCAGTAGGATGGCCGCGAGGGTTCAAAATACAGTTCCAACAATTTAGAAGTATGGAGGTGGAGCTTAGCACCGAAAATGGTGTGAAAATACAATTTAAAAGCAGGACCTCCATACAGCAATCCATGGCACCTGATGAAGACACAGGACAAGTGTTGAAACGTGTTGTGCTTGCTGTACATCTGTGAATACCAATTACCTTAATGTAAGTTTTTTACATTTGTTTGAAATAAATGTTATTTACTTTAAACTTAACTGGTTTTGCATTTCCTGTGTTTCATCACTGAGGACCAAGTTATTCCTAATACTCCAGTGGAAGCTCCAATATCACACCAAAGCTGAATTACCTGAGCCAGTTATAAAGACAGGCTCAGAAAAATATGAGTGTGATAACTATTGGATTTATACTGTGATTTCTTTATATATTACAAATACCATATTGCCCTTTAAGAGTGTTTGTTTTATCCCTGCAGTGATACCTACCACAGAATACTGAGTATAAACACTTTTTCATATATACACCTTTGGGCTACTGTGATGCACTTAATGGATAAGGATATGGTCTTCTAATATATTCCATATTGATCTATGCGCTGTACACTATTCTGTATTGTTTGCTTTTAACTATTGCTGGGGTCCACGTGATTTATCCCACAGTGTATTTCAGCTGCAATTTTAGTTATCAGCACCATTTTATTACACATCTATATAATAGATAGAAGTAGATGCTGGAAGTTTGGGATCAATAAAGAGCCCATTGATGATAAAAAAGTCCATTTAATGCCTGTTAACTCACACCTTAAATGTATGTAAATTCACTTTAGGTCACAGTGATTTCAGCCTCCGCCATGGGAAAAATAAAACCAGCAACTCAGGACATTGGTCCCCACTCAAAGTAGGTGTTCCAAGCCTCCAGTCCATTGTAATATTTACGTAAATTGTGCTGACATATAATAGTACAGGTTTGGGAAAGCTGTGAATATCCTTCTTTTCTGGTGATATTAAGAAGGACAGGTTGGAGATTTTCAGTATCAGGTTTCACTATTAGAAAAAGGAGTATTCTGAGCAGATATTAAACCTTTGAAAGTATAGTCATCTTTGGAATAAAGACATGGCCTGCTAATGGGGTATGGCATCCAATCTAATAAATATTTGTGCTTACCTGTTTTATGACTGAAGGATAATTAACGTCATACATTGTGTTTCTTACTTCAGATATCTAATCAAGGCTGGTTTCCACCTGAACTCAAATTATCACAAATGAACATGCAAAGGTAATGACATGCTGAAGACATCTTACTTTGATGTATTCAGCTTATATTCAGAAATCTTTATGTACCTAAAATACGATTTGGAAGAGCAATTATAGGATTGTTGTTGTCAGCAAAATGTCATCCGCTAAAGAACTGGCTTTGTAGACAGTGTTACTTAATAAAACAGCTGTAACATCTAGAACCTCTCTAATAAACTGAGCCTCCCTCTCTGTTTTCAGCTAGCATTACATTGCAGGGCTTAGCTCAGACGAATTAATAGGATGTCTGTGCTGGAGCTTCTCTCTCTCCTTGAGGCTGTGACTGGTGCCAGGCGGACTCCAGGTACGTTGAGAAACCATTATCAAACTATAGCGCACTGTAGAATTCCTTTAAAGAAATATATATCTAGGAGGTGACAAGAAAGGTTGTCTACTAGAAGAAAACATAACCAAGAACTAGTCAGTGCTAATGCATAGTAATCTTGGCACATGGTACTCAATCTTGTCTGACAATAGATATGGTTCCCATTTAGATTGCCATCCATAGCATATCATTAGAAAAGCTATAAGCTTGATACCAAGAACATAAACAACCAAAAATAGAACCAAATATTTAAATTCCACCTAGCTGACCTTGAGCCATCATCTCTAATCTCCAGGGAATATTACCTGAAACACTGTCATGAAACCAGTTAAAAATGACATTCACAAGCAAATAAGTAATTTGTGGTTATACATGTGTAAATAGCTTTGGTATAATGTGGTTTCTGAATATTTTTACAGTATAGGTGACTGTATAATGTGTGGATATGATTAGAGCACTAACGCTTCATGTGAGCAGCTGTTACTTTGATGCCTGAAGTCAAAGGTATGTGCTACAAACTGTCTGTCAATCAGGTACTGGGAGCATTAACACATTCCCTCTGTGACAGACATGTGGCTACTCTCTCTGTGATTGGCATTCTGGTACACAGTTGTTGTGTATGGACTTTTACACCTCCTCTCCATTCTCTGTGTCACATTTTCTCCCTTCTATCCTTATGTCATCATTAAACCAACCTCTCACATCTCCACATCACCTTATATTTCTAAGTATCTGCCAGGATCCTATCCTGACAACCGATATATTGTTTTATTACTGCAATACCCGTTTCTAGTCACTAGTCACCTCAGTCACTCTCACCTGCATAGCATGATAATCCAAATTTGCTACAAAAGGCTACACCCAACTCATCGCGTGCCCTTTACATGGTGTTACATTGTGTTCTGAACCTGACAAGTCTTCTGCTCCTGGCTCTTTCTAAAAAAAAACCTGTTCCACCCTTACTTACCTTCAACGATCCTGATTTATTCCAACCTTATCTCCAAAACAAACCAACTTTATTTCTTTACTGGACTTTGTTTTCATATTGATGTGGTTCCAACCTACCTGGATATTACAGACTTTCTTATTATTTACAAGTTTCCTCAAAGACCCTGAAACTGCAGTTCTGATTATAAACCAAAGAGGCTGATCACCTCAATTGCTACTTTAACCTGTTTTACATTATCCTTTATGTTCCTGTTCAGTTTTATTTGATTATATACCTGTTACCCGATAACCCGCTTAGAGCCTAAATATTGCCTAAACCTTCTCTTCTGTTCCTTCTATTAACTCAAACCTATAATTTCTCTTATAGGCTTTCCTGTTTCTTTATATTCTGTTCTGGGGCATATTGCCTAAATCCTGTTTTCCCTCAAGATTCGTACCTATAATTTATCTTCTTTCTCCTACCTATCACTTATTTTATAGGTGTACCTATTTTCATCTTTGGGCTTATTGTCTAAACACTTTTATTTCATAGCCTAGTTATTCATACCAGTAATCTCAATTATTTGGTTCTGGGTTTTCTCTCTCTCTCTCAATGGGATGCAGCATGGAACTCTATCATGTCAAAACATTCTGTCTGGAAGTCTCTAACAGACTGTATGGAGGTAAGGTAACAAAGAACAATTTGTTTGATATAACCTTTTGATCACTCAAGCAGGATCTCTTTACACCATGTTTCACACCAGCCTAGGTATAGGGCTACTGGATTCAGTGAATCACCAATAGTCTTGCCAGTTTGCCTTATTTTATTGTCAAGAAGTCTGTAAACTTGCAAGTCTTGTATATAAACTGAAAACTAGCTTAGTTATAATGGAAGTACATATTCTGTCATTTCCTATGGAGATATATAAAGGGTGGTCAGAGAGAATTGTGTAACTTATTAGCTATTCAGTGATTAAAACTCTCATTGTAATGCAGTGAAATTATTTTCAATGGATAAGTTATTAAGATATGTTATAATGTCCTTTAAATCCTACCATTATCAATAACATTATTCAGAAAATATAGGTTCCCTTCATGTGACTTCACAACTCTAACCCCTCTAATATTTCTTCACTGATTCATAGGTATGCCTCCTCTCGGTCTCTCCGCGCTACTGGTGACCTTCTACTGTCTGTTGCTCGCACCCTTACTACTAATTCACGCCTGCAAGACTTTTCATGGGTGGCTCCTTTCCTTTGGAAAGCCTGCCTACCCCTGTCAGACTATCCTCTAGTCTTCAATCCTTTTTAGAACTCCCTCAAAACCCATATTTTCAGGAATGCTTATGGCCTCTAAGAGTAACTTCTATCTCTCAAACCTTCCTCTCACCTCCAGTTCTGCTACTTTCCCACCATGTCTATTTGCTTTCCCTCTCTCAATACCCTTCCTATTGTGTTTTTATACCCCTCCTCATCTAGACTATAAGCTCATTTGAGGAAGGTCCTCAACTACCTATTGTTCCTGTTACATTTTGTTATTGTCTCATTTGGTAAATTCCCCTTTTATTGTAACGTGCTGCAGAATAAGCTTGCACTATATAAATACCAATAATATTAATAATAATAAAAATAACCCATTGGAGCAAAAGCTGTTGTGAACCAAATTGTACTTATACATGGTTTTGTAGCAAATTAATATATACCATGTTGTTTATCACTGAAGACTGTGATATCATTTCAGCAAAGTAATTTAGTACTTGATTTAACTTTTGCTGTAAAAAAAACAAAAACAAAGTTAATTATGTATTTTTTTACTCCTGCACAATAAAAATAAATAAATAAAAATAATAAAGAAACTTATATTTTCTTTGGTGAACAAGTTGTACATAATGTCTTGTTTTATGTTTATTTATATTGCAAAAGAATAAACTAAAATTGTAAATACAAAAGATATTGGGGATTTTATTGATGACCGTTCCAATTTTTAAATACATATTTGAAGCCCTCATTACACATTGGGGATCGTCAGAAGAAGGCATCCACTTTTGCTACAGTTCTGGTTTGTAAGAAGTTGAAGCTTCATCCATGCGTGCAGCAGTATGCAAAGGAAATTGTAGTTCCCAGTGGCAATATCCAGCGCAGATATACTTTTCAAGAAACTTCGGTTTAAGTGCAATTACCCCCTCCTGATCAAAGGGATTGCTCCAACATTTTAATGTGGCTTAAAAAAAAATCAGATTGTCTATGAAAAACCATGGATAGAAAACAGATACATGTAGGGGGTTGTGGCTACAGTAATTGAGTCTTTCTTGGTGTCCCCACATTCATATAGTATACGTTAACTTAAATTAGCTTAATTTTAAGTTCATTATATCATCTCATCAGACCTATAACAAATTCACATTGGTCAATACCACATATAGAAAGTTCAGAACTTGTTTTTTTTAATGTTGATGTTCTCTAACAATTTAACAGTTCGATGTAGCAACGTAGACACAATTTTCAATTACTTGTCACGACAATATTGACCTCAATTCGATAGAAAATACAACACAATAGGTCCGACCACAACTAAGTGCTTGTTAGAGATGTGAAAACATTTTACTAGAATTTCCATATGAAGAAAAATATAAATTTTGTAGTTTTTCAAAATATGGAATTTTAAATATTTTTTTTAAAAAAAATCTAAAAATAAAACTGAAACATTAAAAATTTGAATGCCAGAGGGGCACAATGCACACCTTTTAAAGGCTTCCAATGTGTAAAGTATGAAAATCAATAGTTACATAGTTTAATTAGCCTTGTGCCAAATTTAACTTAACCATTATCTGTATTTTAAAATAATTTTAAAAAGTTTTGAAAAGCAAAAATTTAAAGATATTCACACATCCCTAATTCTTTAAACCATTTATACTTAGCCTCTCACAGGTTAAGGAGATATCTTCTCGTTGTACATTTGAAAAAAAAAAACATGTTTAATATTACAATATGCTAGATATAATATATTTTTTATCCAGTAAAAAATATTTAATAATTACAAGTTAAAAATAAACAGTTAAATAGCTGACAGTGTTTTTCTTTACAGTGATATGGTAACAATACAAGACGAGTGCCAAAATAAACCATTTCAGAGCTCAAGAATGGTATAAGTTGTCATATCACTGTTTTAATAAAAACAACATTATGAAAAAGACATACTGCAAAACAGTTTTTAACTAACACGGGCATCAATTTAATTCTTTTGAATAAGCTTTTCAAATGATTGCAATTTGTTCGAATTGTTTTCAATTTTTCAAATGATTTATCTTGAAAAATGTAATGGACTTTAACAATGACTTCTGAAGATAAGTTATTTGAAAAGTTTTTCTAAAAGATTGCGATTGTTTGAAAACCTTATCTAGTAGAATTGAAAACCAAGGCCACAGTCTTTCAGTATCTTTTTTTTCTTTTTCATAAGCATCCTTTTATATACATGACAAGCGATTTCGTGAAGATGGTGATGATAAATGTAAAATTGCTAAACCCAAGCAACTCTGAAATATTTCATAAACCATTCAGGTCTGAACTCAACTTTAAGAGCTCAGCATAACTTAAACATTTTTGGCAACAGCTTTAGTAAACAACAAAATAAAGGGAGACATTAGAGTACTGGAACTTGAGTGTATATTGCCATATCATCCTGTTTTAGGTTCATTTTTTTCCCCTTATTTCTTATTCGTGGTTGACACATAATATGGTGTAAATTTAGAGGGCACATATTAACCACCTCAATGCCAGAAGAGTGGGTGCAGTTCTTTATAACCCCTTGTGTCCAGGGATGCTTGCAACAGATTTAAAAAGTGATTTTCTATAATTTTTTATATTATAATTCTATAAGAAACACAAAAAAAAATGTGAAATGGCGCTTAAAAAATTAAAATAAAACAAAAACAAGTAGCTGCAAAAACTTCTTAAAAACTATGATTTTTTTTTTACACAATAGTAACAATATTAACCAACAGGCAATAGGGGTGCGCTTGTAATACGTATCGTTAAGATTCAGGATACTAATAAGTGAAAGAAAAATACAATACACCATATAGTGCAAATCAGATGTGATAACTATCATATAAAGCCATATAAAATGTCTCTAATATGCATATTTAATATAAATAAATATATTGAACTCAATGACACAAAAACTGTATCTTTAAGAAGTGCAATCAAAAACAGTATGATGCAGTGAAAACGTAAATTACAGATGTAGCTAAGAGACATCTAAATAAAATATCAATAGATAAAAACAGAAAAAAATCAGCACATGTACAATACTGATATAGTATAAAGGCGGCTCAATCACTTAAAATGGAGTCTCTTTTGTCTTGGGGGTAGGATAAAACAAGAACAGTATAACAGTACACATAACATATTTCTCCTTGAAAAACACTTTTGATAAAGCCTGTTCAAGGAGAAACATGTTAAGTGTACTGTTACACTGTTCTATATAACTATTTTACCTATTATCTTTGATTTTATTGTTGTTTTTTTTTTAAATAAAAGTACATTTTATCAGACCTGATTTTCTGCTGTTGTATCCTTAGCTACATATTCTTGGTGGGGATAAAGTCTCCTAAGTCAGCTGGACTGAGCAAACCTAATTTTGCTTTGAAACACGTGAGTAGGTTTTTATTACTTTTAATGTGCTTTACACTCTAATTTTATGGTACACACAATTGTGTTTTTTATTTCTCTTTTATATATTCATGGAGGAAACACATTACTTCTGGAGCCAATACTTAGGCTCCATTATAAGTGAGTGTACACCTGTCTACATACCTACCCCTGCTTATTAGCTCAACATACTACACTATATATTTTTATTTCATGTTTTATATTTTTATGGGGATACCCATCACTATAAGGACAATTTCAAGAATCCGCACCACAATATATCCATAGGCAGGGATCATTCCACCCAGGCGTGCAAGTCAGAGGTGTATTTAAGCTCCCTGAAAGTGTGAGTGTACAATTTTTTAAAAATCCTTACTCTATCAAGACGTTTTTAACATCCTACATTATCCTTGTTGTTTTTCCTTTTTTTTTTTTTTGTCGTTACATGCATTCTGTAAAGTACACTTCAGGTGCTACACCTTCGTTTTCTGTTTTATCTAAATAAAATATGTCTAAGTGGGAGAATTTTATAATTGGCCACATGACAAGATGTCAGAATGTAATAGCACGTAATCCAAAATAGTATGATGATAATGACCACTTATGGGAAGTAGAGCCCACGTTCGACTCTAATATATGTGCACAAAGACTGGGTCAGCCAGTTCTAACCCCTTAAATCCAGCCCACCTCAGTGTTCTGCTCCATGTAGTCACTGTAGCTGCTAATTTCATGTAGGTAGCAAGAAGAGGGTGCTGACATAATGGTGGAGTACAGAAAACCAATTTATTCACAAATGCAGGAATACAAAACTGTATAAAAACAAGTAAAATTAAAACAAAATATAAAAATAGACACGGGCTGGGAGGGAATCATGTACTATATGCAGATAATTAGCATACGTCCCACCTCCTCCTTCCTTCGTAGACATTGTGCACTCAAAATAATTGAGATGCTTTTTGCACCAAGTGCTTCCTCCAGTCATTGTTTGCATTCTGCTAATAACAATCGTCTATATAGCCCTGAGTCCCTTGCTCTTCAATTAAGAGTGAATAATAATTGTTTCATGGGGGCATACCTACTACATAACAATTTCCCAAATGGTTGTAACGCTAAAGCAATATACAAAAAACAACATTGTACAATATAAAAAACAGCATATTACAATATAAAAGATAGCCTGGTACAATATAAAAATATAGTGATATCTCTTTTTTTTTTAGTACTAATATAATTTATACATTTCATATCACAAACACGACTGTGCATGCATATAAAAACATAAACACACATATGTACATAAGAAAAATTAAATAAAACTAATTATGTATTATAAGAAACATAAAGACACACAAAATGATGTCTCTCTCTCTCTATATATATATATTTATTTATTTTTTAAATATATATATATTTAAAAAAAAAATAATAATAATAAAAAAAATAAAAAAAATAAATAAATATATATATATATATATATATATATATCCAAAAAGGTTATGGTGGGGAAAAAAATGTGTTTGAAAACCCCTTCCACCTGAAGTCTGTGGATAGTTAATAGAATGTTAAACAAAAATCTGCACACCATAATACTTGCATAGTTGTGATTTCTGTGGGAAAAGCAAGTCTTATGGTTTGACTGGTGTGCAGATTTTTGTTTAACATTCTATTAACTATCCACAGACTTCAGGTGGAAGGGGTTTTCAAGCACACTTTTTCCCCACCATAACCTTTTTGGATTTTGCTTCCCAAGCACCACCAAGCCTCAATAGCAAACCAGTAACCAACCTGCTGATGAGTTGCATTAACAATGAAACAGCTGTCCATGAGTGGTTCACTGGCTTTGCATCTTTTTCTAAGTTGTGTTTCAAAGCTGTTCTATACAGCAAACACAGACTCAAAGGAATCCATGTTTAAAATGGAATGAGGCAAAAATGTGATTCTTTGTTAAACTAATTTGCATATGCCCACCCAGAATCCTTTGCGGTAGTAACATCACTGCAGGTTTAGGATTTATGTGGGAAAAGCAAATCTGATGGCTTGACTGGTGTGCAGATTTTTGTTTAACATTGTATTAACTATATATATTTTTATATTTTTTTTTGGTACATTGTTTTGTCATGAAAATCTGTGCCACCCTTTTCTGTGTCATTATGGTTTTTATGATAGATGATTTGTTTTAATTTACTTGTGTTATGTATTGTAATATCTGTTCACTCTTAACTGAAGAGGAGGGGAATCAGGGGTATATAAACAAGTGTCATTAACAAAATGCGAATATCGACTGGAGGAAGCACAATCAATTAAATTAAGCGCAAAACTGCTACAGAGGAAGGTGGAAGGTGGATGTATGCTAATTAGCCATGTGGACTTGGTGTCTCTGCATATACACATACTCCCTCCTAGCCCATGCCTAGTTTTATATTTTGGTTGTTTCATACTGTTTTGTATTTCCGCATTTGTGAATACTCCACTTCCTGCTACTCATATAGAATTAGCAGCTACAGTGACTACATGAAACAACATGTATTATTGGGACCGAATCTAAGTAGGTTAGCAGGCTGACTAAGGCTGTGTGCACATATATTAAAGCCGAGGGTGGGCTTTATTTTCCATAAGTGGTTGGTGATACCAGACTATTTTGGATTACATGATACTACATTCTGATACCTTGTCTTGTCTCCAGTTACTATCTTTTCCCATTGCGTAATTTATTCAGATAGCTCTTAGTTACATCTGTTGTTTATATATTTTCATTGCATCATACATTTTTCAAAAGCTCTTCTTAAAGATACAGTTACATTATTTTGTATTATTGGGTTCAATACATTTACTGATATTAAATATAGATATTAGAGGCATTGCATGGCTTTATATGATAGTTATCACATCTGATTTGCACTATATACTGGTATATTATATTTTTCTTTTACATGTCCTTTTACTTATTGGAACACTGTGGATCTTAAAGGACTACTATATGCACCCAGACCACTTCAGCTTAATGAAGTGGTCTGGGTGCCAGGTCCAGCTAGGGTTAACCCTTTTTTTTTTTTTTTAAACATAGCAGTTTCAGAGATAATAGGTTTAATCCAGCCTCCAGTGGCTGTCTCTTGACAGCCACTAGAGGCGCTTGCGTGCTTCTCACTGTGATTTTCACAGTGAGAAGACGCCAGCGTCCATAGGAAAGCATTCACAATGCATGCGCATTCAGCTAAAGAGGAGGAGAAGAGGGAGGAGAGGAGGAGGAGAGCTCCCCGCCCGGCGCTGGAGAAAGAGGTAAATTTAACCCCTTCCTCTCCCTAGAGCCCGGCGGGCACCCTCAGGGCACTATAGTGCCAGGAAAACGAGTACTATAGTGGTCCTTTAACGATAAATATTATCAGACTGATAAATACAGTTTCATAGAATTCTGTTTTCTACAGGCCAAAAAAATAATAAAATATGGTGATAAGATCTTGTTGAAGGTATGAGTCTTCTCAAGTGCCAAGCTGAATATTTTTGAATTGCATTACCATTTACCATAGAGGTACTGTTACTTTTAATTCATCGTCACTGCCAATGGCGTACACACAATCCAAATGGCCCCGGTGCGAAACTGATCCTAGGGCCCCCCTGTCCCTTTCCTTCCCTGTCCCCCTCCCCCCTCTCCCTCTTCCCCCCTCTCCCTCCCCTCCCTTCTCCCTCCCTGACACACGCACACACACACAAATACAGACACACATACATACAGAGACACATTCATACATACAGACACAGACACATACATACAGCCAGCCAGACACACACAAGACACACATACATACAAAGACACATGCATACATACAAACAGACAGGCACACGTACATACATACAGACAGACAAACACACAGACACATACTTACAGGCACACACACAGACACATACATACATACAGACACATACATACAGACAGATACACACACACACACACACACACACACACACACACACACAAGACACACATACAAGATACACATACATACAAAGACATACATAAATACAAACAGACAGGCACACATACATTCAAACAAACACATACACAGACAGACACACACACACACACACACATACACACAAACACAAAATGTTTAAGTCACCCTCCTGTTTCCTACCTTTTAGGAAACAACCTCAGGTTGATGGGAGTCAGAGTTCCCACTCTGACTTCCTCCTCTGCTTCCTCTCGCGCGGGCTCTGTGTATGCTGGGATGAGTGACCAGGGCAGTCACTTTCTTCCAGCGTGTGATGTTATCACAGGGGGCCCAGTTGCGCTGTTAAAGCGCCCCAGCGCTGACCAGGCACCCTGAAAATGCATACCCATCGGGTGTCCCTAACAGCATGGGCCACCTGATGGACCCCAAAACATGACGGCGGTCACCCGGTCGCAGGGGTCCGCAGGGCGGCCGGGTCCCCTGGAGTGGCGGGCCCGGACTCAGCTGCGACCCCTGTATGTATGCCACTGCTCACTGCCATGTACATAGGGAGGTAGGAACCGGACTCAACACTTTTCTTCTCTTAAAACTGAACTGAGAAATAATTGGCAAAAATCAGGTAAAAAATGCCATGGTTGGAAAAAAATCTTCAGTACAGAAGTTTAAATTTGGCAATTTAGCTTTTTAGTAAATGTATTTATCAGCAAGACTCTTTAGAGGTATACCCACTAAAGTCGATGGAATTGCATGGAAATATAGAAATAAAAACAAAACAAAAAAAAATCACAAGAAAAGAAAGCCCAGATAAGTTAGAATAATTATTTTTATGACTTTCAATGTTATTTATGAAGAGATATTGAAAATATTAAAATATGCGTATAGACAGATGTTAAAATACTAAATAAAACTGCAAGCACATTTTCCAACGTTAGAGGCACTTAAGTAAGCAATTTTATAAACTTATAAATAATAGGATTTTACTTTTTTTTTAAATTTTCATCTTCTTTTTTGAATTTATTTTATCCTATGTTGCCCGCTTCCAGCTATATGGATTACTGGCAATTTCTTTTTGTTTTTGTTACAATTTCAGTTTGTGGGGGATTACTTCAAATGAAGCTGTTTTATTTTCAATCACAATTTTTTTTAGAAGTAGTAAAGGAAAAAAAAAATAAAACATTATATATGTGCACAAGAAAAATATTATTTTTTTTATTCGAATGCCAGAGGTATGAACAACACATCGTGCATCGACCTGCCACTCAAAGGGTTAAATTGTCAGCGGATCAGTATAGGATTATGGCACATTGTAAAGGCCTGCGAGAACATAAAATCCCATTAAGCATATGCTTCATATGGATTTTCATGAAGGCAGTATATTATTTATACATACATCATTTTATAAAGCATTGCAATGTGCAGTCTTGCAAAGGAATAGGCATTGTGATCTACTTGTGGAAAGCCATAGTTCCTTTTTTTTAACAGTGCAGATGTAGAAGCAATAATTATAAAAAATGCCTAACATTTAATACATTAATGTGCCATTATCTTTGATGAGGGAAATAGGAGGATGAAACTGCCCATTTAATAATGGCTCTGTTATAGTAGGGTAATATATATATTAAAAAAAATAAGACAAAGTGCTTTATCATCTGTTTGAAAATATGACCATGACCCTACCAGGAGAGTCATTTGGAAGCCCTGTAAATCAATGGAAATAAAAATCGAAATAGATGAAGATATTTTGTTATCCTTCAACAGTAACATATCTAAAATTAACTTGCTCTACAGGAACACATATTACGAAATGACATTATATAGTGTATATACTTTATAGATAAAGAAATATGGGGGTACGAAGAAGGGAGAAACAGAAGAGCCATGGTAAATAAAAAAACATTCTCAAAAATAATTTCAGGTTTCACTATTTGTTTTTTAAATTTTAATTATTTTCAATCATTCAAGTAAAAGGATCCAGTCACTTGTGGCAATTATAAAACAATAATAAAACAATTGACGGAAATTATATTATGTTAGTTGTGCCTGGTTTAAAATTTTGTCTAAAATAATTGTAGAGTAAAAAAAATAAAAAAAAATATATATAAATATATATATTAAACGAATGTGGAAAAAGCAAATCCTTGTGCATGTGCAATATGATAAACAGAAAAGGATTGCCTTTGGGAGTTGAACTATTTGAATGAAAAGTTAAAAACTTTATCAATTAATTAAAGTGGACGAGTTAACCACAAAAGCGAGATGCCAAAAAATATATAGGTGTGTGCACACATTTCTCTGGCCATATTTATTTTTACACCCTGATAACAGGAACTTACAGCTGTCAATAAACAAGCACAAATATATTTTTGGAATCTTTATGCTGGAATAATGTTGGAGTGGTGATTTTTAGAGAGGTGATTTTCGTGTGAGTTATCCATGTTTCCATTAAACAAAGATTTTATTTTCAGATTAGTTAAATTGCTTGGATTACATATGGTAGATAAGGGTAAACTAATTTAAGTGCAATCAAGTTTAAGAAGAAGTTTATCGCTCTTTCCTTGATATGCTGCTACCTTCATTTATGCATCTTTAAATATGGACAGCTGGAATGGCTGAATTCAAAAGACTTTGGGGTTTATTCACTGGGAACAATTCTAGAGCAAAATTATAAATATTAGGAGTAGTAGCCACTAGAACCAATGGAACATTCATATTACTCATTGTACAATTAGTAATTTGGCCCAGAATTAATCCTTAAATATAAAGCTCCTTTGTATATTTGGCACCTGTGAAGGTTTGTATATGAATCTATAATAGAAGTGTTTATTGATGACTCGAGCATTAATTAATTATATGTCCTTCTTTAAAGAACATTGTAGCTCAAAATAAACTAGCACAAATTGGAGGTAATCTTCAAACTACTAGTCTCGGTTTTTGTTAACTGATGGTAATAAAATAATAGTAAAATAAATGAAAAAAAAATTTCACCTACAATCACTTGGTAATATTTTTCCTTCCTTGCTTTCTTTTTAGTGAATGTACTAATATACTATAGGTTAGGGCACAAAAAGTCCTATGCTATGTACTACTATAGTATAGGTCATGGCACAAAAAGTGCTACACTATTAGACATGGCTAAAGGTTACTCACCATTGCAAGCCTGGAGGACCATTCCACACTTGTTCTTATTGTTTTAGAGTTGTCCCATGTATGGTGGTGTTTACATAAAATCAATAAAAGGTTGTTTAAAAACTTTTTTTGAGAATGTTCTTAATGTGTTAATTTATAATGAATAATTATATATAATCAGTTTTAATCCACAAACAGTGAATTGTAGTAAACTGAAACATCAAACGTGCAAAATTTAGGTAAAAGTAGACAAAATTAGCCTATTGTCAAGTAGAATAATCTTTGTTTTCAGTTAACCACAATTTCTTGTTTTGTGAATGTATACATAAAGGCTCAATGCTCCATTGGAAACAACCTGTCGGACATTGAAATTTGATTGAAAGATTGGTTATATTGTGCACAAATAGCATGTCAGGTTAACGTCAATCAAGGTATGAAATTATATCTTTCAAAAGTGCAACTTGGAAATTTGGCTATATTTTTCCTTTAATCTCTTGCTATAAATGACTCCAACACTGATGAATTTATAGGTAGCCTCTAGGGGCTGTAAAAAATGCAAAATATGAATATGTAATGAAAATAATAACCACAGTTTTCGTTCTGCGTCATAATGACATCATGTTTGCATATAGAACAGATTTTGCATTATTGCTCTACTTGTAAGATTAGATTAAGGAACTTATAAACAGACTGGCACATTACAAACTTAAGGTTCTTTGGTGAAGAATGAAAAAAAAAAAACAAAACAAAGAAAAACCAACAAAAAATAACCCAGTATTTTGTTGTAAAGTAACTTGGGAACTTGGCTTTATCTGTTGATCCTTTGGATTCTCTCACATAGAAGAGAGAGATACTGTGTGAGCTTCACCATTGCGATAATGGCAATCCCACCGACCATCATACATGTCGGCCAAAACAACGAATGAAATAACACGTTGGAACTGTAGAGTTTGGTCAAAATGACATTCTTTTGATTTCCTTCAGGATCATAAAAACACGAAAAACGTTGATGTTTTCGGAAGTTTTCCATAATGATATTAACAAGGGACATTGATTCTTCATAGTTCTTCCCACATCTGGGTATATACGAGCACTGCAAATACAAAACAATACATTGATTGACTGCTGAAACTAATGCATTCACTGAATAAATCAGGATACTTGTAAATATTTTTAAGGTGTAAAATGATATATATTCCATCTAAAACTAACGCAGCCTTCCTCAAACAGTAGATGGATACCTTTTGACTTAGAAATAATAAATAATAATTACATTTCAGAAGAAATTTGACTCCTGTTTCAGATTCTAGGAAGGAGAAATGGATTTTTAAAAATGGTATCAAAAGGGTTTTCACCTGAACAAGCATTATATACTACCCCCACTGTGACACTATTGTGCTCTTATGAGTAAAAAATGTGTTTCATAAAATTCAGTAACATGAATAATACTTCAAAGGATACGTGTTGCTAATGCTAAAGTGTAGAAAAATTCTAAGGGTAGAGAGGTACCAAAGTGAATAATCTCCTGAGTGGGTATTAACCCCTAGTAAATTCCGCCAAAAACTAAATAACCAAAAAGGGGGGAAGGGGACAGGAGAAAAGTAAGGAATTGTGGTGGAAAATCCTAGAGAGTGTAAATCCCTTAGGAGGGAAGGGGACAGTAAGTGGTAGACACTGTATGTACAACTTTAACTAAAATGTAAAACCTAACTTTTAATATACATGCATAAAACCACAAGAGCACACGCTAAGAACATAATTGAATCAAAATATATAATGATACAAAAAATGTGTAAATATATGTGCAAGCAGCCCCTCATTAGATAAAAAGTGTTAGTTGGAACAATTTATACAAAATGTATTCAAGGGCTGCCACTCAAGCTACAATAGTAACCCAGAGCACTGGTAAACATAAATACAATTGCAGCCTCTAAACTGTAGTGACAGGCTGCAATGAAAATAGCGTCCTTATAGTGAGACAGTTATTAGGTATAACTCATCATGGCTCGTCTCGGCTGACACCAAGATAGTGTAATGTACAGGAATAATATAACCCGATAAATAAAACCGCTACAAGATGAAGCGGTAGGGTTATTATTCAGATGGCACGGTATAGTAGTAACGGCTAGTTGGTAATATATAACACCCAGTTTTCGCAGTGTTTTATAGGCAGTAGTATGCCTATTGGTATCCGTGGCCTACTGTTGCCAGAGGCACTGCGCTCGTGGTATGAGCGCATATACCCAGACCGTGTATAGTTAAATGGAGGGAGATCCAGAGTGAGTAGCTAGTATCGCAAAACAGGGCTGCAGAAATATATATCACAAAGGTGATGTGTATATATACCGGGTGCAGAGCAGCAGCAATAATAGGTAGAAATATTACTGGACTAGCTACCAAAATTCACTAAGTGCTTGTGCCTTTGAGGGCACCCCTTAAATAAAGCCTGCAGATTCCCTAAACGCTGGTTAGAAAGAACCTCCCGCCAGAGATCCTGCATAGGAAGCTGAGATTATGATAAACACTGCTCCCCAGATACACTAATAAAGTGGATTAAATACTGATGAATATCAGAAATGACTGTCAGCTCCTAGCAAGCTAAGTTGCTTGTGATAGTGCAGTAAGATAGCTGTTGGCACAAATCCAAGTTATACTAATTAGTAGAACACGAGACTGCTGAAGAATGTCTCAATGTGCAGTCACTGTTGGTGCAGTGACTAATGGATAGCACCGTTGTGTTCCCCTGACACACGTTTCACCTCTCTGGAGAGGTGAAGAGCCAGAGAGGTGAAACGCGCATTTCTTTCAGCCTAAATGTGTGACCTTGTGTCCTATGTATAGCCCTGTTTATGAATAGATTTCCAGATAATGGTTTGTACTGGCCCTGAATATATTTTTATAATGTTATCATATCCCCTCTGAGGCACCGTTTTTCCAAACTAAAGAGATTTACATTTTTTAACCTTTCTTCGTAACTAACATGCTCCATTCCTTTTATCAATTTTGTAGCTCGTCTCTGCACTTTTTCTAGTGCCATGATATCCTTTTTTAGAACAGGTGCCCAAAATTGCACAGCATATTCAAGGTGTGGTCTTACCAGCTATTTATAAAGAGGCAAAATTATATTTTCATCCCGAGAATTTATGTCCCTATTTATACATGACAAAACCTTACTGGCCTTAGCAACTGCAGATTGACATTGCATAATGCTGCCTAATTTATTGTCTATAACAATTCCCAAATCCTTCTCGTGTGGGGTTATCCCTAATTCACTACCATTTAGGGTATAAGTTGCTTGTGCATTCTTGACACTAAAGTGCATAACTTTGCATTTCTCTACATTAAATTTCATCTGCCATTTCAGTGCCCAGTCCTCCAATTTATCCAAATCCCTTTGCAGCAAAGCAATATCCTGCTCACATTTTATTACTTTACAAAGTTTTGTGTCATCTGCAAACACTAAAACATGACTTTCAATGCCTAGATCAAGATCATTTATAAATATGTTAAATAGAAGTGGACCCAAAACAGAACCCTGAGGGACACCACTTACCACTTTTGTCCAGCCTGAAAATTTACCATTAATGACAACTCAAAAATAATTTTTATTATGAATTTATATAATTATGAGTTAAAAGCATATTATGACAGACCTGCTTAATTTATTTTTAAACATGCTAGATTGTTTAATGAATTAACAAGAAGACAGTTACTCTCACAACTGTAAGGGGAAGTGTCACCTGGAAATATCTGATGTATATGCCAGCGATTGGCTCAAGCTGTCGAGATCCATGAGGGAAATACATATATAAGGGGCAGCCTAGCCATTATACTTCTTTCCTCTGATGAAGGTGCACATGACTTGGTATGTGTTCTTGACAGCAACATACTATCCAGAAAAAGGGCTGCTGTTATCTAATTTTAAATGCAGAGTGTAAATCATCACCATTAAGAGAAACAAACGGTCCTATTACATGCCTTATTTCAATGTTGCCATGAAGACCTGCTGACTTAAAGTTTTTTGAATTGGGAAACAGTGGAAATGTGGTCATTTATCATAAGCCCACATAATCAGTTTCTGTGAATGGAATACAAATTTTTTTGTGCTTGAACTTTCACAATTTTATTCTGCAGACATCATTAGTATTTCAATATACATTGAGAAGCAGTTGTTATCTTCCTATGGTTAACAGATTCCTTTATGTGTCACTTTGAATGAATATGAATGGTTAACATAGAAAAATCATCAACTTATTTTTTTCACAGTGTGCTTACTAATTCAAAAAATTATTCTTTGAATAAAATCTGTTTACATAACAAGTTGCCATACTGTATATAGTAAGAAACCAATGTATTACCTGCAGAAATGGTTTAGATGTAACATGACATCGACCAAGAGAATAAGTACATGACTAAGCATACAATATATATTACACTAGAATCTGATGTGTCAGGGACATACGTATTTTGAGCCATTTCTAAGAATTGTTCTGGGAAACCAGAACTCGTTCTCCAGGCTATTTTCAGATCCAGCAGGAAATTTCCTTCCATTACTAAGCAATAATGAATGTTATTAATTCAGTCAACCATTATTATTAGATCATCAAACAATTCAGCTGACATTTAGTAACCGATAGCAATGCAGAACACATATGATTTTGCTTCATTTCAAATTTATGCAGAAAAAGAAATATTATTTCTCCAGTATCATTAGACAGATTTACTTTTGTGTTTCACTGGATCAAAATGTGCTTTACTTGGTATTCATGTAGCTTGCAGATAATTATTCTGTGTGATGAAATGAAACTGAACCATTTCAGTTTTAGAAACATAAAGCAGATTTTACCAATATACTTATGAAAGACTAATTGGTTTAAATTGTAAGCATTTTAATATCCAGTGCAATATCCAAGGTTATATTTATCAATGAAAACTTGTTTGAGTGTAGTGAATATTGATTGCTCACCTTGCATCAATTTAAAAGAAAAAACAAATTGAGAATGGTCAATGACATGTATATTAAGCCTCACAATGCCCAATAATAGACTTGATTTCATCAGTGTTGGCATGATATGATGGTGGTTATGTACAAGAAGCAAGTCTGTTTCAATGGTCTACGTGTTCTGCAAACAATTGAACCCTATTCATTGCCCCAATGCATATTTGATTTTCTGAGCTAATCTTACATTTCCTAGTTTAGATAATGTCAGAACTGGAATACTTTGACAAAATGGAAATCAAGTCATAGTGCACGTGCCAGCCTTAGGCCATTAGGTGCCCTGTGCAAAAAGTCTTCAAGGTGCCCCTTCGCCCTCCCCCCCCAAGTTGCCTGTATACAGTCACACACACAGGTACAGGCAGACAGTCACACAAATAGTTGCAAGCAGACAGACAGACACACTCAGTTACCGGCAGACACACTCAGTTACAGGCAGACAGTCACACACACACACACACACAGTTACAGGCAGACAGTCACACATGCTCAGTTATAGGCAGACAGTCACACACAGTTACAGACACACAATCATGAACAGTTACAGGCACACAGTCACACAGTCACACACACAGTTACAGGCAGACAGTCACACACACACACACAGTCACAAGCAGACAGTCACACATACTTCGTTACAAGCAGACAGTCACACACACTCAGTTACAGGCAGGCAGACACTCGCTAATGCTGATAGGCACACACACACTCCATTAAAGGCAGACAGTCACACACACACACACAGGCAGACTGTCACACACATATTCAGACAGTCACACACATAGGCAGACAGTCACACACACAGGCAGACAGTCACACACTCACAGACAGACAGTCAAATGCTCAGACAACCACAGACACACACACACACACTTACCTCTTTCCATTATGGCTGGAAGGGGGAGTGGAGGCAGTTGGTTGTTGGGGAAGCAGGGACTCCTTCTTGCTTCGCCCTTCATGTGCAGCTGTTACCAGGGGCTTCTGGTAGGTATTAGCCCTGCCTCTGCTGCCATTTTAGCCCCACCTCTGCCACTTGGCAAGCCCTGCCCACGCTGCCTCAATTTTTTTTTCATAGACCAGAGTGGAGAATAATGACATCCTTCACCCAGGTACCTGTTTTAGCTCACCTGTACTCCTGTCCCCCGGCCATGTGCGAGCTGTGCTGGCCACATGGTGCCCTCTGCTCCATGGCACCCCTAAGCTCGCACACCCCTAAGGCCAGCCCTGATACTGCAGTCATATAAAATGGACTTTATTATATGTTCCTGCTGTCTAATTATAACTGTATATCTTTATATGTCTTTCACATTAAATATTTAGCTGTAATTTTGTTTCCCTTTTTCAACTATTATAAAATTTACCTATTATTATTTTTTTATTTTTTATAAATATTTTTCATTTAATTTTTCAAATATTATACAAAGACGCCACAAAACATTATAAGCTTGTATATCACAACATCCATTAGTATGTTTAGATTTCTTAATAAATTTCAGTTTCTTTAGACAATAAAACATCTAATTATATAAGCATAGCCTACAACAAAGACTTTAAAGGGACACTATAGTCACCAAGACCACTTCAGCTCAATGAAGTGGTCTGGGCGCCAGGTCCCCCAGGTTTTAACCTTCAGATGTTTACAGAGAAACTGCTATGTTTACATTGCAGGGTTAATCTAGCCTCTAGTGGCCTGGCAACCGCTAGAGGCGCTTCTGCAACGCATTCAGCGTGCAGAACGTCCATAGGAAAGCATTGAGAAATGCTTTCCTATGGACTGTTTGAATGCGCATGCGTATTCCCCTCCACTCGAGAGCTGATGTCGGAGGGGAAGGAGAGGTCACCAGCGCCAAGGGAGCCTGGCGCTGGATTAAGATAAGTGGTTTGAGGGGTTTTAACCCCTTCAGCCCAGCGGGAGGTGGGCCCTCAGGGTGGGGGGGGGTGGGGCGGTACCAAAGGTTTATATAGTGTAAAGAAAGCGAGATTGTTTTCCTGACACTATAGTGATCTTTTAAACCCACTTTGACATAATACAAATACAAATTTATCTTTTATATCAACCTATCATAATTATCTATCATGCTTTTTGCAAGGTAAACACATTTTCTTTATCTTAGTTTTACTTTTTTTTTTTTAACCATAGATCAAAACAATCTTGTTTTTTATATTGCTGAGGATTTGAGTTAGCCAATTCTTTTTCCATACAAAATTGGAATATCAATTGATACTGCTGTTTTTGGAACAGAATATTAGATTTCCAATTTCTGGCTGTTATAATTTTTGTTGCTATTATTATTATTATTATTATGATATTTATATAGCGCCATCAAATTCCGCAGCGCTTTATAATGGGTGGACGAACAGACATGTAGTTGTAACCAGACAAGTTGGACACACAGGATGAGCTTACATGCTAGAGGGAGTGGGGTAAAATGACACAAAAAGGTAAGGATAGTATTAGACTAGTGACAGTTGCAGAAGAGGAATCAGTCAGGAGCTATTAACAGTTTAATTGATACACTTTTATGAAGATGTGGGTTTGTAACGATTTTTTGAAGGAGTGGAGACTGAGTGAGCATCTAACTGAGGAGGGAAGTGAGTTCCACAGGAACGGTGCAGCCCTCGAGAAATCTTGAAGGTGAGCATCAGAGGTGGGAATACGGACAGAAGATAGACGTAAGTCTTCAGCAGATCGTAAGGGCCTAGATGGGACATACTTGTGTATAAGGGAGGATAGATAGGTGGGAGCAGCATTATGTAGAGATTTGAAAACAAGAACCAGAATTTTAAATTGAGCTCTATATTTTATAGGAAGCCAATGTAGGGACTGACAGAAGGGTGAGGCATGGGAGGTGCGGGCGGACAGGAAGATGAGCCTCGCCGCCGCATTCATTATGGACTGTAACGGCGCAAGTTGTGAGCACGTAAGACCACTGAGAAGCGGATTACATTAGTCAAGGCAACTACTACAGTAGTCAAGGCTATGAGACAATGAATACCAGACATCTATTTTCTTTTGAAAGTGCATCAAGTTTCAAATTTAATAGTGTGGTCTCTGGGCACCTATTCACATTTTCATTCGATAATACCCTAAAACTGTCATATGCCCATTTCTAGATTGTTTTAATTAATGGACATGTCCACCAGATATGTATAAAGATACCCGCTGGATTTCCACATCTTCAACAATTTGGAGTATAAGTAGGATACATTTTGGATAGTCTGGAATGAACCAAATAACAATTATACATGATTTTATATAGCCATTTTATTGAATTAATGCAATGTATATTTTTATATACCTGCCGTAGAGAAGAGCAGCAATCAAGTTCTGAAATCTCCAATCCTAACTCCTTATTCCAGGTATTGTTTATTTTTATTTGTTTGTCATTTATCAACTTGACTTATTGGCTTAAGAGGTATTTTTTTTAAACCTTGACATGTGAGAACATTTGTTCCATGTGTTTATGAATTATTGTTGAACTTTTTAGTAGAGAATTATTTGAAACGTTTTTTATTCTCAAAAATGTAAAAATGTCTTTGTTTGTTATTTGGTACTTTAATATTTGGTACTTTAACCCCTTAAGGACACATGATATGTGTGACATGTCATGATTCCCTTTTATTCCAGAAGTTTGGTCCTTAAGGGGTTAATATAATATTAGGGAATGACTCTATTTGATCTTGCTGAGTGATGTCCGCAATGGTAATCTGTTGACATTTGGCCAATTTTTTAAAGATAAATCCATCATATTATTTTCTAAATATTTCTTAATTTCATCCCATGTCTGGATTATTTGAATTAGTATTAAGTTATATTAGATTCGGAAATTTTTCACCACTATTACATCAAATATTCAAATCTTTCTATTTTCACTGCCTTAGATTCTATCAAATACCATGGCTCAATTGCCATTTCGTCTACTTGTAATTTGTATATATGCCCAATCCTATTGGCATAATATGTATGTTTAATAATTGAAACTCTTTCAAAATCTTTATTTAGATGATATTTCACCCTTATCCTAAACGTTTAGAAGATCAATTTATAGTCTATTTTAGAAGCTGCCAATCTAAGAAGTTGGTTCTTTTACATATTGAAACTGAATGTATACAATTAATGTTGTTCTATGTAAAAGCCTTTCAATAACCAGTTCTTCAACCAAAACCACAAGACCGATGACCTCCATTGATGTTTTCTTGTTCCCTCAATGATTGACAGCTATATCAATTTCATTACGCGCAGTTAATATCTTGGAACACTTTATCTCATTAAGGCAATTACCATATTGGAAAGTTCACAACGCATGTGGGAAAATACTCGAATATGCTATTATTGAGAAAAAACATCATAATACATCAAACAACATCATAATTTCATATGCAGCACTGTTTTCTTGCAATAAACACTGCATGGCAGATGGCATGCCAAGACAATTATGATATTGTAAGATTTGGCCAACTCCCTGTCCTGGAGGGATTACCACCATCAACAAAACGTAAACTTGTGAAGATGAGAAGGAAAATGTCAGAATGACCTTTGGTGAAGTAAGAGACCGATATTAAAAGGGTGGACTTAAAAGAACAGCAAAGTGACCACAGGTGAAATCTCCAAATTTCTATTTCTTCTTTCTCTGTGTGAATAGAAATATATATTTTTAAAACAGCATAGATAATAAAAGTGCACAGTTGTTTTCATAGGCCATAGGAATTATTATATATTACGTTGGACATAAAATAACTGAAGTAGCTATTTTGGAGATCCACATTGATAATCATTTAAAAATTTCCCATTTTATAAAATTATTTATTCACTGTAACTGAGCTCTAAAGCCACTACTGTGTAGTGCCAGGAGTCCCATGGTGGCATCCATTGAATTAGAGAAATTGTTTTTTTTCCCAACAAGTTTCCTAAATGCCTCACATCCAGCCTCCTCAACATCCGCTTTAGATAGATCAGAGAAGAGCGTCCTGTAGTGGTTATGGTGCAGTGGTAATACACAGTAGTTACCTAAAACATTAGCTTATTAAATGTTCTGAAAACTAGATACAGAGTAATAACTGAAAATAAAAGTATAACGCTGATTCTAACATAACTCCATCAAACTGATGCAAAACTGGTTTACACCTTTTAGTGTAACATCATTTACATTTTTTTTGCTTTTTATTTTTACTTTATTTATTTTTTACTTTATGTAAAATGATTTTTATAACCTATATAGAGGAGACTTTGATCCTTTGAAAGTTCATAGAATTTTTCATAGATATTATTGAGAAAGTAATACGTGTGATAGTGTTATATAAAATGGGATTACTGTAAACTGATATATAGTTTTTTTTTCTAATCAATATTAAAGTGTAGGAACATGTGCAAAAATATATTCTCTAGTAGTGAAATGCCCAGTACTGATTTGACTTCCCCAAAATGTTTGGAAAATTGTTATTTCCTGAAATATACTTTCAAATATCTTATTAATTCTGTTTTAAGTTGTCCTTGTTGTAGTGTCTATTATTATATATTTTTAGTGCATTGATTTTGAGGTGGCCTTTGCTCACCTGCCATCAAGTTTGGTGGATGTGTTTCTCGTCCATTTTTACTTTGAAGAATTTTACAATGTCACGTTTCATCAAATCAATACAAGTCTACACAGGATGATTGTAATGGGGACAACAAAATTAGTCTCTTATTTCTCAAATCCATCTCCATGATCACTAGCCTTGTATCATTACCTGCCTCTTAGTAATGCAATCTTCCTATGTGAACACACACTTCAATATCACAAGATAAAGATTTGAAAAAAATCTATACAAATTTGCATCTAAAGTGACAAGTTTCTTATTGCGTAATAAGCCTCAGGATAAACCTTTACAAAATACATCTTACCTTGCCAAATAGCAGAAATATTAACAACAATTTTTTCTTCTTTTTAAACTGTAAGATCTGTTTGTTGTTGTATCTGACTTTTTTGTATATTTTAGTTTTCCTCTGCTTATTTTCAGTATCCAGGTGGAGAAAACCAAAAATAATAAATTATATCCTCTAGTGTATCAGCCTCAGATATTTTATTTAGAATCAAGAAAGAATAATGTCCAGCACACATCACTAGATGAATAAAGATTCCAAATTTATCGAGGTCAAAGCAAGCTGACAACATTCTCACCTAACACTAAGGCTTTCTCAAGCTACATCACTCTTCTCATTGTCTAGTTTAGCTAAAAAAAACATATCATCATACCTGATCATTTCTTGAATGACAACTAAAGGTACCCAGGCCCCTTCATCTTAATGAAGTGATTTAGGTGCAATGACCCTGTAGTTTTTACATGGCAAGGTAAAGCATTTCCATTTAGTAGATATAATTACGCAAGGTTAAATATGTATGACTGTCTTTCTGACTACAAGAGGAGCTTCCACTTTGAGAACTGAGTCAATATTAGGAAAGGCTTAGAGACGCATTCTGTCTCCCAGCACTTTAAAACCACACACAACCAAGACCCCACATGCCTCCTCTTTTGTGCAATAAAATTGGTAACTAAAAATTGGAGAGGAGAAGACTATGGGAACAAACTAGGAAAGGAAGAGATGAAATTAATTTTTAATTTTAATACTTTGATACCTAATGGTTTAAACTTAGATTTCGAGATTTGTCATTTTCTCAAGAAGTAATTCTTCTATATCCGTGATATAATGGTTTCTCACTATCACTGACATCTGCACTATAATATATATACTACATTTTATTCACACTTTATGCTTGTATTTTTTAAGGTTTCAATTATTGTAACACCTTCTTTTTGTATGTAGGCATTTTTTATATATACTTTTATTTCAAATATTTTTATTATCTTTGTTTTATCATATATTATATATATATATATATATATATATATATATATATATATATATGCAATTTTTATGCACTTTTGGATATCAATTATGCCTTTATCATTGATATTTACTGCTGTCTCAATCCCTGACATCAGGCACTCAAAGAGGACATTTATATTGTGCAATTTTTCTTTTTGGAAGAAATATATAACAGGGACACAAATGTAAAGCAATCTTCTGGACTTCTGCAAAAACGAATACTATCTTGTGCAGTAGGTGAAACGCATGTGCGTTCCATTTTGGAGAGAACTGGAAGTACGTCAGCACTAGGTGGAACGCATATGCGTTCCACCCTCGGATGCAACGAAAACCGGAAATACGTCAACCGGAAGTGACGACGGAACCCGGACGAAATGAAGACGGAACAGGTGTCCAACATTCCCCCATTACAAAGGGGCATAAAATGGTGAGAGGGAACAGAACACCTTTAGGAGCAAATGAGGAAGCCCATATATTGGGCGAAACGCGTCTTGCTTGATTTTCCCAGAGTGGATTATTGACTTTTTGTCCCATAGTGGACTATTTCATATTAAGAGACTTTTGTTCGTTTTTTAATATATTTTATCTTCTACTTTTACCCTAAGTGGAATTGTATTTTTTATGTATTTCCTTTTTTATTAAAGAAGAGTTTCCTTCTATGGCTATGGTCCCTTCTTCTCAACTATTATAAGGAATACAGAAACCGCTACCACACAGAGATCGAGTGGGAACCCTTACAACTATCCCACAGGCGCCTGAATTGAGCCAGTTTCCTTTGGCTCTTGGTTTGTGAGTACTAACCACAAATTATACTTAAAGTCACCATTGTGCTCTACGATATTGCACTAGATTTTGTTTTCTCTGTTTTTACAGTTCTTATTATACACTATATGCTATTGTACAACGAACCAAGATACTCCACCTACTCTGTATGTAAATATAGATATACTGTACAGTACTTTTATATACCAAAAGACACAGTCCAAGAAACAGCTTGTAGCTAAATACCAAGTAACTGAGATAGCCCAGGTAAATACCTTCATTAGAAGAGTAAAAATAGTCAAGAATATTGATCATAGGGATAAATGTCAAAATAGAATCTATATAAGGATATTTTTAATCAATGCACCAACAAGTTTACATTTACATAATTAGCATAGAACCTTGACTGTGCCTTCAAGGGCACCTAAATTAACAAACTGCAAACATGCTTAACTGTAATCCAAATAATCCAAATATTTGGATCAATGTCAATACCTAACCTCGTTGTCCCAGAATCTTTAGCAATAGTTATCATGTGTATATTAGGAAACAAGTGAGTTGGGAGAAGAAACAAAGCCCCAGCATGTGGATGGCCAGGTGGTTCTTCAAGGGTCCTCTCTTGAATTTGATTAGAGAAATTAGTCATTTGCCAGCTCACAGGAAAAGGAGTGTAAATTAAAGCATGTTTTGTTGTGTTGTTTTTAAAAAAAAATAGTATAAAGGTATATTTCAGCTGCTAATGGTCCAAGTAAGAGTACCCTTTATTACGGGCCTTAGCACATAAGCTGTCAGAGTGAGCTGAGAAACAAAACACTTGTGAGTTCGATAAAGGGTCATTCAAATTATAGTTTTGGAAGTGAATTTAGATGTTATTTATTTTTTGGGGGGCATTATGCATTAATGCATATTATGTTGGGTCTCAAATTAATTCTCTGAATTTACATTATGATCTGACTTTGTTAGAAATAGATCAGAAACACCTGTATATAAATATATTGCATTGTGCATTTTCATCCAGGTTTTGGAATGCATTAACTGCGCCTCTCAGATGGCAAAAAAAGTGAATATAATCTGTGATAAAACCTAAAGAACTTTGTAATCCATTTTTAGAAACAAATCAAATTTCTGGTGGATTTCCATTTTCCTTACCAAAAGCTTTCTTGGGACAGAAATACTTGGTAACATTACTGAAGAGAATTATATCATGGTACTGTGGTTCATAGATAGTTTTGGAAAATTGTGTTTCGTGGGTCTTAAATTTGCTGTGGTTCGATAAACTAAGTTAAACAATTTATAAATTGTATAGGTGGTGGCAGCTTTTATAGGTATAGGTGTTATGAAGGATTGTTTATCATTATTTTAAACTCTTTAAACCCTTAAGGACACATGACATGTGTGACATGTCATGATTCCCTTTTATTCCAGAAGTTTGGTCCTTAAGGGGTTAAACTACTGAACTAAGTCTTGTGTCTGCCTGTTTTTATCATATGCTAGTTGTCAAAAACATCAGGGTAACTGATGGAACCTAAATAAATTATCTCGGTCAACATATTTTATAGAACTTTGGAAAGCAACATTTATGAGGTGATAGTTTAGGGATATAGCATGATGTAAATAAATGCAGTGCATTAAACCTTACTTTCAAATGCATGTATGAGAGCAAAAGCAGAACTGCAATCTGTTAAAGTTAAAATCAGACAGCAATTGGTTAATTGTTTTTAAATTCAAGTGTTGTTACTCCTGTGCCTGTCTCCCTCCAAGTCAACAGTGCTACCATCAGCTCCACCACGCAGGCTCACTGCCTAGGTGTTCTCTTTGACTCCGACCTCTCCTTCAAGCCTCATGTTGCCAAATCCTGTCATTTCCATCTCAAAAACATTGCGCGCATCTGCCCCTACTTAACGCCAGATGCGACTAAGATGTTGGTCCATTCCACTGTCCTTTCTCGCCTTGACTACTGTAATCCACTTCTCAGTGGTCTTACGTGCTCCCAACTTGCGCCGTTACAGTCCATAATGAATGCGGCAGTGAGGCTCATCTTCCTGTCCGCCCGCACCTCCCATGCCTCACCCTTCTGTCAGTCCCTACATTAGCTTCGTATAAAATATAGAGCTCAATTTAAAATTCTGGTTCTTGCCTTCAAATCTCTACATAATGCTGCTCCCACCTATCTATCCTCCCTTATACTCAAGTATGTCCCATCTATGCCCTTACGATCTGCTGAAGACTTACGTCTATCTTCTGTCCGTACTCCCACCTCTGATGCTCGCCTTCAAGATTTCTCGAAGGCTGCACCGTTCCTGTGGAACTCGCTTCCCTCCTCCGTTAGATGCTCACCCAGTCTCCACTCCTTAAAAAAATCGTTAAGAACCCACTTCTTCATAAAAGCGTATCAATTAAACTGTTAATAGCTCCTGACTGATTCCTCTTCTGCAACTGTCACTAGTCTAATACTATCCTTACCTTTTTGTGTCATTTTACCCCACTCCCCCTAGCATGTAAGCTCATTGAGCAGGGCCCTCAATCCCTCTGTTCCTGTGTGTCCAACTTGTCTGGTTACAACTACATGTCTGTTCGTCCACCCATTGTAAAGCACTGCGGAATTTGACGGCGCTACATAAATATCATAATAATAATAATTGTTTCAATTATGTATTTTATTCTATCATCTCCCTTTTGTGAACCTGCATGCCTGGTATACTGACAGAAAGTTAAAGGGACACTATAGTCACTAGAACCACTACAGCTTAAACGACCACTATAGGCACCCAGACCACTTCAGCTTAATGAAGTGGTCTGGGTGCCAGGTCCATCTAGGTTTAACTATTTTTGCTGTAAATATAGCAGTTTCAGAGAAACTGCTATGTTTACCTATGGGTTAATCCAGCCTCTAGTTGCTGTCTCATTGACAGCCGCTAGAGGCGCTTCCGCGCTTCTCACTGTGATTTTCACAGTGAAAAGATGCCAGCGTCCATAGGAAAGCATTGAGAATGCTTTCCTATGGACTGGCTGAATGCGCGCGTGGCTCTTGCCGCGCATGCGCATTCAGCCGATGACGGCGAAAAGGAGGAGGAGAGTTCCCCGTGCCGAGGGAGCCCGGTGGGGAAAAAGGTAAGGGAGTAACCTTTTCCACCCCCTAGAGCCCGGCGGGAGGGGGGGCCCAGAGGGTGGGGGAGACCTAGAGACCCGAAAGTGCCAGAAAACAAGTATGTTTTCCTGGCACTATAGTGGTCTTTTAATGTGGTCAGTCATTGCTTGGGTGTCGATATCATGTCCCTGTAGTCTTAGCACTGAAAACACTGTCCTTTCATTGCTTCCTAGGAACACATCTGGGCAGTCATCCAGATGGCCACTACAGATGTTTCCTACATTCAGTGCTCCCCACAGTGATGCATTTATTCAATGCATTTCTATGAGGAGATGCAGATTGGCGCAGCCATGGAGTCGAAGCCAGCTATGGCAAGACTGGCGCGGAGGTGGAGAAAAGGTAAGTTTTACACCCTTTAATTCCACAGAGAGGTGGGATAGATTTGTATTCCAGCACTATAGTGTTACTAATATGTTTGTATTCCTAACACACATACTGAAACAGACATACACACATATAGGCACATACATAGTGACATACAGACACATACTAACATACATACATACATACAGACACACACACACACACACACAAGAACATACAGAAACACACACATACACGCTGACATACAGACATACATATATACTGACAGACATACATACTGACAGACAAACAGACATACATACTGACAGGCATACATCTCGTTTTTCAGCCACACTTACTTTGCAGGAGGGTCGGGCTGATGGGAATCGGAATGGCTCTCCCTTTTCATTGCCTCCACGCTGTCTCTCCTCCCGCGTGGAGTAAGCTGGGAGGAAGTGACCAGCTGTCACTTCCTCCCAGCAGCATTTGCGGTGTGGCTGCAGCTATTGCACGTGCTATTACATCAGATGGCCCTAAGTGTGTGGGCCAACCGAAGGACCATATCAGTGTGCGGGCACCGGTGCAGCTGCCCCGGTGGTAGTTTTGCCGCTACACGTGTCACCCCCTGATGGTGACCCTGGTGTCCACTTTAGTATGCATTTCAATCCTGAGCCATTTGTTAGTTATCCATATAGTCCATGTATTTTTGGGATGTTGCTAAATGTCTATTTTGGCTGGTGGACATATTTGGCACATTACTGTAAAAGCCAGAGTCCAAAGAAAAGCTACCTTCCTTTTTTTACTGAATTTTTGTGATGAAAAATATAATCTCTAAACAAGTAATGTTCTGATTTATAATCAATCCCGTGTAACTATTGTCACAAATCAATGACAATGAACTCTCCTTAGCCTTAAATTTAATATTCTTTTTTTCCCCTATTTTATATAACTAGTCTTACACTAATAACTCCATTGCTATTATTATAGCTTTCTTCTTACATTTCAGAATTCATTCCCATGCTGCTAACATCTTGCATTGTGAGAAATTGGACTGGGAGTCTAATTCTTTATGGAATCACTTTTTTCTTTTTACATTTATGGCCAAAAGATGGTGCTCAAGCTGGGCATGGTATTAAAATTAAATACAAGTCAGCTCTACAAACACATTGTGTTCTATCCAAAATGGAACATCAGGACAAAGGGCCATGGAGGCAGCATGTCAAGTTCTCTGTCTATGTGGACCTCTGTCAAACAGCTCATTAACCATGCATCTCTATGGACAAAGAAAATGTTCCTGATATTCAAGCTGCTACATTAAACTTATGTCAGTTTGCTTTCCACAGCAGTTATGAATTTTAACTGACTGAGCATTTCAAATATGCTTTCCTCTTTTAAGAGTAAAGTATCTACATTTAGTGAATATTTTTTCTTTATTTATTTATTTATAGTCTTTAATTTAAATTTTTCATATTCATAAGTAACATACAAGTAAATAAACAAGCACATTGAGAGATCAACAAAGAACTAAAACAGTAAAATAGTGCTATAATACAATAATACACATAATAGTAAAAATAGTACAATATGGGAAAAGGGGCCATCGGTCAATATCAAAATGATTCACCACTGGCAGTGGTAAACTAGCTTCGTAATCATCACTTATATCACAAGCACATAAAGTGGATGCCTGTGAGCAATGTCGATTAGCACATTTTTGCTCAGAACCATGATCAGTGGTAGAGAATTCAGTAAAGGTGGTCCCCCCGTGATTGTTAAGGAATTTTGGCTACTATCCTAAGAGTTAGCTAACACATTGGCTGCGTTTCCATGGTGCTCATTTTTGTGAAAGGAGGGGGGTCACGAATATTGGATTGGGAATTGTAGGGATGACTGTGAGGGAAAAAGGGTTATGCAAACTATTTACAAATACCTTCGGTTGGGACATGTGGCTAGAAAGGTACGGGAATAAGGAGATATTTAAGACTAAAGGAAAAGAAGAGAAACTGTGCCTGGATTTAGCTCCAGGGAGAAAGGGTGGGAAGGAAGGGAAAATAAATAAAAGTTTTTGCGCTTTACAAAGTCCAAAAAGGTGAGATGATGTCAATGTTATATAAATAATTCTAACAGAGTATAGGAACTTCTCCATGTATCCATGGATTCCATATTTTATGGAAGAATTTGTTGCATAATTCTGCTTTGAGTCTGTCCATCTCTATAGCCTTATTTTACGTGCGACTATAGACATGCTAGGAATGTCTTCTTTAGCCCATAATTCACCAATGGCTTTGCAAGTTGCTAATGCAACTTGTTACTTACTTGTTCTAAGCTCTAGTTAAGGTATCCAGTGGTTTAGATAATAATAAAGCCCACAGGTAAAGTTTGCCTAGATTTTGAGTAAGCAGGGGGTGACCTGTGTCCATAGTGGTGTAAGTCTTGGGCAGAAACCCCAGAAATGCATAAATGTTCCAGTTTCTCCACACAGTTTCCAGCAGAGGCTACTAAGTCTGATACACATTTGGGCTAATATATGTGGTGTAAGGTATCGGTAAAATAGTATTTTGTGAGCCATAATCATTTTGTGTTCTCATTTATAACTCAGTAATCCTCTATTTACCAATATATGCATGTATTTTGCTAATTATGATGACATTATAGCAATATCAGATGTATTTTCTGCCCTGAGAATTGATCATTTTACTTTGTCTCCTGCACATTGTATTAGAGAAAAAATATTTTATTTTCTCTATCAAGTTCTACTACCAGACTAAATAACTGCTGTAGGATAGAACATAGCACCCACCTTTGACAATATTTGCATGGATAGATTAGAACACAAACACACAAACATATGTTACTGGTATAGATATACTGACAATATTATGGTGGGGTGGAGTGGAGTGGTATATTTTGTCCCTAAAACTGATTCTTAACACTTTGAATGCCTTTTCTAAAGGCATTACGTTCACTATTACTTACCATATTCAAAGTACTGATGCTTTTGCTACTAAATATAAGTACATGAAAAGTAATTTTTAAAGCAAAACAACATAATTGGAAAAAAATTAAGTTTTCAATTATATTATGTTTATCTTAAAGTTAAATATCATATTGAAATCTGCAATTTTCACAAACAGGATTAGATTACTGTCCATATCAGGGAGTCAGTAACCTTTATAGTGTTAGCAATATTGCACAGCAATATTGCATCCACACATTTGTATATATTTTTTACATATATTTGTGGGCTAAATAAATTCATTTTTTGAAGGTTTATATTATAAATGCCTACTGTGATAAATTAAATTATACATTGAAAGAAACCCAGAAACTAATAACAATGATGCTCATTCATTCATTGTGAATGTTGGATGTTATACAGTTACCATGAGCTGTAGCTGCTTCAGTAATATTATTGGCTTTTCTAAGATTAATGTTGACATGTTTTGCATTGATGTTCAATCCCAGAGCTGCCCATGCTAATGGAGAGAAATGATGGAAATGCCCACTGGCTCTTCTGACCTAGATAGCAGCGGCTGTTGTGTGACGGCTAGTTTGGCCACACAGCCTGATTGATTGAAGAGCTTCAAAAGGACAGTTGCAGCATTGTCTGTTTCTAATATAATAGAAGAAGGTTCTGCGACTAAATGTTTTACAGAATTACAGTAACTCAACATGCTTTTCAAGAAAGTGGAGAAAATTACTATTATGTTATACTGTATGATTGTATGATACACCTTGATATATTTATATGTTGTTGGCAAAATATGGAGAAAAAAAAATATAATTTGTCATACTACTTAGGAGGGAGTAGTAAATATAAATAATAGACAGAGGTTACGTTATTAGATACTCATTTATGTTTGTATGCGTGTCACCATGGAGTTATTAAAAAACCTATTTTTTTAACTTATCATATTTTATCTACATGTACTTTTTTAGTTGTGTCTCTTTTTTTCTATTTTTGTAAAAGAGTAGGAATTCATTTGTTGTATGGCCCACTGGGGCTCAATCAATATTTAAAAGCTTTCTGTGCTAAAACTCCTTTTTCTAACACCTCACTACATGTACAAACCATTGACTGTTGGCTGAACCCAATTAAATAATACAGCTCAATCTGCCATTTCTAATATTTTTCTGATATTTTTTAAAATTATTTTTACACACCTAGCTTTTATTGAATCCTTTCAATCATATACAAGGTAAACAATTTTTCCAATATGCCATATAAGTTTTAAGTACAAGGTACAATGCAAGGCATTAAATCGTTCAACATTGTAGTATTGAAACAATTAACATAAAATAAATATAAACTGTGATAGGATGATAGGAGAAGCATTTGTTACTCTTGTTCTCATCAGCTATTCCAATGAAGAAATCTAATATTTCCAGGCACGGATGAACGACAACAAAGAGTTTGAGGCTATGTGGAAGCAGTGTTCTTGCTGCCTTTTCTTGTCTATATAACTTATTATGTGGGAATGTTTAGGCACCAAAGGTGATTTCCAAATTTGTGATATTAGCATTTTAATAGATGGGAACATAGTAGAGATTAATTTCCATTTAGAATGAATTATAGTCTGAAGGTATAAACCCAAGATTGTGCATTCAGATTTGAAGGGCAGAGTCACTTGTGATTTATCTTGTATTACCTCAAAAATCTCTGCACATAGCCGCATAATATTTGGGCAATGTCACCAAATATGCAAGTACGAACCTTCTTCTCGACAGTTCCTCCAGCAGCGCCTACAGACATTTGGGTACATGTAATATCGTTTGGTAGGTGTTAGATGCCACCTAAAGAGGAGTTTACATAATAACTCAAATTGATTTGTGCATTTAGCAAACCCATAGTAGTATCTGTGTCCATTCTGATTCTGAGAAAACAATACCCAAATCCTGTTCCCATGTCTGCATGCCGGATACATTGAAGTCATATGGACCTGGGTAGTAGAGTAACAGATTGAGATTGCACTTTTGATCTGAGTTGCATTACTTGCTAAAGATTCGATAGGGGTCAGTGTAGCATTTTTTTATATTGAGGATGAGGACATCAGCTGCCTAATTCCGAGCTGGAATACACAATGGCTGAGTATGTTTGTTTTAATTTGAGATTCCGAATTCCACCCATGGAAAAAAGAAATGATTGATGGGAAAAAAGATAATTGATGGCTAGGCAACAGTCACTAAATATATTGATTTTATTCACAGATCAAATGAGAAGTGACCAATAAAAGGAAAAAAGTAGGAGCAGTAATCAAAATCTCTCTCTACATATATTGTATATTTAATACATTTAATATATCATACCAATATATGAATATAAATACGTTTACGGTCAATGCTGTTTTTCCATCTATTGGTTACTGTTTCTCATGTGAACTGTGAACCAAATGGCAGTAATTTTCTTTTATGGTATTATGTATGTATTTTGCAATACATTGATTTTTGTGCTTTGGCTTCTGTAATGCATCTCCTTTATAGATTACTGAAATTTGGACAAGCCGCAGCAAAATATGGCTGAAATTCACCTTTGCCAATTTTCCTTTTCTTTGGAAAAATGGTTTGGCCACACCAACTATTCTCACTATGCACGAGTCTTATAGTTTTAAAAATAACAAAATGTAACTTTTGATTTTCACATCACTATGATTAAAAGAACACTCCAAGCCCCATGACCACCGAGGTCCATTGTAGTGGCGATGGTGTAATGGTCATACTATCATAGAGTTTCCCTTTCTAGATTTTCATAGTGAAATCTCTGATATTGGTATCCTAACCCTTGCCAATCTTCCTGACCAAAAGATCTGTTGTTGTTTTGAATAAAACTCAAAATGTTCAGTAGAGAGCAAAGAAAAAAAATTAAAAGTTTTTAATCAATGACCTTGTTTAAATATGACACAGCCCCCATCTCTGCCAGGTGCACAGGACAGAGCTTATAGCAATGACTGACAGGGAGCTAAGATGGAGACGGACAGTTGCAGGATAAAGACTTGTGGATTTCTACTTTCATCTAATTTTTCACACCGCATAAATACATATTTGTTAAATTTAAGAGCTAAATAAACAAAATATTTAAAAACCTGGGAAGTGACAGCTCCCCTTTAAGCTTTGACAATCTGTGGATGTATTGTGGCAGTCTTATTATCAAGCCATCTCTACATGCTGTTTGTTCTTTGCAACCAGAAAGTGACAACTAATGAACTTCAGGAATGTTTTTTTTAAGGTTAAATAAGTTTCATGAATTTTAAACCAATTAATTTTTAAAAATCTTCCGATGCTATCCAAGGTTTTAGTTAAAAGGATATATTGCTGAGGCAGATGGAAGCATGGCCACATTACCTGTATCTTTAATTATTTAGGCTGCAAAATTTTACTCTATCTGACTGTTATTTTTTTCTTCAATGTCTCTTTCATTGCTGAATCCAGGGACATGCAGCTGTGCTCAGTGAATCCTGATGGCACTGACAACTCTAAATAGAAAATTGCATTTTTTAAATCCACGGGGCCAATGAACTCTGCACAAACTACAAGTAGGGCAGTGATCTGTGAAGTTTACTGTTTACTAAATGCTGAATCTCATCTACTATTTCCTTTCATTATCTGCCAAGACTGTTGACTTCCTTTTTACACCAAAATAGGCAACTATAATTGTGACCGATATTATTCTGTCGTTAATACTAAAAGAATCCTGCAGATGGAAGAAATAATAGAAGAGCATTTTCTTTCCCTCATTAATGGATAATATTTTGTTTGAGAGTAATCAAAAGGTTAAAAAAAGTAAAATTGTGATGATGCAAAAGATTCAAGAATTATTTATCCTATTTACAGTTGGAATTAAAATCATTCAACCCCCCATTGAAAATCAGGTTTGTTGTCAAAATGTACAGACTTTCAGCTGTTTGAAATTAACAAATCAAACAAAAGTAATTAAAATAGCTCAACACAACAGATTCTTCAAGTAGTTTCCCCAAATTCAACTGAAGATGCAACTTATAATAACTTCTCCAGTCTCAACATTATTCAAAATGTTTTAAAACCTAAATATAATCCCTCACAACAGCACAAATATGCAAAACAGGTGTTGTCTCAAGCATATCGGATGCAACTAATCAATGGGTTCATTAGTTGCACTAGGTGTGCTTGAGCCGGAACACTTGAAATACTTGAACTGGCTAGTGGTTTGTTGAGTGTCTCGTTTGACTGCATGTTAGAAATAAATCAAAAGAATGGTCCACAAAGTTAAGAGAAAAATCATCATCCTGCACAAACAAGGAACAGGATACAAAAACATAGCAAAGGCACTGAATGTTCCTATAGACACCACTGGAAGCATAGTTAGCAAGTTCTAAGTTGAAATAACAGTGGTTACACTACCTACCTGGATGGATCATAAAAGGAAGCTATCAATGGCTGCAACTAGATTCCTGAGAAGGCAGGTTGTGACTGCAAAAGACCTGCAACAAGACTTGGTAGCAATAGGCATTACGGTTTCAATGAGCACAGCAAGGTGCTTACAAAGTGCAAAGGTTTTCCATGCCCAAACTCCGAGATGTACACCACTACTGACCCAAAAGCACAAGAAAAGTCTTCTCTAATATGCTCAAAATCATTTAATTAAGCCACAGAAGTTTAGGGATTCTGTTCTGTGGAGCAATGAAATAAAACTGGAACTTTTCAGCCCCATGTATCAGCGGTATGGAAGAAGAATGAAGCATATGCTGAAAAGAACTCTCTGCCTACAGTTAAGTATGGTGGTGCCTTGGGCTGATTTGAATCCTCTGGCACTGAAAACCTGCAACATGTGGAAGGCAAGATTGATTAATTAAAGTATCAGAAAATCCTAGGAGAAAATGTCACTCTGTTTGTAAGGAAAATTAAGCTTGGGCATCATTGGACCTTCCATGAAAACAATGATCCCCAATATAAAAGACAAATTCACGTAATAATGGCACTAAGAACAGACCAAGGAAATTATTGGTAAAAAGTAGCTGCACTTCACACAGTGTACAGCCCATCACAACATGGACTCCAGAGGACTTACTTTTCTGGGTATTCAGGTAGTTAATAAACTCTATAGGGGGGTAATCACATCCAGAAGATTGGTGTGGAGGAAATTAACCCCTTAAGACCGCAGGGCATTCTATGCCGTCCTTATTTAGATGGCTCTAAACACCGCAGGGTGGCATAGAACGCCCTGCGATCTTTTGTACTTACCCGGTCGCCGGCGATCCCACGCCGGCGATCGTGGTATGGGGACTTACCTGGGAGCCCAGGGAGTCCCCCTCTGTCCTCTTCAGCCCCCCTGGGCCATGTGATCACGAGGTCCATGTGAGGACTCTGTGACCACATGGACGGCATAGCTGTCCAAGGCATTGACAGCAGGGGGAGTGCCTGTAATGACAGGTACTCCCCCCTGCTGCCTGGAAATAAAATTAAAAGATGTTAAAACAGTGTAAAATTAAATAATATATACTTATATCATATATTTATTTATTATATATATGATCTAAGTATATATATATATACACATATACACACATACGGTACACATAAATACACATACACTGTCTACGTGTATTTTAATATTAATATATACATAATTATATATATATTAATACCAAATACACGTACAATGATATTGATTAAATATATATATAATTTTCATTATATATATATTTATATATTATAAAAAATAAATATATTAATATGTAAAAAATAAAATTAAAAAATAATACAAAATAAATTGATTAAAAATAAATATACATGCGTAATTTCGTTCTAACTGTATTTTAAAATTAATATATATATATATTGATATCAAAATATATGTAGAACGAAATAATATATATCTATATACATAAGTATATACGTATATATCACTATATATATACCTATATATAAATAAAAATAATAAAAATAATATATACATATATATATATACACACATATATATATATATATATATATATATATATATAATTCTACGTATATATTTATGTAATAATTTTACATAACTAGGTCATTTTATTAATTACAATTTGCAGGACCTGCCTGACAACCCAGACCGAAAGTTCAGGGAATGTAATTTTCTAGCACTATATTTAACCCTGTAACTTTCCAAGACACCATAAAACCTGTACATGGGGGGTACTGTTTTACTCGGCAGACTTCACTGAACACAAATATTAGTGTTTCAAAACAGTAAAATGTATTACAACGACGATATCGTCAGTGACAGTGACATTTTTTGCATTTCTCACACACAAATGGCACTTACATTATAATTGTTGTGATATGTTTTACAGTTTTGAAAATTACCCCCATGATGGCATACCATTTGCAATAATAGACAACCCAGGGTATTGCAAATTGGGTATGTGCAGTCTTTTTTAGTAGCCACTTAATCACAAACACTGGCCAAAATGAGCGTTCAAATTAGTTTTTTGCATTTTCAAATATTAACACTAACTTTGGCCAGTGTTTGTGACCAAGTGGCTACTAAAAAAGACTGGACATACTCCATTTGCAATACCTTGGGTTGTCTACTTTTGCAAATGGTATGCCATCATGGGGGTAATTCTTATTCCTGGGCTACCATATGGTCTCAAAGGCAACGTAACCAATCTGGTGAATTTCAATGTGAAAAAACTGAAACATGTAACACGCTATATTTAACCCTGTAACTTCCCAAAACACTATAAAACCTGTACCTATGGGGTACTGTTTTACACGTGAGACATCGCTGAATACAAAGATGTGTATGTTACTGCAGTAAAGCAAACAGTATTTTGACATTCACAGTTAAAATGTCACGTAGAACTAAAAAAATTAAAAAAATATTTAATTCTCCCATTTTTTTAAATATTTTTTCATATGAAATTATGTTCCATACCTAAATATTTGATGTTAAACGAAAGCCCTGTTTCCCCTGATTAAAATGATATATAATAAGTGTGGGTGCATTTAATATGAAAGAGGTGAATTACGCAAATGCCAGGTTTTGTTTACGTTTTGTTTTGATCACAACTTGTACATTTGGCTGCGGTCTTAAGGGGTTAAATAGGTGCACAGACTAAAAAGTCTGGAACCCCATGGGTTAAATATTGAATTGGATCTTGTTAATTTTTTTTAATTTGTATAATAATTTTTCAGTGTTTTTTAATTACTATAGTCTTTTTATTTTATTAACCAAAATGTGTTTTATATATATATATTATGCATTTGTTCTGAATTTTCTCTTCTTTTAGATATGTACACACTTTATTTCCACCTATCCAAGTCTAGGATTTCAGTATAATGACTGCCAATACATGTTTTTGCTCATTTATATAGGTGATTGCTCTATAAATTGATTTTAATCCTCTTTCCATTCTTTTTCTTAAAGGACCACTATAGTGCCAGGAAAACATACTCGCAAGAGCTGCGCGTGCATTCAGCCGGTCGCATAGGAAAGCATTATCAATGCTTTCCTATGGACGCTTGCGTGCTCTCACTGTGATTTTCACAGTGAGAATCACGCAAGTGCCTCTAGCGGCTGTCAATGAGACAGCCACTAGAGGATTTGGGGGAAGGCATAACCCATTCATAAACATAGCAGTTTCTCTGAAACTGGTTTTTCCAGCGCTGGGCGGGGAGCTCTCCTCCTCTGATCCTCCTCCGTTCCTCCCCGTCGGCTGAATGCACACGTGCGGCAAGAGCTGCGCTTGCATTCAGCCGGTCGCATAGGAAAGCATTATCAATGCTTTCCTATGGACGCTTGCGTGCTCTCACTGTGATTTTCACAGTGAGAATCACGCAAGCGCCTCTAGTGGCTGTCAATGAGACAGCCACTAGAGGATTTGGGGGAAGGCTTAACCCATTCATAAACATAGCAGTTTGTCTGAAACTGCTATGTTTATAAAAGAATGGGTTAAGCCTAGCTGGACCTGGCACCCAGACCACTTCATTAAACTGAAGTGGTCTGGGTGCCTAGAGTGGTCTTTTAGTAGGCTATTTTATTGTGATTATTTTTATGTATCAGTGGAGAGTTTTTAGCCATTTAAGGAACATACCCCTTTTAAGTGAAGGTTCATTATGAACTAAGAAATCAATTCATGCATATTCATGAGGTATTACACCTCAACCTATGAACATCTTCCCTTTGAAACTATCTTGGGTGATATAAGCCCACACTAAGGACATAAATACGAACTGTGGGCAAAGTAAGGGCGGATCTGAGGAAATGACGCTCTGACCCCAGAACGATCAAAGTACACCTACTTGATCCCACAGCCAGCTGTGGAGAGCATCAGGAGGGACTCTATCGGAGGGGTAAAAAGGCACAGAGAAGACTCTGACAGCTTGCGGCTTTTTAATCAGTTTACAAATAAAATGTTACACATGGTGCAACAGCAGCAATATCCATTAAATTGTTAAACGGATACTCCACTAACTAAATTTTAAAAAAAAGTAAACATTTTTTTTTTAAATGCTGTTTAGTAGATATACCCGTAATGAAAACATACAAGCATTTAATTATATAATTGGGATGTATTTAAAATGACTTACAAAACCTGCAGTTCTCTTGTGTGCTGCCTTTGCAAGACCTCCCAATCTAATCCCGCTCAGACTTTCTATGGCTGTCCAACCACAGACTTCCCTATATAGCTCAATGAGAAGTCTTGGCAAGGCAAGTTCTCTGGTTAATTGCTGCTTCATGAGTTTAGCTCCACTGAGCTAACCAAACCGGGAAGTAACAGGACCAATTGTCTGATTCAAAGCCAGAGGAGTGTAAAAAAAACGTAACTGCTTTACGTGTATGGAATGTTCCTTTAAGACTTGCAGGTGCTAAGCATCATCAACATGTAATGAATTATGGTACTTTCCCTGATTCAGTGCAGTTGGCGGCATGGCTAGTAGCTGCACTTTTAAACCCTATTACAATACAATGGAGGAGAAGAGGAACCTTTAACAAAGGGCAAAGAATTGTGGCATTATAACTTCAACAACAAGAAGTTGACATGGTGCCCTCCAGACTTCCTTTATGTTTGCCAACAACATATGCTCAGAATTTAGTGGATTACTTTGAATAGATTTGTTTTTTGCATTTAAGAAAAGCTAACAACTTTACTACCTAATAACTTCTGAAAGTAATATTTTAGATTTTCATTTTAGCAACAACAAAAAAAGAGACACGACATATCTATCTCAAAACGATAATATAGGCATCAGCAGAGGGGACATGTCTTGGTTTCTTACAGCTATTTATACTTTAGAAAAAGTGTCAAGTAAAATTAATTTCACTTAAAACCCATAACAAGAAAAGAAGACTCATTTATTTATTTAGTACCTGTTTTGACACCTCTGCTCTTTACTGTCCAGTGATTTATGCAGTAACTGTTGAATGATGACAGTAAACTTCAACTGCAAAGTCAACAAAAGAGCTTAGGTTCATTTATCACTGAATACTGACCTGTATATAACATTCTATCGCTTTCCATTAGCCATTGCCCATCACTGTCTATCAATTTTCCTTTTAACTTATCTGACTTTCTTTCATTTTTCATCAATGTAAATTTTTTTATGATGATGTAATTAACTAGGTATTATTGTCCATTATTATTATTGTTATTATTTATAAAGCGCCTACAAATTCCACAGAGCTGTACAATAGGTGGACTAACAGACATGTAGTTGCAACAAAATGAGTTGATGCACAGGAACAGAGAATGTTGGGGGCCCTGCTCAAATGGGCTTGCAATCTAGATTGAGTGGGGTAAAGTGGCACATAAGGTAACAGTAGGATGTATTCATGTAGGGGAAAAAGCAGGTTACTAAAATGGTTTACAATGAAGGGTTAATTCTTTTGGATGACAGTTGCAGGAGAAGAAGCAAGGTGGGTTACAAAGGTACAGGGAAGGAAAGCTATGGACAGTTTAATTGATATTCTGATATTGGTTACTTAATCCACCAATCAGAGAGTTGAATCAAATTACACAGCATGGGAAAATTCCAAAGAACTTTCCCACGCTGTGTAAAATGACACAGAGCACTCTGATTGGTGGATTTCAAACCAACCAATCAGAGTGCTGTAACAGGTAAATGTAGAGACTTGCCAGTCTCTTCATTTACCTGTCAGAGCACTCTGATTGGATGGCTTAAACCCACCAATCAGAGTGCTCTGAACCTAATTGCAGTCTGTGGGGAGCCCTCCATGGGTGAAGATGGATTATTTCTTTTGCGCTCGTTTTTTTTTTTTTTTTAAAGTGCGTCGGTTATTATGGATTTTTTATTTGGCCTTTTTTGGGGTTGAAAAAAGAAGATTTTAGAAGAAAGAAAACATCGAATGTTAAGTTTTATTTTTTTTACAAGTACTTAGTTAAAGGTCCCCCCTCATTATTTTTAGGGTGAGGGGGGTAGGTAGGGGTTAATTTTTGTTTGGGGGTAACATTTTTATTTAGGGCCCCCACCCACCGCTCAGGGGTGGAGGCCAGGGGGGAGGACATTAGGTCCCCCCCTTATTAGTATTTAGGGCCCCCACCCGCTGCTCATGGGTGAGGGCCAGGGGGGAGGACATTAGGTCCCCCTCCTTTATTCCAATTTAGGGGCCCCCACCCAATGCTCAGGGGTGGGGGCCAGGGGGAAGGACATTAGGTCCCCCCTTATTATTATTTAGGTCCCCCACCCACCACTCAGGGGTGGGGGCCAGGGGGCAGGACAATAGGTCCCCCCCCATCATTTTACTTTAGGGCCCCCACCCGCCGCTCAGGGGTGGGGGCCGGGGGGGCAATAGGAATTGCCAAAGTCCCAAATTGCAAAAGTCCAGAATTTCGGAATGCTGAACCGAACCGCAAATATTCCCCATGCACATGCCTAATAATTATTATTTGAAATGCTTACTAAAAATAATTAAATTGAGGGCCAAATGAGAAAAAGTACACAATAATGGGTAAAAGAAGAGCAGTAAAAAATAAATCTATTTTTATATATTTACAAGTTATACATGTATTCAATAGTATATATTATAGTTATACGTATATATATATATATATATATATATATATATATATATATATATATATAAAACTATTTCTCCTTTTTTTTTTTTTTACTTCTATTGGGCAATTCTCACTTGACCAGTGGCTGTCCCCTACCCATCAATCATCTTTTTCCCCATAAGTCTTCTCTATTTTTTGGTGCCATGAACAGAAGTCCAAATCACAAATTAATTAAACATGCCTGTCTATTGCACGGGTCATTTGTCTGGCTATACGTACATTTGGCACTTCGGAGTCCTGGAATTTGGACGACTAGCAGATCAGCCTAAATTCAGACAAATTTAAGCTTGTTTGAAACTGAATGCACAGGTCTAATATTTATCAAAGAGGTATGGTAAAAGCACAGTGAAAACATACAAATGCATACTACGTTTTATATATATTTTCTTAATTCTAGGATTTACAATAACAGGGGCAATGCAAACCTGTAGAAATGTACACAAACGTGCATACCTGGTATAGAAATCTGCAACCTGGAAATGCAGGGGTATATACATATTTAATAAGTCTGATATTCTGGAGCAACAGTAGAGATAAAGTGAAAGAAAACACGTTTACATGGAAGGGATATGACAAAGGATCAACAAAGTTTAATAACAAGGAACTGCAGAAGAATTAATTGCCATTCTGTGGACACTCTGTGTTGAATCTGTAATTACAGCTGATTGAGTTTGGTATGCGTTGACTTGTGAGACAGGTGGCAGATGTCTGCCTCTCATGTACACTTAAGGAGAGTACAGAGCTTAATGTTGTTTTATTATATTAAAATATTTTATTGCTGAATGGAAAGAAAGAAAAGAAAGAAAGGGAGAAAAAAGAAGAGAAAAGAATAGAAATGAAGAGGAAGAGAAGGAAAGAAAGATAGAAAGAAGGAAATAAACACAAAGCTAATGTAATAATAAAATTCCTTGAATCAAGTTCAGAAAATCCTAAAGTCTTATACTGCATATGAGTTAGATGGTCATAATATTAATATTAAAACTTCTGAGAATTCAATGTATGAAGAATATGGGATTTATAGATTTAAGAACCAGGGTTTAGTTTATTTGATGTTCTTTTGCATCTGTAACTATTTCTGAATGAGCATGTTTAATAAAATGTTATTATATTCTGCCATGAAGCCCAGTAGCTTTAGTTTTCTTACTGAATTTTAGATGTAAAGTAATGGATTATCTTAGACTTATGTAATGCCTTATGTATCGGACAAGCAGAATTTTGGAAAGGTAAACTTTTGGGAGATCCTCTCTTTAACAAGTTGAAAGTATTTCAAGACAAATATGTTACCCACATTTTAAACTTGATTCAAATTTATACAGGAATTATTGACTGATTTGTACAAACATCACAGTGGCAACGAGGCTGTAGAACCCAAACTGACATGGCAGCCATTGGCACTATAAAGGACTTTGATCCTGACTCAATATTTGAACAATATTTCGCAGCTAATGACATTCCTGACAATAAACAGGTCGCTGTTTTCCTAACAGTTATAGGAGCCAGAACGTATGATACGCTAAGGAGCCTCTTACACCCAGAGAAACCTGCAAGCAAGCCATTGGCAAGCCTGATTACTCTGTTAACTAGCCATTTCCAACCAAAACCACTAGAGATAGCAGAGAGATTTAAATTCTATAAAAGAAGACAAGAGCCTGGTGAATCAGTTTCAGCATATGCCATTGCGTTACGGAAACTCGCCAGCACATCTTTTGGGGACTGCCTGCCCACTGCTCTGCGAGACCAGTTTGTAATGGGCATTGCAAGTGATGCAGTGCTAAGGAGACTGCTTACAGAAGAAGATTTAACATTTAAAAAGGTAATGAACGTGGCAGGCATTATAGAACAAGCCTCTAAGGATGCTAATCTATTACACAGCAGCAGACTGGACAACACACAGGAGGCAGAGCTAGAAGTTTTAAAATTAGACGCTAAAGCACCAAGTGAACCACAGGGAACATTCACATTACAAATGTTATCGCTGCGGAGCTGCTACACATGTTGCAACTACATACAGATTCAAGGATGCCAAGTGTCATGCTTGTGGTAAAATGGGCCACCTACAAAGAGTGTGTAAATCCACAGCAGAGAGAGGCAGTAATCACTTGAGAGACAGAGCAAAGAATGCCTATAGAGTACAAACGCAGGAGTTTTCTGAGGATTCGGGTGAACAATTTCCTGTCCGAAATTAAAAAATATATAAAATAGGTTCTAATCTGGCTGCATTCACAGTTCAAGTTGTTGTAAATGGAAAGGAACTGACTATGGATTTGGACACAGGTGCAGCTGTATCAGTGATTTCTTTGACAGACTGGAAACGCCTTAAAATACATAGGCCAATAATTCGGACAACAGCGAGACTGCAGACATATTCTAAAGAGCTGTTAATACCAGTAGGCTGTGTGACAGTCACAGTTACATTCAACAAGTGTAAGAAGAAACTACCTCTCTATATCTTAGAGAATGGAGGACCTCCACTTTTTGGTAGGGAGTGGATAAGGGCTCTCGGGATGCCTCAAGTGCATAAGTATCCATGTCATGTGTTGAATGAAAATCAGACCAGACTTGACTGGATTAGGGAATTACAGGAAAAGTATGCACCAGTGTTTGATGGCCAATTGTGGACTGTAAAAGTACAACAAGTTTCCTTAGAATTAAAGGAAGGAGCAACACCGAAATTTTTTAAAGCAAGAAGTGTGCCTTTTGCTCTAAGAGCTGGAGTGGCGGCAGAATTGAGGAGATTAGAGGAGCTGAATATCATCTCCCGGGTTCACAGTAGTGAGTGGGCTTCGCCCATTGTTCCTGTGGGAAAACGAAATGGGGAGATACGGATTTGTGGGGATTTCCGCATGGCTCTTAACACACAGCTTAAAATAGATAAGTATCCCCTTCCTAGTGTAGATGATCTTTTTGCATCATTTGCAGGTGGCCAGAAATTCACCAAAATTGACTTGAAAAATGCATACCTATAGTTATATGTACATCCAGATTCTCGACCACTACTTACGATTAATACCAATCGGGGGCTATTCAGGTATAACCATATGGTTTTTGGCATTTCACCTGTACCAGCTGTCTGGCAGCGAACAATGGACAAGCTGTTAGTTTGAATTCCTGGGACACAGTGCCTGTTAGATGACATGCTGGTGACGGGTAAATCAGAGGAGGAACATAAACAGAATGTAGAGGCAGTTTTGCAAAGACTTATGGAATATGGATTGAAGGTAAATTTGGATAAATGCCAATTCATGCAGGAGTGTCTTGAATTTTGTACTCATGTAATTGACAAACATGGACTGCTCCAACTCCACGAAATCTGACACAACTAAGGTCCTATCTTGGTCTGTTAAATTATTACAGCCGTTTTTTGCCAAATTTAGCTCATTTTCTGTACCCTTCACATCGTCTTCTAGAGAGTAAACGATAATGGCGCTGGACAGTAGAATGTGCTTCAGCTTTCCATAAGTCAAAAGAACTAGTTCGTAGTTCACGTCTTTTAGTACACTACGACTTGGAAAAGCCTGTTTCCATTGCTTGTGATGCATCACCTTACGGACTGGGAGCAGTCCTGTCTCATTCCATGGCTGATGGGACAGACAGGCCAGTGGCTATTGCCTCTAGATCGCTTACAGCTGCAGAAAAAAACTATTCTAAAATAGATAAAGAGGCTCTGGCAACAGGATGGGCAGTAAAGAAATTACATCTTTATATATATGGTCGACCCTTCACACTGCTTACGGACCATAAACCTTTATTGACAATTTTTAACCCACAGAAAAGTATTTAAATCACGACAGCAGCAAGACTTCAAAGGTATGCCTTAACTCTGGGGGCTTATCAGTATCAGATACAATATCGTCCAAACGCTCTGCATTCTAATGCAGATGCATTCTCTAGACTTCCATTGAAAATGGATCCACAATTAACTACCACAGAAAGATCTACAATATCCTGTTATATATATATATAAATAAAGTGAGTTCTTTGTTATACAGGAATTAGTGGCTGATTTGTACAAAACATCACAGCAACCCTGTTACAAAATGTTCTAAATCAATTAAAAAAGGTATTACAAGATACTACGATTATTATTTTACATCTGCATCACTGGACTTGTAGGCTTATATTTCAACTTCAGTTTCTGAATTTTAAAATTAGAATAGCTTTCAAGATTTTTATAGGAATGTTATAAGCAGGAAAGTAAATGATTATGTTTGCTTTTGCAGAATCCATAGCACTAACCTCCATTTTGCTCTGCATGACATAATTAATAGCATTACAGCATGGTATTATTAATTAATTACTTAATGACACATGAAAACAGCTTTAACACACTGCGAAGAATAATGTTTGTTCATTCTAATCATATTTTAATGTCGTTTTTAAGATGGGAACATTTTCATACACTCAGATATTGGCAAACAATAGTGTCAATTATGCCACAAAGTGCAAAAGGACAATTTCTCCCCTAAGCATCCCCATAAACGATAACATGTTATCCCATCATCACAATCTTGTTCTCCAAATCCATTTGCTGCATGAAATGTCCTAGATTTTTCCTACATCGTCTTTGTGCAGTCCTGCCAAGGCTCAGTAGGGCATTACGTGTCAGAGTCCTATTGGTAGCACTAGGCAGCTATGATGATATACCAGTAATGGAAAATGTCTTAAGCCAAGTTTGGAGCAGAGGAGAGCCTAAGTGGATGCATTGCTTACATGGAGGGATGTAGTGTGCCCCCCTTTCTATTTTAAGTCATAGACATTTTCTTATCTGTGCATTATCTTCTGATGAATTTATGTTATGCTGCACTATTCTTATTAAACTGGCACAGTAAGGAATGCTTCCCTTATTTGTTTATGCATCTACCCGAGTCTGGTGTACATACTTTACTTCTTCTATTTGATCAATCTCAGGGATTGAAACACCAGCACCGGGGATTTGACTAAGCATGGGAGTCTTCAAAGTAAGTAGATATTTATATATGAAAAGATCATTCTTCCAGATGCATTGTTAAGACTGGGGCAGGGGTTAGAAAATATTTGGTTACATTCATGATATATAACCCAGCAACATAGCTCACAGTCAATTAATTATAATGCACTTTCTTTTTAAGGAATACTCCAAGCCCTGGTGCCTCAGTGTAAGTAGTCAAACAGTTTAATAATGACAACCTATTGTGGTGCATGCCAGTCACCTCCTCTATGAGAGCCAGAAGCTCTCTGTATTGAGCTAAACCTAGTATGAAGGACTTAACGTATTGGCTGTTCTCAGCCAATAAGTTATCCCTGCATGGCAGGATTTAGCTCAGGAGAGTTCCAAGCAGGAGCTACCAGCTCTCCATAGTGAAAATGTCTGGCAACCAGTGGACTCTAGGTAAGAAGCCAAACCATTTGCATTCAGTTTAGCTAGTGATTCTGGGGGGCAAGTAGGGCACTCCTGGAACCATAACCACTACAGTAAGTTGTAGTGTCTATGGTGCTTGGAGTGTTTGTTAGAACAAATATATTATGGACCCAAACTGTTGACTTGGCAGCTCAGCCAATTGACATTGCAGCTGGCTAGGCAGTCTGCAATTATAGAATTTATATCACATCTGTATAATATGTGAGGATTTGCAAGACAGACAAAAAAGGCATAGCCAAGCTTTGAACACCTTCAAAATGGAGCATACTACAACCAAGATGTATGCATTTAAATCTTCAAAGTTTGAAAAAAGAGTTTATTCTGTAACATAGCTATTGCATCACTAGTATACCATTTACTCAAGACAATATACTGTGACTAACATAAACTAATAAGAAATCGAATGAGAGCATGTCCATTCTACATTAGGAGAAATTTTATATGCATAGAGATGAAGGCCAACAAATATAGGAACCAATCACTATATATATTTAATACATACTTTGGACTCTTAAAGCAGCTTCAAATGTGAAGAGTATGCCCTCTTTTTTCATTTTACAAAAAGTGCAGATTTCAGTGGAAATTGGCACTTTTATAGATTAACCTTGTTACACCCCTCCCCCCACCCACCAATATGTCAATCAGTCAATCATTCTTTTACTTCCTGGGTTGTTTAGCTCAGTGAAACTAAACTCAAGAGGCAAGAAATTGCCCAGAGCACATGCCTTGCAAATACGTTTCATTGAGCTGTACTTGGAAGTCTGCAATTGGACTGTCACCAAAAGTCTGGGTGGGGTTTGAAGGGGATGGCTTGCAAAGACTTCAGACAAGCTTCATACAAGTCAAGGGTTCTGAAAACTGTTTTTCAATACACCCTCAATGAAAATGTTTTCATTGAAGATATATCTACTAAACAGTGCTTTTTATTTATTTATTTTAGTATTTTAGAAGTGTAGTGTCTCTTTAGGGTTCCAATACATATTAGTGAAACATTGAGTAAAAAAAAACACAATACTCGATCCTTAAATTTATGACATGTTATATTGTTTTGATATCTTTTGTTTGAATTCAACTTGCATTACTGCAGTATATATTGATTATATACTCTATTGCAGGGGTCCTCAAACTACGGCCCCCCAGATGTTGCTGAACTACAACTCCCATGATTCTCTGGCAATCTATGTAATTCAAAGAATCATGGGAGTTGTAGTTCAGAAGCATCTGGGGGGCGGAGTTTGTGGACCCCTGCTCTATTACATGCTCTGCATTTTTTTGTTTTATTTTATGTTAATTGCATTATATTGTTTTGGTAACATTGCAGCAGCAGGGATATATATAGATTATATAGTAGGTAACATTGCAGCATCGGGGATATATATTCAAGATCAAAGAAGAAAACCAGATCCCAAGTGGTGTAGCATAATTTAGTGGCATGGCCAGGTCAAATGTAGTCATTTATCAAATTCAAAAAAGTGAAATTATTTTACAAAAAAAACTAACCTTGTTGTCTCTGAGCCTTTTTTCTGTGTTTAGAATATTTTCAGATTTTCAGCTTAAAGATAATTTTCAGTGCTTTAGTGTAAAGTTTATTATTATAACATAATCTGGCTTTTAATAGCTTCACATTTGTTTGTGGATAGTTAAAATTAAAATAACTACCAAGAGTACAAAAATGTGTTTGTTTTTCCTTAACTTTGTAGTTAGTATATTTATATTTCGTATTGTGTGGGTGGGTGTGGGTTTGCTTAGTATTCCTATAAAAGTCATGACATGTGCATAGTCTGCTATGCGGCATATGCTTAAACCCAGCACCAATCCCCATAAAAACATGGACACCATATTTTTGGGTAAAAAATTAGCACAGCTTTTATTGATAATTAGTTTTAACAAGTAAAAATTAAGGTCATTGTCAACACCATGCCAACATTGACATGTAAAGCCTTTATACAATTAAACGCCCCGACAATGACCCACTCTTACATTAACCATAAATCACAACAACATTATAACACCATATAATTAACGTTAAACACATAACAATTGCCACCAATGGCATCCATTTTCACAGTTCCACAATTGTACACAACCCAAGTTCTGAGCTACCAACAAGCCTGAACCTACCAAACCAGTCTAAATGCCTACCTATTTTCCCTGAACTAAACCTTTTACCCCATATCAATCCGACCTACCCCCCCAACTTTTCTCTCCATCCCCCGCAACAGCTCAGAGCTTGACTCCTCAAGCAACCTGACCGTCCCCCAGCAAAAAAGAGTGCTTGCTGCTGGCCTCCTGAAAACCCAACAGTAAAAACTCTAAGCCAACTTTGGAGAGATGAACCCACATCATGCCTGTAATATCCTGTAAGCATGGCTTCCAAATCCTTATGCCTAATCAACACCCCTCAAACCGCCTGACATACGCAGCCATTACCTTGTTCACTTTACTTCTAATCTTAGCCACCGCAGAAGAATTCTGCTCGTGGCGCCAGTGACAACGAGGAACCATTTCCAAACAAATTACCAAAACCCCGGGCACTAATTCTCTCAATATGTCCACGTCCCTCTTCATACCTAGAATCAAATCCCTTTGGGGCATCAGCCCCAGATCATTTCCCCCCCGCGTGAAGCACTACCATATCTGACACCTGCCCCAAACTAATCTTACCAAAAATTTCCAAGCAATCCCAACCCCGATAACCAAACCACCGGAGTCAAATCAGGGAGCGAAGAAAACCCAGCTGTAAACCGTGATGGCGAACTGCAGCTCTCTGATGTGCCCAGTAAATGTGGGAATGTCCAACCAACCAGGCAGTCCAATCTAGAAAAGAAAGAGACATAAGACAGAAAAACCCCATAGGAAGAGGTAACACCACGATCACAACCCCAACCTGATCTAATCCAGTTTATCGAGCCTAACATTGGATTCCCACTTACCAATTCTCTTAACCAACTCATCCCCAATACCCAATCGAGCAATCTGTCGCAGCAACAATCCTAAATGAATGAGTCCCAAATTGAACTGGTTTCAAGCCTAAACGTGCCAAGGCCAACCTGAAGACCCTGAGGAACTGATACTTAGGGCGGAACCATCTGCATGCAGGAATAAGGAACTCTCTGTCTCTGCACGAACCCTTAGAAAAGCCTTCGCACAAAAAAATGGACACACCCCAATTCCGGGCAATGAAAATAACGCCACCAAACAGCCTTTTCCCAAAACATCCATCTTGGAACAACGAAAATGAGTAACCACCCTGTTATGCCACAATTCGACATCTAAAAACTATAGACCCCCACACCCAAATCAATTGGCACTGACCAACTCACTAACCCGAAACGCCCCAAAAAAGGACCAACTTAAAACCAGAGAGAACAATAAGACTTCATACTGGGAAAAGCACACTTCAGGTAGCACCTGAACCACCCGTTGAAGAATGTCGGTCAACACTGGCCTCCTAGAATCGACCGACACCTTCCCCTTCCTAAAGACTTTGAGAGCTTGACAAGCAATAAAATGCTTTGCAACATCCTCCACCCATTAAGCTTAAATAAAAAGGCTAAAGCTGACAATTTACGACCAACCACCGCAGTAGATGCACCCGAAGCTAACGGCATAAAAACCAAAATAACGTGTCCAACAGTGCATCCGCCGAAAGCTGACCCCACTGTGTAGTTCAACGTTTCATTCCATTACTGCCACACCTTACTGTATGCTGTCCAAGTAGAAGGCACCAAAGACTCCCTTTTAAGTCGGCCAAGCAGGAGGTCCCAAGCTGCCATACTTCTTCCGGACAGGACAAACCTTTTACTTGCGTGCCTGGAGTCACCGGATGAAACCTCGCCCACTGCAAACGAGACAGTGAATCAGCGATAACATTTAAAAACCCCAGCACATGACGTACCCAAAAGACAATATTAAATTTCATTCAGTACAAGACAAAGTGACGAAGAAGCCTGAACCACAGGAATAGAGAAAGCAGAAAGCCCATTTACTGCGGCCACTACCGACATATTATCCGTAAAAAAATCTCCTTCTTATCCCACAACTGATGACCCCACATAGCTTATGCTACCACTAGGGGAAATAGCTCTAGAAAAGCTAAATTGGAGATAAGTGCCTTCCCTTCCTCCTGCCATGCTCCCGCACATTATTACACCGAAAAGTAAGCCCCAAAACCCACACTTCCGGACGCATCCGTAAATAACTCCAAAACTGCTGAATCTCAAAAAAAGACCTGCCCATTAAACTCGCAGAGAAAAAACACCCAGACATCCAAATCAGCTTTCATGGATGCCCCAGTGGCCTTTAGCCAAAAACCTGTTATATACCCTACTGATAATAGTCACCTGACATGCGAAGTTCAAACAGCCAATAAATGACTGCAAAGTTTGTAACGTAACTTTTCTGGCATCCCTGACCTCCGACACCGCCCCCCAAAGAGCATTCAATTTGTCTACTGGCAAACGACAGTCTCCCCTGATGGAATCTCCAAGTCCAAAAAACTCAGACACATCGTGGGACCAACCATCTCGTCCCCCGCCAAAGGTACACCAAAAACATGCGCCACCCATTCCAACGTTCTCAATCCTATTCGGCAAGCCTCTGAATGGGAAGGCCCGACGCACAGGAAATCATCCAGATAGTGGTCCGCAAATTTCGTCTTCACCTCAACCCTGACCACCCACTCCAAAAAGATGCTACATTTTTCAAAATAGGCACAGGACCTGCCCAATTTGACATCTCCTGAGTGCAGCGTGGGACTACCCACCCATGAGGAAAGCTCCCGAGCTGTCCCTCTGCGTCATTCCTATATGCATGCTCCCTTTTGCTTGCCTCACGACTTACCCCTTGTCACCCTAATGTTATCCTGGGAGGTGAGACACTGTAACCTGTCAGGGGAAACTATGGAGCATCATCCGTCAGTGGAAAGAGTGGACCCAGCTGCCATCTGTCTAGCCATATGCCCACCGTCTGCCATCCTCCTGCTGCCAACCAAACCTGCACCGCAGCCCACTTCAGGTGAAACCCTTGAGCTAGCAAAAGTGGGGGCAACGGCATTGGGAGCCGACTCACCCAGCTGAAGAACAGCTGATGTCTCCGCTCTTCCACTCCAACCAGCACTTCCAGCATTACCAGATCCTGCTGCAAAGTCTGCCGTTCATCCTGCATCATTCCTGCTGTTCACTGTGCAAATAGGTCTCTGGCCCAAACATAGTAGCCCTTCTCCCAAATGCCCAGCTGCATCCAAAACAAGAAATTCACCTCCTGAATGCTCAGCCGTATGCCAAAGGCCGCATTCGCGAACCGAAAGTTCGGTAGTTTTTGTACTTGTAAGTTCATGTCCCGAAAGTTCGGTAGTTTCCATACCTCCATGTTTGTGGCTCGTGGCTCAAATGTGCAGTTAAAAGAAAATCCTCCTGCTCGCCACCCGACCGTTCAGACAGAGCCTAATTCCTGCACGCGGACACCTATCAGTTTTGCTGTCGACATCCTCACTGACACTGCCTGAATCTCCAGATGGGCTCCGTGGTCACCTCAAACCCAGCACCATGCTGGGGCAGATCCTTATGGCAAAGCATCACCTAAACAAGCCTGCAGCCACTCAACGCCTCCGCGCTGGGGACGTGGCAGATCCTCATAGCAAAGGATCACCTAAATGGGCCTGCATCCACTCAATGCCTCTCTCCTGTACAGCTACCCTGAATCCTCCTAGCCAACCCTCCATCCTGAGCTGAGAAAAACCTGCAAAGGAGACAAAAGGAAAACACTACACAAAAGCCTGTCACAACAACAGGTAAGTGCAACTTAATTAAAATGTCCCCTTAATCTAAAATGGACCCTTTATGTATGGCCAGAAACTCCACCCACAATGTTATTTTTAACCAATCCCATCTCTTTGGCTAAGATAACCAGTGTAGATGATCTCAACCAGTCTAATGTTAATCCATAGGCAACCCTTGGGGAGCTAGTGCACATGTGCAGCAAAATGATATACTGCCCCAATCAAATGGTCTCTATGACATAATCTGACTCAAACAGCATAGTTTAATTCAGCTGTTAAAGCAGAAGCAGCTCTAAAGGCTGTCTGGATGAGGTTGTCTACAGGCATGTTAATTCCTACTGATCAGCAACGTTTTCAGAAGCAAGATTAAGTAGACAGGGAATTTATATAATTATGTAATAATTTTATATTTTTAGGTATCCTACAACATCAATTGATATTTTATTTTTTAATCTGAGATGATAGAATAGGAAACGACTACAGATATTAAATGGATTTGTGCACGTCTTTTTAGTTGTATTTTAACTTACAAAATATGTACATTGTGGTAACAAAGTAAAAGGAGAAGACAGAGATTATGAATATATTATTATCATGTTATAACACTCACAGGCAGACATTGCCAAGTATAGGACACATCTTCAAAGCTGATAGACTAACATAAGGAAAGTTGGAATTACTATGTGATATTAAAAACTGCGTTTGCAGTTCCATGCATAACTGTCCCAACAAACTACATTGTGGGGGGTGGAGCCTGAGCTTCATGGCCGTTAGACACGACTGACATGGGCTCCGCAACACAACCGAATTTTCGGCAAGTTTATGGACTTTCAAAACCTGTGACAATCATTAAAATAGCCTTATCTGTCGTCGGAACCAGACCATTGATACCACATAAGGCACCCTGTCGGATCCCACTGGGACTACCAAAAGGGCCTTAAGCCTGATAACTGCCTTGCCTAAGTGAGACTGGACCATGCCCCAGAGAGACATTGGATGACTTATTTTGGCCGGTTTTAAACGACTTCTGATGCCCTGCATGAAACTAGGTTATTTTCAGTGATGTACTCACTAAATATGATATTGTTTTACTAATTCAGCGAATTAGCATTAATTTGAAATGTTATAACTATGACGCCTGATTCTTGAAGTCTACCAAGGGGCCTCTTGGATGTTATGTTGTTCACTGTGTCTAGACATACTCTTTGCCTAGAAGCTTTTACTATGTCTACTATTTTGACACGTATAAATAGCCTATCTACATTCCTTGTTTTAACAACAACAACAAAAAATGTACTAAAAAAAATGTGCAGCCTATCTCGACATTTTATGCCCAAGCATGTTTTCTCTCATTTTGTTCTATGCCACGTCATTTGCTAATCTGTATATATACTACTGAACTTCAAAAATAAAGAATATGTGAAATAAATAAATAAACAAACTGCAATGTGTTAAAAACTTTGCTCTTAAAAGATAAACAAGAGTCAATTCTTCTCTTTTTAAGTGAACGCATTAAGCAGCCCAGAATGTACTCATCCAGTGTGGTTATCATATTTAAAAAATTGCTTCTAATTTTACTAGCACAGTGAATAAAGACAATTTCTAGCATCTCATTTTTGTAGTGCAGATATACTTTGAACGCACACAGAGCTTGAAATAATAGTTTCAGTTTAACGCCGAGGGTGATTTCACTTTCCTTAATACTAAACGCAAACACTGGAGATGGAAGTACAAAAAGTACAAGAACATTTGTTCTTGCAAATAAAACAGTAATCAAAATTTAACATTAGCAGAAACAATTGAATACAATGGGCATTTCAGTAAAAAACAAAAAATAAAACAATTCTTAGGAAAAATATTAGGCCCCTGGGAAGAACAAAAAGTTCTAATGAATATAAAGACTTTTGAAAAACATTTAAGAATTACATGGCTAGGCAATTAAATTGTTATTTATAATTTTATCATCTATTTTTGGTCTCTGTAATTATTATCATGTTTGCTTTATATAATTTTCTTCATTACTGGAGTTATTTCTTAATACTCTATTGTCTGCTAAAGTCTTAAAATGAATAACAGAATTGTGGAATAGAGTAAGAGAAAATCTTACGACAAGGTACATATTAACTTTGTCTTACATTAGATTAACAGGGTAGAGAGAACAATCGAACACCTATTAACAACCCCATTGAAAAATATGATTTTATGTGTAAGGAATGAATACCTAACACATTATCATGTGTTTCAGCCATTATTCTATTAAGAAGAATAAACAAATCAAATGAAATACATGTTCCCAGCAAGATAATAATGAAACTGTTATTTAAACAATATGTTCCTAATGCAGTTCGATAAACATAAAAATTGAATATTTGGACTAGGAGATTTTGTTCATTCTATTTAGAAGTCTAGACCATCACATCTATTAAACAATTTGGAAATATTTTCTTAAAGGAACACTATAGTCACCTAAATTACTTTAGCTAAATAAAGCAGTTTTAGTGTATAGATCATTCCCCTGCAATTTCACTGCGCAATTCACTGTCATTTAGGAGTTAAATCACTTTGTTTATGTTTATGCAGCCCTAGCCACACCTCCCCTGGCTATGATTGACAGAGCCTGGATGAAAATAAAACTGGTTGCACTTTCAAACAGATGTAATTTACCTTAAATAATTGTATCTCAATCTCTAAATTGAACTTTAATCACATACAGGAGGCTCTTGCAGGGTCTAGCAAGCTATTAACATAGCAGGGCATAAGAAAATCTTAATTAAACAGAACTTGCAATAAAGAAAGCCTAAATAGGCTCTCTTTACAGAAAGTGTTTATGGAAGGCTGTGCAAGTCACATGCAGGGAGGTGTGACTAGGGTTCATAAACAAAGGGATTTAACTCCTAAATGGCAGAGGATTGAGCAGTGAGGCTGCAGGGGCATGTTCTATACACCAAAGCTGCTTCATTAAGCTAAAGTTGTTCAGGTGACTATAATGTAAAGGTCAGTGTGGAAAAGCAGTTCTGATAACTGTTCCTGTACGTCAGTGGTCTGATCTCAATTATGTGTCTGTTAGTCCACCCATTGTATAGCGCTACGGAATTTGTTGGCGCTATATAAATAATAAAATAATAATAATAATAATAATAATAATAATAATAATAATTGGAATCTCTAAGTTACACTGGATTGTGAACTATAGTACCCCATGTAGAAATATGTCACAATCACAGTGAAAATCAGCCGTTTTTTAAAATGAAATCATGTTCCATTTTCTCTAAATGAGCTGTTTTAGTACACTTTTTGCATGTGTTTTAAAGAGACATTTCTTATTTTAATATGAATGAACCTGCTTATATTACATTTACTTTTGTGATAATGTACAGTTTTTACAATGAGCTGAAACAGTGTCGTACTTGCTATACTGCACCAATAATGCACACAGACACTGTCAGGAAAACTCAGGATCTTTATTCTACTTGCCTTTTCTTCCAAAACAAATTAAAAGTGTATTATGGAATGTAATTTTAGAATAACATTTTGTTATTAGCTATTTCTTTGCACTGTTTAGTATATTTGATTTGTAGTAAATGTAGTATCCCCAGCTGTACATGATTAAAAAAAATTAAAAGCTAGTAAACTCATAAACGCCCACAGCCTTCTGGCACCACAGGGTTATCACATCTAAGGCTATATTATTATTATTCTTTTTATCAAATGATGATCACGTATGGAAAATGAAACTCTAGAGCGATTTCTTAATATTAATGCAGTGCAGTAAAGGTAGATATTTTGTTATTGTTTATTTCTTCTTCTCTACTTGTTTCCTATTTACTGTCTTTATTTTTTTTTTTATCATTTGTGACTAAAATTGACATCATTTGTGCGATAGACTTTTTTTTGCTGATTGGAAATGCATTGTTCTGTTTTCTATTATGCCATCCAAAATTGAGAATTATAAAAAGGAAATCTACTCGGTATTTTAAAAATATTTTCAGACGGCTCCAACTTGTATGTAGTGCCATCTGGTTTGAGGAAGTAAGGGGTTAATAATAATGGTATCAGAGGGGGAATGTTATTGAGCAAGGAAGTACTGTGGGGATGTAAACTTGGGAAGGAAGAGTTAATTGGCAGGTTCTTGTTGGGATGTAAATATTGTGGAGAAAGAAATATTCCGCAAAGAATGTGGGAATTTGGATGAGATAAGATACATGACAGAGTATAAATGAAGACAAAGGAGATAGAAATGGATTATTGATTGGACATGTTAGTAGAGTGGTGTAATATATAGTGTGTATGAGTGTTTTATAGAATCCTGCAGTAATGTGCAGTGCATATGAGTGTTTTATAGAACTCCGCAGTAATGTGCAATACATATGAGTATATTATTGAGCTCTGCAAAAATGTTTTATGCTTTCCATCATTGCTTTACAGACTCAAGACATATACACTGAACAAAATTATAAACGCAACACTTTTGTTTTTGCCCTCATTTTTCATGAGTTGAACTCAAAGATCTAAGACTTTTTCTATGTACACAAAAGGCATTTTTCTCTCAAATATTGTTCACAATTCTTTATAAATCTGTGTTAGTGAGCACTTGTATTTTGCCGAGATAATCCATCCACCTCACAGGTGTGGCATATCAAGATGCTGATTAGACAGCATTATTATTGCACAGGTGTGCCTTAGGCTGGTGCTGTTGGAGGTGGAGTTACACCTCTGGCAGCAGAGAACGTTAAAATCTGTATGCGCAGTGTTTCATAGTGAAAATGGTCGTCACTTGGAGTAATCTTTTAAGAAAATAAAGCAATAAAACCTCAGGAAACACAATAAAATGTAAAACATTAGGAAGTTATCTGCTTTTCAGCTGAAATAATAGCTCTCTTGCTGTTTGTAATCTTATCCCACTGATATTATCTATTAGAATAAATGATCTCACATCTGTTTCTTGGCCTATAAAAATTGTACACACTGACAGTAATTTACACTTAAACCTTATGACCATATCATACTTTGCTACAAAAAAAAAATCAACTTCTTGTGCATAATATCAATTTATTTATTATACATTAAAAGCTTTTCCTAATTTTCAAGTGTGGCATTGAATTATGGGGTGCTACCTGTCTGGAAGACAAGATAGACTACCTGTCATGTTTCCTATGAATTAGCACCCTTATTTGTCTGTAGTGAAAAGGACCAGAACCTAGCTCTGCTTTAAAGAACTGATAGTGCACTCAACCAAAGCATGTGCACTTCAACAAGGAATTTTCTTTTGTGATTATTGGCTTATTCAGAGATGGAAATATCAGACAAAAGATGAAGAAGTCTAGTAAGCAAGAAGCAGTTCTGTGTGAATATTTCACATATTCTATTTTTAGAATCCCTGGGTCAGTGAAGCAAATCTTGATTGGATAAATTAATCCAAGGGGTAACATTCTATACCCTTTTTAGACAAATTCGTAGTGTTTGTTTATTTTGACCTTTGTAGGAATGGTTACTTGCATGGGTGGGTGAATTCCATAATTACTTAGCAATCTCTCTTGTTGTGATGACATTTAAATTGTGTGATTGTAGCTGTGTTGGAAGAAGCACTAAAAATGGAAACAGCTATTTACATAAACAAATCACAGCCACGGCATCCACTGGGATCTTAAAACATATAAAGGGATGCCCATTTAGCTTTGTAAGTATTGCTGTGCCCTGCTCTACAATTAGTATATTATTTTCCCATTCAGCTCTAAAGGTATAAGAGCCAGTATAGATTGCCAGTTTTTCCCTGCTAAATAACAAGCTATTTCCATGTAATCCAGTGACAAAAAGTATTAATGATCCTTATGGCCAATTGTAATGCTTATCAGTGAAAAGCACTGCCTTCTGCTTTCTGTTGGGGCACAAAGAGATCAGGATGAGCACCATCCAAACTGTCTGATTGACAGCTGGGATAGTTCAGGTTAAAAAAAAAATATATAGATATTTTATATATTATATAAGTGTGGGGGACAGCTATTGGAGCTAGCTTTGCTCCATCATACGCTAATCTTTTTATGGGTTTTTGGGAAGAATATTTATTTTGAATAACCCACGGTGGATGAAGCATCTTGCATTTTATCAATGTTTTATTGATGATATCCTTATCATTTGGAAAGGTGATTGGTTGGAAATTGAGGAGTTATATCCTATCTCAACTCCAATGATTGGGGATTGACCTTTACTTACCACAAACATAAATTTAAGACTGAGTTTTTGGACCTACTTCTATGTTGAGAAACATAGCAGATTTGTAGTAAAACCTTTCAGAAAAAGGTAGATATAAACAGGTTTCTACATGCTACTAGTGACCATCATCCTACTTGGATCTCCAATGTCCCTCTGGGCCAGTTTAAGAGACTACGTAGGAACTATTCTTCTCTTCATGACTTCGAAGAACAGGACCATACCTTAAGCCTAATTTTTTTGGATATCCCCCCAAATCTATTATTTCAGCTTATATTAAAGCCAGGAATTTGGAGAGATACCGACTAATCCCATCATCCCTACCTGGTCCAGTGGAGGGTTAGCTGATAGTTCATGACCCTAGACAGGAGTCATCTACACTCATTGAGATCATACATATGTTTGAGGAAGCTAGGTCAAGTACTAAGATTCCTCAACATAGATACAATATTAGTACTCCCACAACAAGGGTCCGATCTTCGCTACTGTGTTCAACTGTGCGTTTGACAAGATCATAGGAATTCTATACAAACACTGGCCTATTTTAAAGCTAGACCCTTGGCTTAAATTTAGTATTCCTGACAAACTGAGGGTCAGATTTAGAAAGAGTAAAAATCTGAAAAATATTTTGTCTCCTTTCAAGTACAGTCTTGAGGGTACTATCGGGTCAAAGAAGGAACATCTAGCAGGGAATTTTAGATGTGGGAGCTTTAGATTTCTCATGCACCTTTATGTGCCATACAACTACTCATTTTGGGTCTGTAATGACAGGAAAATAATTTCCCATTAATGATAGGATTACATGTAACTCCTCTTTTGTTGTCTACCTTCTCACCTGCAACTTTGGCCTGCAATACGCTGGCCAAACTACAAGGTCTTTGAAAGTCAGATTTAGGGAACACAGATATGCCATTTTACATAAAGATAAAAAATCTTTGGTGGCACGACATTTTTCATCTGTACATAATAGTAATCCTCTTGGGCTTTCAGTTATGGGTATTGGATTAATAAAAAAAACATGGTTGATGCTGCTAAACGTAAAAGAGCCCTCATAGGCACTGAGTCTAAATGGATATATAAATTAGATACCTTAAGCCCCCATGGGCTTAATGAAGAATTGGACCAATTGTGTTTATGAACAAACTGGTTATTTATGATTTTGGTGTTATATCTACATTTGCACGTATATTATGCACATTTGCACTTATATATAGCATTGACTTCTGAAATGCGTAACATAAGCTCCTTTAACATATAGATTTTATATTCTGTATTAATAAAAGTTATTGCTATTTTTGACATCCTTTTTTTTTTTTTTTACTTTTTCCTGGTGCTACTGGATTCCTGCTCATCCTACATATACTTTGGTGAGGATTATACCACCACAAGCTTTCATCACCAGAGCAAGTTATTGCTCTGAAAATCGTAAGTAGGATACCTGCTTTTACTTTACTGTATATTATACACTATATAATGTACCATTGGATTTTATTCTGTTTTATCCTATATAACCGGCTGCTGAGAATTGGACACCAATGACAGCCATTATCCATACATCTTAAAACGAGGATTATACCATCCAGGGGTTATACAGCAGAGCTCTCAGTAGCTCTGCAAAGTGTGAGTTAGTCTTTTATTCATTTTTTTTTTTACACCCACGTGTTAAATTATATATATGACATATTGCAATATTATTTTTCCCTGTTTTTATCTCTTTGACGGTTAAATACACCATTACAATATTGGACTGCCGTTAATGTATGTATATACCATTACTTTTTTCTATTCACTTTAAGTATCTTCTAGCGCAGTTTACCATTCTGTCTTTTTCTACTTTTGGTCACCACAAGCAGGGATTGGGAAGTCCTGCTTGTTTACTGCTGCCCTCTATTTTGTTATTTAAGTGAGCGCCTAACCCTTGTTGCTTTTTGATGTACTGGTCCACGTTTATCCCTTTACGCTGCTCCTTTAACTCAGCTGCTGGCTTTTTTTAAGTTACCGGACACGGCTTTCCACGCGCTGCAAGCTAGTTGTGCTCCCCCAACGTGGCACCCAGACAGATCTCAGTGGATGTCCAATAATCGGCACATTTCACCACACATGTGAACTGAGAACATATGTCCCTTCTAACCAGGATCATATGTGTCCAGGATTCGTGGAGGGGCCCCTCCATTGATAAGTACTTATTATCCTATTTATTTACATATTCTAACAAGGTTTTATATACCATTATTGTTGTGGTTATTTCATGTTTTACACGTTGTTTATTGTAGGATGTTTTCAAGTATTTTATAGTGCATAGTGTTGTTGATATACCCCCTCTTTTTTATCCTTTTTTTCACTCTCGGTCAGTTTTTTCTGACCTGCAGTTAGGATAACACACCTTGTCACTATATGTTGTGCACATTTTTTTTGCCTCTCCAACAGTGTTTTTTTGTTGTTGTTTTTTTACTTAGTAACTTTGGGTGGTAGTTGTTTATACGGCATAACTTTCTCCAGTGTTTCTAATTGTATCAGTGTTGCATTTCATGTTTTTAAAATATAATTATTTTTTATTGAAGCAGCTTGGGTTTTCTTTATGTATTTACTCTATTAAAATGTACATTTTGTACGGATTGTACTGATTTCACTATTTAAATTTTATATTTCGTAACCTTTGATCTTTTAAAGTCTCTTAGTTTCAGTGTGAAGCAGCCCTTTTCATTCTTAGTTTTTAATAATTTTTATGACCCTATATATTTTTTACAGTTTAAGTTAAAACCTTGAAACAAATGACAATTTCTCTTGAAATCAAATGGACATTGCACTTGAACTGTGAAATTTAGGGTACTGTATTCATACATCCTCAACTTCAATAAAGTACCCTGAATTTCCTCCTTGAAGTGCTATGTCCATTTGTATCCAATTATCATGAAGGTGGGTCTCTATATTACAGAGCAACAGATGAGTGCGAGTTAGTCTTTTATTCATTTTTTTTTTACACCCACGTGTTAAATTATATATATGACATATTGAAATTTTATTTTTCCCTGTTTTTATCTCTTTGACGGTTAAATACACCGTTACAATATTGGACTGCCGTTAATGTATGTATATACCATTACTTTGTTCTACTCACTTTAAGTATCTTCTAGCGCAGTTTACCATTCTGTCTTTTTCTACTTTTGGTCACCACAAGCAGGGATTGGGAAGTCCTGCTTGTTTACTGCTGCCCTCTATTTTGTTATTTAAGTGAGCGCCTAACCCTTGTTGCTTTTTGATGTACTGGTCCACGTTTATCCCTTTACGCTGCTCCTTTAACTCAGCTGCTGGCTTTTTTGAAGTTACCGGACACGGCTTTCCACGCGCTGCAAGCTAGTTGTGCTCCCCCAATGCGGCACCCAGACAGATCTCAGTGGATGTCCAATAATCGGCACATTTCACCACACATGTGAACTGAGAACATATGTCCCTTCTAACCAGGATCATATGTGTCCAGGATTCGTGGAGGGGCCCCTCCATTGATAAGTACTTATTATCCTATTTATTTACATATTCTAACAAGGTTTTATATACCATTATTGTTGTGGTTATTTCATGTTTTACACGTTGTTTATTGTAGGATGTTTTCAAGTATTTTATAGTGCATAGTGTTGTTGATATATCACCTCTTTTTTATCCTTTTTTTCACTCTCGGTCAGTTTTTTCTGACCTGCAGTTAGGATAACACACCTTGTCACTATATGTTGTGCACATTTTTTTTGCCTCTCTAACAGTGTTTTTTTGTTGTTGTTTTTTTACTTAGTAACTTTGGGTGGTAGTTGTTTATACGGCATAACTTTCTTCAGTGTTTCTAATTGTATCAGTGTTGCATTTCATGTTTTTAAAATATAATTATTTTTTATTGAAGCAGCTTGGGTTTTCTTTATGTATTTACTCTATTAAAATGTACATTTTGTACGGATTGTACTGATTTCACTATTGAAATTTTATATTTCGTAACCTTTGATCTTTTAAAGTCTCTTAGTTTCAGTGTGAAGCAGCCCTTTTCATTCTTAGTTTTTAATAATTTTTATGACCCTATATATATTTTTTACAGTTTAAGTTAAAACCTTGAAACAAATGACAATTTCTCTTGAAATCAAATGGACATTGCACTTGAACTGTGAAATTTAGGGTACTGTATTCATACATCCTCAACTTCAATAAAGTACCCTGAATTTCCTCCTTGAAGTGCTATTTCCATTTGTATCCAGTTATCATGAAGGTGGTTCTCTATATCACAGAGCAACAGATGAGTGCTAAAGTGCATGTACCAACAAAGAATTTGCTTTGGATTTCTCTTGTAGTAAGCACTTTCATAAATTACAAAAGTGGGGCTACTCTGTTAACACCGATGCACTTCAGTAGGAATAAGTGTTTTAGGGGTTTAGAGCTTTTCTTTAAAATGAAGAACAAAGTGTGAGATTTATGAAATGTTTTAAACAGTAAAAGGGGAAACATTCTAAAGTAACTAGTCTCCTAGTGGTTGTAGATAATATACAATAAACGTTAGAGCTCTTGGAGTCTGCATATTACACTCAAGGATGCTTACACCATAACTATAGTTTAACAGTAGTAATAATATCATGAAAACATGCTGTTTTGAAAAGGGATGACTTCTTCACAATTTCTGCAAAAAATACCCAGGAAAAAAAGAGGAACAAAAACAAAACAAATCAAAATAATATAATAAAATAGTGGTGGATTATTACCAAACAGAACATGTTTATAACCTGAAACAAACATCAAATAACACCAATAATGATAAGAACATGATAGACCAGCTGTTTAAATAGAATAAATAAATAAATACATACTTTCTTTCTTACCTCAGAGTTCACTTTAAGCGTTTCCTCTGTGTGGTAAAGTAGAACTTTCTGTCCTGAAGAAGTCAAGTTGACATATACTTGTAGACAAGGGTACTGGGAGATTTTCCAGCAATCTGGACCACAGCTAAACGAGCAGTTAAATGTTTCCGTTATAGATGCGTTTATTAATGTGCATTGAGTCTCTTCAGTCCATACACTATAGAAAGGAAATAGAAGCAGAAACTGAATTAGATCCATTTTATTGTGACAGAAATAGTATTGTGGGAGGGAAAGCATACAATACTGCAATTTTGTATCATTATAGCATTAGAATTGTATGACAGTGCATTGATATTAATAAGTACAAAACAGCAGAGATTTTAGTCTTTTTCATGCAATTTGTTTTGCAAAACTATTACAGGACATGGTGGGAATAGCAAAACTGTAACATTGCCAGCACTGATCATGACACTCAAGATTGCTCAACCCATTGTGAACAAACTCATTGGACAGAGCCCTCCACCCCTCTGTTCCTTTGCGTTAAACTTGTCTGGTTACAATTACATGTTTGTTAGTCCACCCATTGCAAAGCACTGCAGAATTTGTTGGCGATATATAAATATAATAATAATAATAATAATAATAAAAATATAATTTAAGCTATGCAGCATGTACTAAGAACCGCTCAGAAGCCTGCACACTAAAGCCTAGAGCCTAGACACAATCATGTGCTTACCATATAAACACATACACTCCAACTTACAAACCTCTGTATTTAGACAAGACTGCAAATTCTTTATAGACAGGGTCACACACTCTTCTACATCTCATACAAACACAAACACTAATGCATGAATGCCTTATTTTTGCACAAGCATCCCACTGGCACATACACTCAAGCATGTGCTATGGAAAAGCACACACACACACACCTATACTCTGTGTTTACATGCACATATGCACACACATTTCTATACCTGATACTGACACTTTCACACATGTCTATATAGCCACTAAGAGATAATGAACGAAATGTGTAGGGCCTTTTAGTGTATTAGAGTTTCTTTTTTTATGTTTTGTTTATTTGCATTTAATTTCATGTGGTCACACCACTCCTGTGCTTCCAGAAGGACTGTATCCCGTCTATATACAACACCATTGGGGGTTCCTGTCTTCCCGCACGAAGTGATTGTATTGTGATGTGTATATACACTATACAAACACATGCACACAAACCTACACATCCTCTATAGACATTGGCAAATCTTATATGGAAATGTATACATAAAACTCCAGAACCACTAATCAGTCACGCACATTGTTTATAAACATGTACACAAGCTTGCCTGTACTACACACATCAGTCTGCCATTTTATACCTTAGAAAAGTTATTAGCCTTATTGCTGTCCTCCATAAACTCTCACTTGACATCATATCATGCAAAGTGATTTTACCAATGCTCTATAGACTTATTTGTGTTTGAGAAATGCCAATTCTGTAGGATAAATACACCTCTCATCTGAAGTACACTACTGTGTTCCTGCAATATCATTATTTTCCAATACAGATTATCGAGAGGATCTTCACAACAGATGCAGGTTTCATTTCTGCCCATGGCTAGTGGTATAACTCAAATGCTGAATGGTGGTGAATGGAGTGACCAATTCTCATTCTCTATGCAAGTCACATTTTTCAAATACATATTGATTCAGAAACAATAAACATCACAGTATAATTTACCCTGAAGCAAAAAACATCTAGCCTGCAGATGATTTTTGGCTACTTAATATTCAAAGAAGGGACTTTTGTACATACTTAGACATGTATCCTTTTGATTCGCTGCAGCGCAGAATAGCCGACATCCAATTAAAAGTGAATACATTTTATAGACAATCAGGCAGAGGTTGTGTACTCGAGTTTGTTTCTGTTTTTACAATTAACACACAAGGTGGTGTGTAGATGACTACATCTTATTTTCAAAGCCCTGGAAACTGTGTGCATATAATAGCAGACTGGGATTTAGTATAACCATTGTAAAATGTAATATAGTCATTGTAGTTGTCATCTGAATGTATGGATAAAAATTATTAGTTAAAGGAATCATTAATAGGTTGAAAGAGATGATCTAAAGAACGTGATCTAAATAAAGGATCTTCAAAAATAAATGAATATTGTGTTGTTACTAAAAGAACTGTATAAGGCATTAAAGTTGCTTAAAGAAATTAATCAAAAAGTGTGGCTGCTTGCTGTCTAGGGTTAGTAATTACTCCAATTTACATGGTGGACTGGGTGATAACTGCTATTATTCAAGTCTTTTTTCCATTTAGAGGGTTGGCAGGATAGAAATTTGCTAACAAGAAGGGGGGGGTGGGGGTGAACCATTTCACTATTTCAATACCAAGGTCATGAAACTCCAAAGCAATGGATGATAATAAAGACATTTGTTTTATTAAATATTTCTGAAACATATAAATATGAGTTGTTATCTGTCAATTTAGGCATAAACACTGTCATCAATTTTTTACTTTTTTTTTTAAATATCAAAAGTATTTATATGTAACTTTATATGCAGTACAAAGTTTTGGACGATCATTTAAGTTACGTAACACTGTGTCACATTTATTATGTATTTTCCATTATTAATCAGTATGCAATGATATGATATAATTATAATGATATATGTACTATTTTTAGTTCATTTTCATGTGTATTTAGGTGTGTTGATGTCAACTGTTAGGATCGGATATGCATGTGTCAGTGAGAGGAGGTCTTTGTTTGCTGATATCATTCTAGATTTATCGCGTATGAGTGCATCAGTGTAACGAGAATATACCCCAACACGCAGGATTCAGCTAAACAGAAGACAACACAGAGGAGAGATACGTCTACCGGACCTTAGAATGGCCGGACATGACGTATATGAGAGGAGACAGAGTCAGGAATGATCCGAAGTCAAGGGCACAGAGAGATAGCGTAAACTAGGACTAGCCGGGGTCTGGTACACAGTAAACAGCAAGCCGGCAACCAGAACAGATAAGGATAAAGAGAAAACATAGTCAGAAACAAAGCCAAAGTCAATACGAAGAAAACACAACTGAACACAACAAGCGCTAAAGGGAACTGAAACAGAAACCACGATAGGGCAGGGAGTAAAGGGAGAGGTAAGTTTAAATAGCTTCTAAACTAATGTAATTGGCTCCTGTCATATCCACACCCCCAAAAGGTAAGTGTATGGGGAGTGTGGTATGACAGGGGCCAATGGGAGCCTTTTGACAATTTTAGAGACTCGCGGCGCGCTCTTAGATTCAGGCGGGACACGTGACCGCTTCTCGCGGTCACTGCCCGCCTTCCTATTGAAGCCGTCAGATGAGCCGCACGCGGCTCGTGCAGTAGCAGGACCGCGCGCGGCTCGAAGAGAGGACCGCGGCCGGCCCCTAGATAAGGTAAGTAACGCTACAGCACCCCCCCCGAGGACACGCCCTCCGGGTGGGTAGGGCCAGGCCTGGCAGGAAAACGAGAATGGTAAGAACGCACAAGGCGGGGAGCGTGAACAGCATCAGCTGAAATCCAGCTGTGCTCCTCAGGCCCATAACCCTTCCAATGCACCAAGTACTGAAGTCGACCCCTAAGGTAACGAGAGTCAAGAACAGCAGAAACTTCGAATTCCTCATGACCCTCCACGGAGACAGGAGGGGGAGGCGGAGAATGCCGGGTATAGCGGTTGCGTACGTAAGGCTTCAATAACGAGGTGTGAAAGACATTAGGAATACGCAAATTCCTAGGAAGACCCAAGGCATATGAAACAGGATTAACCTTATGCAGAATATGATAAGGACCTATGAAGCGGGGAGCCAATTTCATAGAAGGCACCCGCAGGCGAATATTCCGCGTGGAAAGCAAAACCCTGTCCCCCACAACATAAGAAGGAGCCGCTCTCCACCAAAGAACGCTGAACCTGCTCCCAAGTCTTACGCAAACCAGCCAAATGCTCATCCAGAACTGGCATGCCCTGTGAGGAGAATGCAGCCGGAAGAACAACGGGATGCTGGCCATAGACAACGTAAAAAGGGCTTTTGCCGGAAGAATCATGAGTGGCGTTATTCCGAGCAAACTCAGCCCAAGGAAGCAGGTCAGACCAATTGTCCTGATGGTGAGACACAAAACAACAAAGGTACTGCTCCAGAGACTGGTTGGCACGTTCAGCAGCTCCATTAGACTGGGGATGGTAAGCGGAAGAAAATGAGAGAGAAATACCCATTTCTGAACAAAAGGCTTTCCAGAACCTGGAAATAAATTGGCTACCCCTATCGGACACAATAGATACGGGAATACCATGTAACCAAAATACTTCTCTAGCGAAGATAAGAGCCAGTTCCTTGGATGTGGGCAACTTGCGAAGAGACACAAAGTGAGCCATCTTGGAAAACCGATCTACTGTCATCAGGATGACTGTGTTACCATTTGAAGGGGGTAATTCAACAATAAAATCCATGGATAGGTTAGACCAAGGTCTCTCGGGAACGGGTAAGGGATGCAGAAGCCCACAAGGAACTCTACGAGACATTTTCATACATGCACAAGTAGTACAAGCACTTACATAGTCAGTGACATCCTTGCGTAAGGAACCCCACCAAAAATATCGAGAAACATCGTTTTGGTAATACCAGGATGTCCAGCAGTCTTAGTATCATGATATAATGACAGAATCTCCCGTCTCTCGGGAACATCAACAAACAATTTATCAATAGGCCTCTCGCTAGGTGCCATACTTTGTTTCGCCTGTATGGTCTGCAAGAGGGATGAAGAAATAGACAACATAGTTGTAGCTATTATCCTGTCTGGGGGAATGACAGGAGTAACATCAATCTCCTGTTTGTCAGTAGTTTCGAACTGTCTGGACAGAGCGTCTGCTTTAATGTTGCGATCACCTGGCCTATAGGTGATAATATAATTGAAACGGGCCAAAAATAGTGACCACCTAGCCTGCCTAGAAGATAATCTTTTAGCTTCACCAAGGTAGGTTAGATTCTTGTGATCCGTAAAAATGAGGATAGGATCCTTAGTTCCTTCTAACAAGTGTCTCCATTCTTTAAGAGCTAAGATAATAGCAAGGAGTTCACGATTACCCACATCATAATTCCTTTCAGCTTTGGACATTTGTCTAGAAAAGAAGCCACAAGGATGCAATGGCTTTTCAGGCGATTCTGTTTAGGACAAAACAGCACCTACCCCGATATCAGAAGCATCAACTTCAAGAATATAAGGCAGTGAGGGGATAGGGTGCTGTAAAATAGGTGCAGAGGCGAATGTAGTTTTAAGAAAGTCGAAAGCCTGAAGTTCCTCGGGAGACCAGACACGAGTATTACCACCCTTTTTTGTCATATCGGTGATAGGGGCTACAATAGAAGAAAAACCCTTAATAAAGCGTCTATAATAGTTAGAAAAACCAAGAAAACGCTGAATTGCTTTCAAACCCTGTGGTAGGGGCCACTCTATGACAGCAGAAAGCTTCTGGGGATCCATACGAAACCCTTTGGCGGAAATCAAATACCCTAAGAACTGGAGTTTGGATTGGTCAAATAAACATTTTTCTAGTTTACAATAAAGACCATTAGCAAGAAGGGTCTTCAGGACCATTGTGACATGTCTGTGATGAGTGTGTAAATCTGTAGAATATATCAGTATGTCGTCCAAGCATACAATTACAAATGTGTGAATAAAGTCTCTTAGGACGTCATTAATAAATTCCTGAAATACTGCTGGGGCATTGCAAAGACCAAATGGCATAACAGTATACTCGTAATGACCAGATCTAGTGTTGAATGCAGTCTTCCATTCGTGACCTTCCTTTATGCGTATTAAATTGTATGCACCTCTAAGGTCCAATTTGGTGAACACAGTAGCATGTTTCAGCCTGTCAAATAATTCTGTAATTAAAGGTATAGGGTGTGCATTTTTGATAGTGATTTTGTTTAGACCTCTATAATCGATGCACGGTCTTAAATCACCCTCTTTCTTAGATACGAAGAAAAACCCTGCTCCAGCCGGAGAAGAGGATCTCCTAATGAACCCCTTTTCTAGCGATTCTTTAACATACTCCTCCATGATACAGTTTTCTTGAATAGATAAAGGGTACACCCTGCCCTTTGGAGGTATAGTGCCAGGCAATAAATCGATAGCACAATCATAGGTTCTGTGAGGCGGTAATTTATCAGCTTCCCTTTTATCGAATACAGTTTTGAGAAACAAGTACTGAGGAGGTATAACAGTAGACAAAGAAGGAGTAGTAGGTACATTAATGATATTTAAAGGGGTGACTTTAATCATACAAGAGTCGTAGCAGGTTTTGCCTGCTCTTCGTCTGGCTGCTCTTCGTAACCTGCTCACTATCACTGCTGGTCTAACGCGTTTCGTGGGTGTCAGCCCCACTTCCTCAGAGACATGTTGCAGGAAGTGGGACTGACACCCACGAAACGCGTTAGACCAGCAGTGATAGTGAGCAGGTTACGAAGAGCAGCCAGACGCCAACAGAAGGGATTCTTCTCTTTCCCCACACGGCACTTATGACCTGGGGATTAACGGACTGCCAGCACCGGAGTATCAGAGTGAGGTCTGGCACGCACGCAAACCTCCCCAGCAGCCGGCAAGTAAAATCATTCCGTTCTGTTACAAAAGTATCCACTGTAATCCTCATCAACTACAGTGTGTAGAAAGTTATATGTCCAATATCTGCATTGGCTGATGACTTGCTGACCGTCCCTGGCTCCTATTTTTTGTATTTTTTTCATTTTGAATTATTCATTTATTTTTGTATTGTGAATAAACTTTTACATTATTTTTTAAAACAACTCATCTTTTAAAAGTGGTTTTTTGGAATTTCTCTTATATATTTTGTATATTTTTTATATTTTAAGTGACTGTATTTTTATACCAAGCACAGAGATTATGAATTTTTTTACATTTCTCCACTGAAAGTTTAATTGTGTTTTTGCACCATTCAGTATGCTTACAGATTACTTAAAGTGAAACACACACTATACATAACAGTGTGTATATTAATATCATACAGATAACCAGTTCTTTTTAGGTTATTCTGTATCAAGTAACTGCTTTATATTAAGCAGATCATTTGGCGTGTAACCAAAAGAATCTGCTTATAGCAGATTTAAAGGTATACACACCATACATCCTAGTGAAATTATTATCCAGTGTTTTAGATATTAATTTTATTACTATATCCAACTGTATCAATTAAGCCATACATAATTGAATTTGCTCCTGAACGCACTACCTCGAAGGTATTATGGTCTTTTTTATCTCCAGACAGGTTTTGGGTGTATCCCTGTCCCAGTTCAGTTTTGAGCTATTCACTACAAGTCGGACTCCCTCATCTTTCTGTGTTGCACTAGGCAGACCAGTTCTTATTTATTATCTTATAGTTAGGATAGCCTTATGCCTATCCCACGCATGCTTAAACTCCTTTACTGTGTTAACCTCTACCACTTCAGCTGGAAGGCTATTCCATGCACTACCCTCTCAATAAAGTAATACTTCCTGATATTATTTTTAAACCTTTGTCCCTCTAATTTAAGACTATGTCCTCTTGTTGTGGTAGTTTTTCTTCTTTTAAATATAGTCTCCTCCTTTACTGTGTTGATTCCCTTTATATATTTAAATGTTTCTATCATATCCCCCCTGTCTCGTCTTTCCTCCAAGCTATACATGTTAAGATCCTTTAACCTTTCCTGGTAAGTTTTATCCCGCAATCCATGAACCAGTTTAGTAGCCCTTCTCTGAACCCTCTCTAAGGTATCAATATCGTTCTGAAGATACGGTCTCCAGTACTGTGTACAATACTCCAAGTGAGGTCTCACCAGTGTTCTGTACAATGGCATGAGCACTTCCCTCTTTCTAAGAGCCAAGGCCAGTCCCGTATAAGGTCTTAGGTGCGAGAGTTTTCCGGAAGCAAAGGACATTCTTTTACCATATGGTCTCGCCTACCACAGTATAGGCAGAGTTCGTTCCTTCTTCTAAGTAATTTTTCAGTATCCGAGAGATACTTTAACACTCTCAGGTTTATCAACTCTGGGGTTAGTAGGTGTGACCAAACGTCTATTCTTGTTCTTAGTATAGAGCCTGTCACGAATCCTATTATCTATATCAATGAGGTAGTCAATAAGGTCCTCTAATGGAATAGGAAGCTCCCTTGCCGCTACCTCATCCAATATAGTGTCAGATAAACCTTCCATGAACGCAGTAGTTAACCCATTATTGGTCCAATCTACCGGTGAAGCAAGGGTACGAAACTGAATAGCATAATCAGCCACAGACCTAAAACCCTGTTTAATTCTTATTAATGCTCTTGCGGCATTCTTTGACCTTTTTGTTGTGTCAAAAGTTCTACGAAAAGCCATAAGAAAGCTATTGAAATTATGCACCATAGATCCATTGGCCTCCCAAATAGGATTTGCCCACTCAAGTGCTTTGTCAGTAAGTTGATGCATCAAAAACCCCACTTTAGACCTATCAGTGGGAAAGGAATGTGGATACATCTCAACGTGGAATTCTATTTGATTAATAAAACCTCTGCATGTCTTAGCTTCCCCTCCATACCTAGGAGGGGGTGTTAAATGGGGCGAAGTATTAGGTGAATTGGATACTTCGGGAAGAAGAGGTGTAGGAGGGTTAGGTGCGGTTGCAGGAATGGTTCTAGACAAGAGCGTCTGGAAAGCCTGTGCTATCTGATCCATACGGTGATCCTGCTCTGCAAACCTTGCCTCATGAGAAGCCATTTGCTGAGGGGTCCATGGCCCTATCGTAATGTAACGAGAATATACCCCAACACGCAGGATTCAGCTAAACAGAAGACAACACAGAGGAGAGATACGTCTACCGGACCTTAGAATGGCCGGACTCGACGTATATGAGAGGAGACAGAGTCAGGAACGATCCGAAGTCAAGGGCACAGAGAGATAGCGTAAACTAGGACGAGCCGTGGTTTGGTACACAGTAAACAGCAAGCCGGCAACCAGAACAGATAAGGATAAAGAGAAAACGTAGTCAGAAACAAAGCCAAAGTCAATACGAAGAAAACACAACTGAACACAACAAGCGCTAAAGGGAACTGAAACAGAAACCACGATAGGGCAGGGAGTAAAGGAGAGGTAAGTTTAAATAGCTTCTAAACTAATGTGATTGGCTCCTGTCATATCCACACCCCCAAAAGGTAAGTGTATGGGGAGTGTGGCATGACAGGGGCCAATGGGAGCCTTTTGACAATTTAGGCTCCCACTGTCTCTTTAAGAGCACGCCCGAGACTCGCGGCGCGCTCTTAGATTCAGGCAGGACACGTGACCGCTTCTCGCGGTCACTGCCCGCCTTCCTATTGAAGCCGTCGGATGAGCCGCGCGCGGCTCGTGCAGTAGCAGGATCGCACGCGGCTTGAGGACCGCGGCCGGCCCCTGGATAAGGTAAGTAACGCTACAATCAGTGAATCATGGTGTGCCACCATAGAGGATGTGAGCTGAACTTTATTAATAAGTTGATGATACAAGTAAAAATAAGTTAAATATTGAAAAATATTGCATAATCACATTGTTGATACCAAAGACGAGAGTGAATATGTGGACGTTGGTGCCTGTGACATTTATATTAGCATCAGTAGCTTCACAGAGAGACACTTTCATGTTTATTTTCTGGGGGGGGGAATGGGCCGCCTTACTGGTGTGCAGAAGAATAGGGAAAAGAGCAAACAAAATGGACTGAAATGCTCAGAGGAGGCATTGATATGTTTTTGGAGTGTGATGGATCAATGGTTCAAATAAAAGATAAAAAGTATGAAGAATGAATACAAGTCTCGAATGGGATAGAATATTCAAGTGAAAAGTCTTAATGGGAAGAATTAGAAATACAAGGTTAGAAGTGTAGAAAAATGATCATAAGAATGGAAGAGAAAAGAAAGATAAGTAGTGACACAGAGAGCTGGATAAAAAGAAAAGCCACATAATTAAAATGACAATTTAGTCAAATGATGGGTTTCTGCTTGCACATTATTGCAGGAAATGGTAGAATTTCCATGTCAGTCCTTTCAATATCCTAGAGGATTAATATAGAAAGTGCATATTATTACAAACCATTACTGCAGAATACAAAGCGCTAAGCAAAAACAACTCTATAGAAGGTGATTTGTTTACTTGCACCTGTAAGTGAGTATTACATTTTAATTATTAGAAACAATAATTATCTTTAAAGTGACACATGTCAAGAGTTTTCAAGCGACAATTGAAAAGGCAGCATTTCAGTAGCTCTATCAGAAAACCATAAACCACTCCACATTCAAATGACCTTTTTACTTCGATATCATAGCTAGTATGATAGAGATTTGATAAATAGCCAAGCTGGAAAAATAGCTGTCTTGAGTTTGAGAATCGCTCCAGTTTAGCCTTCTTGGCCCCAAATGTGTTCATTTTCCACTATTCCTTGCTTCATAAATAATTTCATTTCATATTATTTTACTCAGACCAAGTAATAAAGCAGTATTATTTTACAGGATCTTGGAAAATTAAACCCTCTTCTATTGTTGAAATATTTCTACATACAAAATATGTAGATCAGTTCACTGTTAATTCATTTTCCATCATTCCTTTTTTTTTGTTTGTTTGTTTTTACGTTTTTGCCAAGTTCCACATCAATCAGTAATGCTTTTATATTACATTCTGCAGTTTTAAGATAGGTTGTCAGCTAATCCACACCTTATCAACAGCATGCAGAATGCACACCACTGCCATTTAATTGTTTCATTTTTTTTTGCCGAAGAGGCATTCTGGGTTTCCATAGCTGCACTCAATGATAAGTCAACATCTGTGGGGTTTCTGATGTTGTCTTTGTAGTTTATTTTGTGATAAGTTTCACCTACAGTTGGAGACAGAGTGTTTTTATTTCACAGAGACAGCTGGTGTAATTCCATTAGACTTCTGTACTTAACTACAAAGTTGAAGAACAGATATGCTTTTAGAATACAAAGTGTCTAATATTGCCCTTATCAGTCTGCTGTTAAACAGAGGATATCTTACAGTACGTATTTATGTTTCTGAGCAGATTGAAAATGTGTGAAGGGATAAAGCAAATAAACCATCAAAACCAATTAAGATGTATATTCTAGGAGTGCTGTTGGAAGCCAAATTACCTCTGCATGTATGATCGGAGTAAAGTGATTCCCAGAAGAAAATACATCATAATGGAACAGACCATCATTGCAAGTCCCAAGAGTATCGCTCTGTCTTCTCCAGCTTTCAGCGCAGTCACAGTTTTCCTCTTGTCCAGAAGATCATGGTCCTTGATTTTTTGATAGAAGTTTCTATGAATAATAATTACAAAATATATATATAATTTAAAAATATTTTAGAATTAAAATCTTTTATAAAAGGGCAACTGTCATCTAATTTTCGCTTCTGATTTTTTTTAAATAAAATTTTGGCCATGTTGGATCCAACTCTAATCTTGTTTCAGGTTCACAGCACACAGAGCGATCAGAACAGATTAGTCAGGTTGAGCAGAGCAGTTGGTCAAATAAGAGTAGAATCTAACCCAATATGGCTGCTCAACCAGAAAAAGTTTTTGCAAAATAAGATAGAAATTCATCAATATACATAATTTTTTTTAAAAAGTCATGAAGTTTCATTAAATGTAATAAACTTTTACAAATGAAGAAGTAAAAATTTTATGACAGTTATTCTTTAACTCATATAATAAAAATGAACACAGTACACCATGGTCATTATGCCATAAAAATTTCATAAAAACGAACCTAAGAAGAAAATACTCCACATGTCCAAACACCTAGCCTTTTCATCAATCTGTATGGATTTCGTACAAATGTATTTTTACTCATAGGCTCTTCAAAGAATAAATTTTTTTGTGTGTGTTTAGGACAGAGTGAAACTATATTCTGGTAATATAAATTGAAAGGAGATTTGTGCAAATGTATTCAGAATTCAGCGAGTATGGGACATGTTTTTCTGTTGATTATATAGCACAGACAGGAATGGGAAACTTTAATATATGATGCAGTCTCAGTAACCCTTTCTTGAGTAAGACTACCTCTCAATGAGCAAGGCATGTATTGAGTAGTATGTAATGTATTAAGACCATTCTAGTTCAATTTAGAAGCAAAAATTAATATGATATAATCAGATGGAAATGTGTTATTTTCATCTATTTGCGTATGTACAATAGATTTCAATAAAATATGCTAAAGGTGTTCGAATGAGTGACAAAACCCAGTTTTTTGTTGTTATTGTTTTTTTTAGTTAGACATAGTTATTTTTATTACATTTCTTTTTTGCATTTTTGTTGTGCATAGCATCAATACAGACAAGCTCAGGGTGCCCCAACAGCAATGTGGTCATGCATAATATTAGGAGCAACAGAGAAAACATACACATTTTTAAACATATTATAGTACTTGTTTAGCTAGGAGGCATTTAAGTGGAAGTATAAGCAAGCATGATACTAATACAATGATATAGATTTCACTTGATAGACATGTGTATGACAGTGCTGTGAGAAGCAGAAGAGAAGGGAGATTAATGCTTCAGTGGGGCTTGCTTAGAGTGCGTACTCTGATGGTATACTTTATGACTAAAGCGAGACACATCGGTCATTCTCAGGCAGAGAGAGATGCGTGGAAACGAGCCACCATTGGTAGCATAGAGTCCCATGCATCCATGGTTGCTCATCCCGTCAGCCCCCGGGCCTTCTCAGGATTCCATGTGTGATTCCCACTGCTCCTGTCAGTCTTGAAGCCGCGAGCAGGAACTTAGGAGATAGTGTGCTCTGCTTAAAAAGTAAGTTTTGTCTGCCGGGTGCATGGGCTGAGCACCAGGGTCTTTCCCCTTTGGGTCCTCTGCCCAGGAAGGCTGTAGCAAGCTCTTGACCATTTGGGACATGAGCAGGTGTCTGTTGAGTGGGATGTCTGCCTTTCCTGCTGCCCCGAGCTGGAAGCCATGGGCAGTGTCCAACAGGAGGGAAAGAGGGTCCAGAGGCATTTTCAGATGCCTTCTCTCTCTCCTCTGCTCCCTCTTAGCCTGTGCCCCTCTGTCTTGTAACTTCCACCAGAATTTGCTGAACAACGCATCTAGCTACGGGCCTCATGCTGCTGTTTAAGGTTCATCCACCGCCATCTTGGTTTCAGCGATGGAGTTGGGTGCAGGCCACATAGGTGGATGGGTTACTCAGTACCTCGGTTTGCTTGGAGGTAGAACCTGTGTGCTTATGCCTTGGTGTGTGTGTGTGTGGGGGGGGGGGGTCCCAAGAGTGTCAACGGCCTGCAATACTGCTCACAGGAAGATCGGCTGCCTCTCCCATGTTTGCAGCTGCTGGTAGGCCGCAATTCATCAACGGTTTCAGGATGCTACTCCGAGCATCCCGGTTGAGTCTTGGGGTATCACTGATGCTCTGCTGTACCAACATATTGATTTTGGTGTAGTTTGTCTGCAATATGTCTCTTTTTAGCGGGTCTCCACTCAGAGCTCTCTCTATATGCGACCAGCCTGATATATATGGTAATGGGGTTAAGGGCATAGATACACCTTTGCAGTGGTTTTGTAGCCATAGGCATTACCACTGAGGCTTTTGCCTCCTGACTTTCTACCTGCACTAGGATGAAAAATGTCTATTCAATGTGTTGAATCCTGGTTACACAACTTGTTATGTTTGCATATAAACTACATCTTCTCCTCAATACAATGCCTAAGTGTTGAGTATTCTGCATGTTCCTGTTAGTTGCAGTCCTTGCCTGTTTTCAAGACAAGAATGTATGTTCATGATTCTGTGTTTCTGTGATCACACGAGTTGGTGGCAAAATTGCAATAGACTATCAGAAGCTCAAGGATTAAGGGGAATATTGAGATAAAAATCCCAGCCAGAGTTCTAGCCCCACCATGGTCCTGTTGCAAAACTCCATGTTGGTGTGACTGTTTTGGTTTATTCTGACTTATCTGTCAAGTTACGTATTTCTTATTTGTCTTGCTTCAGGTGGGAAGCCATTGACCCTTGAAGCAATACCAGTTTCTATATCTGTGAATTTAATATAATTTCATATAACTTCAACCATAAACATGGCAACAGTGCTCCAATTTATCAAGCAATCTAAAGTCTGACCTTACATTTAAAATGTAATACCTGGTAGCATACAGAATGCCCCAGGGCTAGAAGTAACAATCAGTAGCTTTGTCTGCAGCTAAGCTATGAAAGTCCTAGTTACAGGGGGCACGCAGATGGCAACATGTTGCTGAGAATCATAGACAATTTATGTCAAAACTTTTATTGGCAAAAGTTAGGACTCAAGCATCAGTCAAGGACATCAGAGTTGGTGTTTGGGACCTGGAGATTTGCACTAATCTCAAAGGAAACCTTGAAATTATGGGAAATAAATTGCTATACAGATTGGTCATCATAAGCATAATATTTACTAAGATAACATTGCATGTAACAAAGTTACAGAACGAAGCATGATGGAGGTGTAGGAGGTAGTGGTGTGAGTAGAATGTTCATAGGTATGTGTGAGAGAGAGTGTGTGCACATGTATCATGTAATGTATTATCTATATATCTGCTGGATATAGACACAATGGAAGTCCCTTCAGTCTAATGTCTTAGTACTGTGCATAATATTTATTTATTACAACAAATACATAAAATAATTGTAGGGTATCTATCTTGATGCTTTATTTTTTTGCTAAATATAAGTCTGGGATAAAGATCTGGATTTTGATAGTTTAGTATATTTTATTTAATGATAATATATAAATAACATTCAAATTGTTTAAAAAACAAACACCAATACATTTTTAACAAAGTGATAAGTACTTTTTAAATTATTACACATTAGTTTATATCTAAAATAATACACGTTTGTTGGGTCACCTCCAAAAGTGACTAAATTATATACTAAATATGTCAAATCTAGCAATATTATCATTCACAAACCAACAGTGATTTAAACTCACAGCTCAAGATTTTTTCTCTTTCGATCGTGCTCTCTGGAAATACCACAATACACAATTATTAATTTCAAGGGCTGCTACATGTTAATCAAACACAATTATGTGGCCGTTTCTGAAGAACCTTCTGCCACACAAAGGGGTGAGATTTTATTTGATTGAATTTTCTCAAAATGATCTAAAGTTCCTAGGATCCTAAAATGCTAGAGTTTGATGTTGTTAGCGTCCAAACTCAATGTATTCATATAATCTCAAGAAATTAAGCATTTGACTATTTCTCTAAATTATTGACTAAAATATCTTTATTCATCTTACACTGTGTTGTGTATAATCCTCTTTTTAATCTGCACTTTTAGTATTCTTGTAGTCAAAAAATGTAGGTAACGGAAACAAAAAATCTTTTATTTCATATTGTTAAAATAAACCAAGCATGTGAGGAAGTAAATCCCATTAGGCCTGATATTTGCAACTACATTTGCATTTTCACCATATATTTTAATACTTTTCTACACCCCACAGGTAGAAGGTATTATGTTTTGAAACGTTCTGGATAAATCAGTTGTTGAATCTTGGGTTTGTTTTTTAGTAGGACTATTTTGATCATGGCTTACACCAGATTTTTATGAGACAGTACATGACAATGCAAACCACAAGGGCACACATACGCAAAAGTATTAATCTGAAAATATTCAAATAATACTTCTAAAATATTCCAAAAAATCCAAACAAATCTTACATTATGTATTCTCCCTTTCATATCACCCAAATGTTATCCTAAATATATTTGTTTTTTTAAATCCCACAGAATTGAGTTTGCTTTAGATGGTGTTTTACAATTATAAATATACCTGCTTTACTGACCAACTTGATTCAGCCATTGAATATTTGTCAAGATGAAGGATGAGGTGTGGCATTCCCATATTTTATTCTTAACATATTGGGTGCTATGTTTGGGAAAAATTAACCAAATAGATTGAACATTGTATGTTCTGTTTTTGTGGAAAGTGGACTGTTTCATCAACAAACATGCAGCTCTTAATTCTTCCCTCATCTAATTAGCAAGGGTTGACAGCTAATATACAGGTCTGGGGCATGTATAAGCCCCACTCAATTCCAGGTTTGGAGAATGTGGTCAATGAAAAATGTAAAGTGCAAGAATTTATATGCGAGCCACCAGCTCCTTCTCTTACCACCTCTTCATTTAGAATGGGGAAGCAAGAAGGGTTTATTATGACTAACACTTGATCTGCCCGTCCCCATATCTTGGTTGTGTTTGTTGTAGTGGGATTTAATGACAATTGTTAGAGAGCTTTTCTTTGAATTTTTGATCTAGAATTAGTTATTAGCAAATGGAATCTATACAGCATATAGGTATGTTATGAGCCAGATAATAGCCTGCAGCCCTTTTCCAGCTCTATCCCCACTGGAACTGGAAGCTACCCACCAGCTGCAATATGGTAACTAAAAAGGAGAGAGGGTGGGTAAATAGAGCATCAATTTCAATATATATGTATGTAGCAGGGTGTGTTTATACTAGCGTACGCTTGTGTAGTAGTGTAAGTGTATAGTGTGGGTTTGTGTAGTAATGCATATGCATGTAGTTGGTGGGGTGTTTAGCAATGTTTGATTGTGTAAAAATGTGTGTGTATCAATGTATATGTATGTAGCTCTGTGTGTGTCTAGCAATGTATGTGTGTAATAATGTACAGTATATGTGTATAATAGATTGTGCGTGTATGTGCATACAAGTGTTTATGCAAACGTGTGTATATGTTTAGCAGTGTAATTGTGTGTATATGTTTAGTAGAGTATGTGTTTAGTCAGGGCCATGGCTCCAGGTGGCACTTTGACAGATGCAGCATTTTGCCACCCCTGTACACTTTACGGTGCCCATGCATATATATATATATATATATATATATATGTTTGAAGGCCATTTGGCCTGAATTTGTGGGAGGAGTTATCCCTATTTAAACTCATACCCCCCTACTTACCTTTGCCGTTCAAGCTGTTTGTCACTTCCGGTTCATAGTTCCCACCAAAAATTCCAGTCTCCAGCAAGCATTTTGGCGTCAGCAGCTCTCCTGACTCCAACCTCCATGCCCGCCAACCGGCTTCTATCCGACATCGCTACCCGCTACCCGGCTACTGGTCACGAGACCGGCACGTCCACATAAGCATAAGGTGGGAAATAACGTTTAGCTATTTCCCACGTTCGGGCCTAAAAACGCGGGGATAGGCTCCCTTCATTATACTTACCTGTTCATGCACATTTACCATTTGTGTACTTCTGCGTTTGTGCGGCTAACAGCTGACCGCAGAGTACACACCTTCATTTGTCTTTCGCATAAACTAACTGCCGACCGCATTAAACTCACTTACGTTCGTCTATTTATTTGTATGTCTGAACAGCCGGCCACAATATAAATGGCTTTCGTTTAGCCTTTCGTATGCTCCATTAACCGACCGCAGGTATTTCCTTTCTGCTTACAGTCCTCTCGTTCGTTCGTTTTGCCGAACGCATTAGGCTTCAGCATTTAAATTCACTAATGTGTTATAAATGTTTCTAGTAATGCCATTCGCTTAAACGAAAGCACTTACCCTTTCACATTATCTGTATCCTATATTAATTTATGTGTTTAGTATGGCTCTTCAGTCACTACTGGCTAAAATAGTAATTCTGTGTTATTTCCTGTCTATGGTCACGTTAAATTATGGGACACCATTTTTACACAGGGGAATCTTCTTAAAGGCACAGTGAGGCCACAATCACTTAATAAGTAACGGTATGCTAAATACACCACCAGGAACCATTATTTACTCCTGCTGGAACTTTGTCTATTATAGTACAAATTTCTTTTTCCTTTCCCTAGTATTCACACTAGTCTTCTGAGTAACTAAGGTCACTCCGCTCACTACATCTTTTCTTAGTTTTGCATGTCATAGGTTAAGCTATTACGGTCCTTTTTCACCAGGCTCATTACAGACCATTAGCACGATTGCAAAATCTGTTTCCTAAAAAACCTATAAAATCCTTATACTTAGTATGCATATGTTTTTAGGTTCTACTACTTTTCCTTCAAACAGTCTCCAGGAAGCGGTATCCCAGTATCCCGTATTACTATTTCAGGTAAGAAGGTTTACCAGTTTTCATTTTCCCCTTGAGGCCTCATTCAGCCTCCACGGCCTTCCCACCTCCCAAAGAGGGTTCTAAACTTCAAAATGGGCCAGCTCTAAGATTCCTCACAATGATTTCAACAACAATCACATAAAACTACACCACTTTACTCCTACTAATTTAACGGTACATTTTATTTCTACATATCAATACTTAGACCTAAGTCATTACCACAGTTTCGCCAAGTTCTACGCCTTCAACCACCAACAGACTACCTGGTTTCCTGCATTTCAGTATCAGGTATTGTTAATCTTACTCACTACGATTACGTTTCTCCTTAAGGCCTTACTTCGCCTTCGTATCATTTAAATTTCACAATTGTGGGAACCCAGGGGCTTGTCTCTAATTACGGACCAATGTTCAGGTCCCTTAGCTTACACAGGTTCTTACGTTACAGTATCATTGATTCATACCTATCCATATGTTCAACAGTTTTACACTTGGCAAACCAGTGGCACGCATCAGGCCCACTAGCATCTCTTACCCTTAGGATACCTTGACCGGAACTGTTCCCTGCAGAAGCAAGAATATACATGGAAGTCTTCCTGTACATTGGCCAAAAAAATAGGAGAAATACTCAAGGTTAGTATCTACATACGTTCAAGTACATCATTCAAAGAGACAAGCTCCATCAGGTTAGATGTGTGAACAGAAGTTATATTCATGGTGACATTTCAGTAGTCCTAAAAGAGAGTGATCCACGACTTAACAAGAAGCTAAACAATTCCCCAGTTTGTCATCGCCTTTGGCATTTATCGGGACGTTATCCGCACGGTGTACCCACATAGGAGGGAAGAGCTTGATTTATACTTACATAAGGTGGTTGACTAAGGTATCAAGTATGGAGGGTCCTCATTTTATGATTTTCATAAATCAGTGTCGGCCAAGACAGCTACTCATCTGGCACAGTTCAACATAAGAATCAACTGGTGCCAGATGGACACAGAACTGTTTAGCCGTCACTATGCTAGTTTGAGGCCCCCATCCTGTGCCTCCTGTAGTTCCTCTTCTCACTTCACCGACTTGTGCTCTTGAGAGACAGACACTTCCACTTCTCACCACTCCTTCACCCCACACACAGAGAGGTGGGCAGAGGGACAAGCTGGGCAGACCCATTTCATTCCTGGGCAGGGTGCATGTGTGCAATGACTTTAATGCAGGGGAATGCAATTTCACTGCACGTAGTGCATTGCACATCTGCTCCATCTGCTTCAGAGCCCACACCAAGTCCATGTGCCCAGCCCGACTGTCACCTAAGAAACCACTAACTGAGGTTAACATTGACATCCTGGAATACTATCTGCATTCACACCCAGCTAGGCATCTGGTAGATTATCTGGTGACGGGTTTCTCACAGGGGTTTCACACAGGCCTTATCGCCATCCCCACAGGTACACTTTAATGCCCTAACCTATTATCTGCATCCATTGACCCACTTACGGTGGACCACCTTCTGTCCACGTAAATCAAGGCTGGTTTCATGATCGGCCCTTTCCTGTCTTCACCTTTCTCATATTGGCATACCAATACCATCAGGGTAGCCATTAACAAATACTCCAATAAAAAACGTTTGATTATAGACCTCTCTGCACCACACTCTTCCTCCATTCCCAGCATCAACTCCCTTATTCCCGCTGAGGAGTGCTCACTGCAATATGCCAAAATTGACAATGCCATGCAAGCTATTATTTCAGCAGGTAGTAAGGCATGGTTGAGCAAGACAGACATATCCAACGCTTTTAAACTGCTACCCATTCACCCTTCACTATGGCACTTGCACGGTGTTAAATGGAGGAATAAGTATTTTTTCGCTACCCGGCTCACGTTCGGCTCTAGGAGCAGCCCAAAGTTATTTGACATATTTGCAGAAACCCTGTGCTGGCTGCTCCTAAACATAATCAGGTGTCCATCAGTCATCCACTATCTGGATGATTTTTTGTTGATTGAACCAGGTTCTCTAACACCCAGCAGTATCCTTAGCACCACAGCCATTTTCACAACACTTGGGGTCCCTCTGTCACCAGACAAAACTCTTGGTCCTTCTACCCAGCTCGTTTTCTTGGGCATAGTATTGGACACCAATACCTAGGCTACTTAATTTGCTCCACGGGGTGCCTGACTCCTGCCCAATCATTCTGGACGATCCAGCCAGGGCAGATTTACACATGTGGAGTAGATTTTTGGCCGAAGGGAATGGGATCTCTTTGTTCATTACCCCACTTTCAGAGCACTCACCTTCAATTCACACAGACGCAGCAGCACACACAGGGTTCGCAGCCATGTTCGGCAACCACTGGTTTAGGGATGACTGGCCCATTGAGACGGATGCCATGCCAGCCTTTAGAGAGACTTCTTCATTGTTTGAGATCTACCCCATCGTGGCGACCGCCCACTCATGGGGTCATCTCTGGACCAGCAAGGCAGTTAAATGCTACTCTGACAACTCCGCAGCTTGCGATATCATTAACAAAGGTCGGTCATCCTCGCTAACCATTGTGAGGCTGATTCGCAGGCTGACTTGGCTGGCAGCAACCTCTGAGTTCTATCTAGTCTGCATTCACATTCCTAGTGTCCACAATACAGATGCTGACGCTCTTTCACGCTCTCAATTTAAGGTCTTCTTCCAGGCACTCCCTACGGCCCACCACCTACCATCCAGGATACCACAGGCACTCACGCTCCACACAGTTCACCCAACTACACTATTACTCATGCTAGGGCATTGAATTTTGTAACAAGCTCACAAGCAGAAAGGAAACTTGAAAGGAAACTTTACAGTAAAACTGTGGTGGTTTTTGCCTCCTCCTCTCACCTACACCTTAAAGTTACACTATACCAGGAATCTCTACCTTTACCAGCATACTACACCACGTCCTCACAACCTGCCCTAATCATGCACCTTTCTTAAACCTCCTACCCTGACACTCCACTATTACGTCTCCAAGGGCACCCACTCACTATCAGCCAAATTCATTATTTCACGACAGAACCTTACCATCAAGGTTGAGCTACAACCTGGCTTCCTTTTCTGGTCACTCATTTTGCATAGGCACAGCATCATCAGCTTCATGCTCTTACACCCCAGTCCACATCAGTTAGTGACCAGGACACAGGAAATCCTCAGTTTATTTATGTATATACCTCAATCAGAGAGGAAGCTCCATCAAGCTTTTAGTACCCTTGCTGTATAACTTGCAATAAAGTGTGTTTACTTTGAATCCTCTTTTGCCCTCTTTTTATTACAGGCCTACTCGTACGTTGGTTTCGGCACACCTCAACCAACTTTGCTTCTCCTTCTACATTCATTCCATTATGTATTAGAAATTCTGAGCACAAATATATATATATATATGCAAATAGCCGTCGCAGGCCCCGCTACCTTGTTCTGTGAAGAAGGAGCAAAGAAGTCTAAACTTTCCCTCCAGAAGCATGTCCGCTCCTCTCGTGAGTTGTGAAAGCTTTGCCGCAGGTTGCCATGGCAACACTCCGGCATGCATTACATGCTTCGCGGAGTGTTGCCGTGGCAACCATCAGCACCGCGCACACACAGCTTACATTTCTTAGAATTCTGGGCCCCTTCTTCACAGGACATGTATGCTGTGCCACCGGGCCACCAGAGAATCTAATGTCCCACCTTCCTGGCCACAGGTAAGAGGTAGGAAGGAAGGAATAAACATATACAATAATTATAATAATATATATTTTTTTTAACTGCTTAACCCTAAAAGCCCCAATCCAACCCCACTACACACACTGCACTCACTACAGGCACTACACAAACACAGACACAGCATCCACTACACAGACACACTGCATCCACTACACAGACACTGCATCCACTACACACACTGCATTCATTACACACAGACACTGTATCCACTACACACACCCTTCATTTACACTGCATTCATTTACTTCAATCACACTGCATCCACTACACAAGTACACACTCTGAATCCAGTATACACACACACACACACACAATGCATTCACTACACACACTGCATAACATAAGGGATGTGTGCATGGTTTTGGTAGAGGGTGGGCAGCCTTTCATTCTCAGACCCAGGCAACACAATCTCTTGGGCCAGCGCTGTGTTCAGTATTAAGTGTACGCCAATGTTTATCTTTGTGTGTACCTGTAGCTGTGTGTACCACATGCATGTTTCTCTATGTCTCTGTGTGCATCCCATAAGATTGTCTGTGATGCATATTTGGTTGTGTCTGTGAGTGCGTATCTCTCTGTAGGAGAATGGGTTGATGTATTTCTCTGAGTGTGTATCTCTGTCTGTTAGTCTGTATGTGTCTGAGAGTGTGTGTCAGGGTGCCACAACCAGTGGATTTGAAAGGGGCCCCAAGAAATCTGATGGCATCCCTGCTGTACATGTTTGGGAGCTCCCTTTTTATCTCAGTAGGATAATGCATAGTATACAACTAATGCCCCTAGAAGATAATGTACTGATACCCTATGTGCGGAGGACTCTTGGCTCTTTCAGACACCATCCATATCACTTTCTTTTGCACCATTATCCTCATCATCATCAATTATCTCTTCTTTTCGTAGTATAGTAGTTTAATAAAACAGCCATTTGATTTACCAGAGTTCCTGACACCCAGTGTTACCTTTCTTAATAGTGTGATTATGCAGGAAAATAGACTGAAGATCATTCAACAATCAAGATTGATTGAAAAGACTATAGTCCCCAACTCTTCAACACAAAAGGCAAAAAAATATATGTCCTTGGAAAGTAGATTGAACCTGATAACTTATAAACCCTATGTGGTTATAAATTGACATTCACTGTTAGGATGAGCGATAAAATATTTAGGAACGTTATGAGTTTGCAAAAATTGCTCAATACATCTCCTGCGTTCATTGAATCTATTGTTGAATGCCCTCTTTGTGTCTGATATAATAAAAGCCATAGAAGCAAGGCATGTAGAGAAACAACTCATAAAAAACATTTAAGCGAACACTTTGTACTGAAAGGATATCATTTCTTTGGTCCTGTAAGTCACAAAAGGTGCAGTTGCATCTGGTCACTCACTGATTTATTGTATCTGATGATAATTGCACTATACAAGTTTTGTGTTATTAAAGGAATAACAATTATTTAAATATTAAAATGCCACAATTTAATGCAGTTGGTATTTTTTATAGAATTGAACTAGCTAAAGGACTTTTTTCTATTCGGTGCTATGTTTTTTTCACTGAACATTTCCCAATGTATTATTTGTTCAGCCAAATTCTTTGTTTCATTGTACGTATACATATTATTTATTGTTTTTTTGTCTTGTTTTTTTTTATAAAGACAGATTGGGATTTGTTTTGATTACATGTAATAGTATCAATTAGCATGAAGCATGATATCCTAATAAAGAAAAACATGATTAATAAAGAAAAACATGATTAATCAGTCTTTTGTATGGATATAATTAATGTCTAAATCTAAGTTACTATTGTCTCTTATTGATATCGACATATTATATGTGGTGCAGTCACGATTCTTTCAAAGTAAAACTTTATTTTTTATTTTTTTTTATCTTGCACCTGTTCACTTAGAAGCTGCCATCAAACCTTATGCTCTTATGCATTTTCCTCATGAAATTTCCATAATTTTACACAGCCATCATTTTCTACAGCTATTTTATCACTAATATTCGTCAAATTTTGTAACAATGTTATTGCATTGTACTTTTGATCTATAACTGCAGAAAAAAATAGTATTTTAGTGTTTGTGAATTTGTACCACTCTATTTCAGACATGCCTTTTACAGTTTTCAGATGTGTAATTTTGAGTGCTTGCTCTATTCCCCCCCTCCTCCCCCCAGGTCTCACTCAAAACAGTTTAACAGCCTAAGAAATCAAATTACACTATAAATGTGTATATATATATATATATATATATATATATTTTGAGAAGTAAACAATATAGGGAGCTAAGTCTAACTTTGCACCAATCTGAGTCAGATGACAAATGTGTTAGGCAATGGTGCCACAACATAGAAAGAGGATTATCCACATTTAGTTTTTATTTGTCCCCAGAAACACCATACAGTACCTTTGAAATCATGAATATCAATTAAAATGATGCAACTGTGTAAAATTGGAACATTTGTTCCCTTAGAGGAACACTCTAGCACTACACATACAAACAGTAGGGTGTTATACTAGTATTTAGATTGTTGAGCCCCCCAAAACTAAAATTATAGCATTTTCTCAAAATTTTTTCCCCAAAGTCACCCCATTTCCACTGGCTAAGATCATCAGTACTGTTGATCTCAGCCAATCCAATGCTTCCCCAGAGGGAACACTGGGAAGCCAGTGCGCATAAATGTCTTCCACCGGGTTGCGTCAATCAGCATGCCCCTCTACATACTTGGTAGAGCTCAGATATGTGATCTATGTGTTCTTGAAGTTATATTTAATGATACAATTTATATTTTTAGAAGTAATGAAACTAGAAAACCAAATTAAATTAAATTAAATATAATATGATACAATGCAAATACTACACAAACAGAAAATATCAAAACATTTGCAGTAAAAATGCAAATGGAATAGAAAAATATATAAATAAATAAATAAACAGTAGCACCACATCCTGAGAGTGAGACACACTCTCACTCTCACATAGGCGTAGCACCACATCCCGAAAGTGAGACACACTCTCACATGAGCGTAGCACCACATCCCGAGAGTGAGACACACTCTCACATGAGCATATCATCACATCCCAAGAGTGAGACACACTCTCACTCTGACATGAGTGTAGCACCACATCCCGAGAGTGAAACACACTCTCACTCTCACATGAGCGTATCACCACATCCCAAGAGTGAGACACACTCTCACATGGGCGTTGCACCACGTCCCGAGAGTGAGCCACACTAGGAACTAGGCATGTGCATGGGGAAAATATTCGGCTAGGTTTGGCATTCCGAAATTCGGGACTTCGTAAATTCGGCACTTCGACACTTCGGAACTTCGCCACTTCGGAACTTCGGCAACTTTGGCACTTCGGAACTCTGGCATTTCGGGACTTCTCTTGCAGCCGCTTGGTAGATAACTCCCTAATTCCCACGGTATTAGGGAGTTATCTACCAAAAGGCTGAAAGACCAATTTAGGTCTATTATTAGTATTAGTAATTTTGCCTGTGGCTGCTCACTGTTAAAAAAAAAAAAAAACCTGAGCGCAAAAAAAAATCCATCTTCACACGGCAAGGGCTCAGCGCAGACTGAGCTCTGCAGGGTGGGGGAAGGCTTATAAAGCCTTGTCCCGCCCTGCAATTTGACTCATAACTCTCTGGTTACTTAATCCACCAATCAGAGTGTTATGAGTCAAATTACACAGCGTGGGAAAGTTCCAAAGAAATTTCCCACGCTGTGGAAAATGACAAAGAGCACTCTGATTGGTGGATTTCAAACCAACCAATCAGAGTGCTGTGACAGGTAAATGTAGAGACTTACCTGTCAGAGCCCTCTCCGGGTGAAGATGGATTATTTTTTTTTTGCGCTCGTTTTTTTTTTTATTTTTATTGTGTTGGTTATTATGGCTTTTTATTTGGCCTTTTTTGGGGCTGAAAAAATAAGATTTTAGAAGAAAGAAAACATCAAATGGTAAGATTATTTTTATTTTTACAGGTACTTAGTTAAAGAGCCCCCCTCATTATTTTTAGGGTGTAGGGGTGTATTTTTTGGGGAGGGGGTGACTAGAGGTTTGGGGACCCCTAGTCACCTGGGGGGGGGTTAAATTTGTATTTAGGGCCCCCACCCACCGCTCAGGGCTGGGGGCCAGGGGGAGGACATTAGGTCCCCGCCAATTTGTATTTAGGGCCCCCACCCACCGCTCAGGGCTGGGGGCCAGGGGGAGGACGTTAGGTCCCCCCCTTATTCTAGTTTAGGGCCCCCACCCACTGCTCAGAGTACTCAGTGAAGAAAGTGTTGCAAATATCCTTTTTACAAGCCATGCTGCACCTTATCCTTGGCTTTCTGTTCTCAATATGTTGAGGTTTGCCTGTGGTGCCTGCAAGGCTCCAGTGAGGTAAGTCACATTCATAATTTTTCAAATGTACAACAGACCTCCAAGATACAGATTCCATCTTCTCATCAGTACTGTAGCATTCACCTATAGTTACCACTGGTTTGTAGTAAATAGAGACAGCACCCAAATGGCATTCAGGACTCTGATCTGAGACAGTCTAGATCAGGGGAGGTCAGAATGAAGATCCTCAGTGGCTGCAAAACTGCAACTCCCATGATGCTTTGTCAGTCTTACAGCTGGTAAATTCTCAAGGCTTAAGGCAGTTGTAGTTGTTCAACAGCCTTGTAGGTAAAGAGAGCAAAACGTGTAGGTGTATACAGGTATAGCTAAGCAATTTATAAAGATGACACAATGCTCTTCTAATAAATATTTATAAGTGTCTGTGGCACAGTCCGGGCTTGCCACTTCCACATAATGTATTATGTGGCTAAGAAAAGGCAATGTATGCAGTGAAAACCCCATATCTGTTACTCTCTAACATCTTGGATAAACAAACAACTCTATTTGTTCAGTTCAATGAAACCAAATCAGACACGTTATTTTCACATGAAAGCCATTCTGTTGTGTTTGAAAATGAAATTAAAATTTGATGAAATGATAGCTTGCTCCACAGATTCTCAGGTGAGTCAGATGGAGAGTGAACATTTTCACATTTATCACAGGATTAAAAAAAAATAAAAAAACATTTCCTCTCTCTAAATAACAGGCAATCTGGAACTGCTTGGGTTCTGAAAAAATCATACAGAATATGTATACATTTGTGCTCAAAAGTTTGTATACCCTTGGATAATTGGTAATATATTTACCATTTTTAAAGAACACATGAGTGAGCAGGCAAAACACATTTCTTTTATTTCTTATGGGATTCATATCCAACTTTAAGTTATAACAGAATGTCACAATCATAAAACAAAACCTGGCAACATAGAAAAAAATCAAATGACTCCTGTTCAAAAGTCTGCATACCCTTAGTTCTTAATACTGTGTGTTGCCCCCTTTAGAATCAATGACAGCGTCCAATCTTTTGTATTAGTTGTCTTTGAGGCCCCTAATTCTTGCAGGCGGTTTAGCTGCCCATTTGCCTTGGCCAATTGCCTCGAGCTCAGGCAAAGTCTTTGGTCGTCTTGCATAAACCGCACGTTTGAGATCTCCACAGAGTGGCTCGATGATATTAAGGTCAGGAGACTGTGATGGCCACTCCAGAACCTTCACCTTTTTCTGCTGTAACAACTAGAGGGTCAACTTGGTCTTGTGCATAGGGTCATTGTCATGCTGGAAAATCCAAAAGTGTCCCATGCGCAGCCTTCGTGCAGAAGAATGCAAATTGTCTGCCATTATTTTCTGATAACATGCTGCGTTCATCTGGCCATCAATTTTCACAAGATTCCCAGTGCCTTTAGAGCTCACATACCCCCAAAACATCAGCGAGCCACCATCATGATTCACAGTGGGGATGTTATTTTTTGTTTACTATAGACCTTGTTGACCCTTCTTCAAACATAGCACTTATGGTTGTGACCATAAAGCTATATTTTGGTCTCATCACTCCAAATTACAGTGTACCAGAAGCTGTGAGGTATGACAAGTTGTTGTCGGCATATTGTAACCGGGCTTTTTTGGCACAGTAAAGGTTTCTTTCTGGCAACTCGACCATGCAGCTCACTTTTGTTCAAGTGTCGTCTTATTGTGCTCCTTGAAACAACCACGCCGTCTTTATCCAGAGCAGCCTGTATTTCTCTTGAGGTTACCTGTTTTTCTTTGTATCCCGAACAATTCATATGGTAGTTGTGGCTGAAATCTTTTTGGGTCATTTTCAAGGCTTTTGATATCTTTTTATATCCTTTCCCATCTTTATAAAGTTCCATTACCTTGTTACGCAGGTCTTTTGACAGGTCTTTTCTGCTCCATATGACTTAGTATCTAGCCTCCTCGGTGGATTCACGTGAGAGCTAGCAAACTCATGGACTATTTATACACAAACACTAACTGCAATTGAAAAAAAGCCACAGGTGTGGGAAATTAACCATTAATTGCCATTTTAACCTGTGTGTGTCACCTTGTGTATCTGTAACAAGGCCAAACATTTAAGGGTATGTAAACTTTCGATCAGGGCCATTTGGGTGATTTCTGTTATCATTATCATTTAAAGAGGAGTCAAACAACTATGTAATAATAAATGACTTCATTTGATCACTATCCTTCAATAAAATACATTTCTGTGCATGATCAGTGATATTTTCAAAGACAATGCCAGAATTTCACAATTTCCGCCAGGGTATGGAAACTTTTGAGCACAACTGTAGGCTGTGTATTCACACATTAAAGGGTGTATAGCACCATAGCACTATAAGCACTATAACCAAATTAGTTATTTGAAGTGGTCATGGTGTTTGGAGTATGTATGATCAGCATTTCATTTCCGATGTGTAACTTCCCTCCCACGGTGTCTTTAGCCTGCCCTCAATGATAGTAGTGGCCTGGTTAAGTGCATATCCTCCAAGCCCCCTGGGTTGAATGGCAGGCAAGTTTGGCTTTTCTTTTTTTTTTTATTATTTTGTTTGGAGTAATCCTTTAAAGGGTTACTCCAAGCATGATGACTATTTCAGTAATTTGAAGTGGCCTTGGTACTTGGAGCATGTACAGTATGTACAGCTTTTCACTCTGAAATGTTGCACATACTGTGTTAACTCCACTTCCAGCAGCGTCATTAGCTAGTTTAGTACAAAAGTTCCGGGCTGGCTAATTTTAATTCAGTGCATATGGGGCGTCTGTCATGCTGGAGAGAGACAACCAGTAGCAGTATTGCTTCATCTCCACTCTGATCGCGTGTACTGTGCGTTAATGCCCTCCATTGTCAATATTTTAATATTTACTTTGTTCTTTAAAATCTCTGATTCATTTCATCCCTTACCTGAATCACATCATTATTTTATCTTATTTCCACACCAAAACAATTCTAATATTAGTTAACAAAAACTGATTATATTAACATTCTGTCCATGGGTTAGATAATTTTAAAAAGCATGAAGAGAGAATTAAACAAGGTTTCACATAAATGTCACCTTTCAGCTAGACTGAAATGTCCCTGGTGCAAAGTGTTTTCTATGCATCAGAATATATTGTGCAGCCCCTTGATACATGACTCTTGTAATTTTTCTTGCATTACTAAGTCAAGATATGAGCATCATTCAAGTAGTTACTGCCCTGGGGGACAGTTAAGGGCTTCTAGCCCCAAATGTCATCGTTAATACAACCTTTCTTGTGGTTCTTGACTTTCTACAACATTTATGCTAATTGGATTTCCTGCCACAACACACCAGTAAATTCAAATGACACACTTAATCCCTTAAAATGACAAACTGCTAAATGAGATATGCAAGGTTTAATCTTGGCATACCAAGCAGATGAAAGAGACACTGTAGGCACTGTAACTGCTTCATCTTCATGCCCTCAACACCTTCCTGTCCAACTTGTCTTGTTCCAGTAACTTTGTTAGTCCACCTTTGTTACAGCACTGTGGAGTTTGTTGGCACTTTATTAATAATAATAACTAAAAGTGCTAACACTAAATTAGAAAGCCTTCACTAACACACTCCTCACTAACATCACTTCTCATTCCCTTCACTCTTGACATCTCTGTGTTCCTGTACTGCCAGCTCTCATCTGCAGTATTTGTCAAATACACACCTACTCCTTATCATCAGAAGTCTCCCATAACCTCCAGTCCTTTAAAAAGTCCCTTAAAAATTAAACCTCTTGAGGAAAGCCTGCCATCTTCTTGAGTGACTATTCTCTCAATACAATCATCCTCATTAGTTCCCTTACTCACCCTCCAGCCCAACTCACTCTCTAAGCTCTAGGATTTCCTGCTGCATGGAGGCCAGATTCCGGGTGTGTTCCTCCGAGGTAGTTTCTACCATCACCAACCTGCCTGTTAGGCCCTTTATGTCAGATCTCAGGGAGGCCATGTCTGCAGAATGGTAGACTGCAGGTCAGCCAGTAGCGCCTTCAATATGGCTGTTGTCACGGGCGAAGTGTCTCGGGCTGGCGGGTAGGGTCATCTCTTTTTGCCCTAACGACAAGTCATCAGAAAGACCAGAGTAGGTTTCTGGGTAGTCGGCCATCTTGGGTCTAATTGAGCTTTGTGCCTGCTGCAGGAGGTCACCAATAATATGTCCCATGCGGGGCTTTTCCGGCTTTTGTTTTTTGGTCTTTCGACCCATCATGCCTCCATCTTGTGCCTGTGGTTTTTGTGGCCACAGTCAAGGTAGTGTGCGCGATTTGAAGGCTTTAACAGTGTGTTATGCCCAGAGCTCTGTTGAAGTGCGACCATTCAGCTCCGCTGCGAAACTCCGCACCCATTAATGTAATTTTAAACACACACAGGAGACTCCTGCAAGGTCTAGAAAGCTATTAACAGTACAGGGGATAATATATTATAAATTAAACAGAATCTGCAATGAGGGAAGTGTAAACATTAGATCTCACTTTACAGGAATGTTTTATGCAGGGAGGTATGACTAGGGCTGTGTATACAGAGTGATTTAACTCATAAATAGCAGAGAATTGAGCAGTGAGACTGCAGGGGCATGACCCATACATCAAATCTGATTCACTAAGCTAAGTTGTTTTGGTGACTATAGTGTTCCTTAAAAGTTTGAATCACTTACTTTCATGTTTTTTTTTTCATTTTCTTTAGATTATTTTTTTCTGCATGTAATCATTGTGTGATCTTGGGTGCCCAGCAGTACTCACCATAATGACAGGAGAGTTCAACGCTCTGCAAGCCTGCAGAGGCCAGGTATGGGAAAATGATCTTGGGTTGGAAAACCAGCTGATTCAATTTGAAGATAACATTATTAAATGACTGTGTACTCAGCAGAAGAGGGGAAGGTGACAGAGAAAGCTAAATATAAATTGATGGTATTTTCCAATTACATTTTTTATTTTAACATACCTTATTTTTTTTACAGTTTTTACCTTACCAGCTTTTCTCCTATACCCTCTATTTATAGGTTTCACAATTTTGTTATTTTGTTTACTAATTATCGTCCCTGTGAAGTTTAGAATCAAACTCTTCAACTCTATAATCCAAACTAAGCATCATGAACTGAAAGGATGCAGGGATGGGAATGGTTTACTGCTTGCGCTGGGTGTACAAGGCACTCCTGTCACCATAACCTGCAGTGTTTATGGTGCTTGAAGTGTTCTTTAAAGAGAGAAAAAAATATCAGAAAAAGCACAGCTATTTTATATTCATAAATATTTCACAAAGGATACAATATTACCCGTTAAAATCACGATGACTACAATGCAGCCTTCTTTTTATTTTTATTTTTTTTTATTTTTTGCAGTGCATAGAATTGGTACATGCAGGCTCAAAGTGCCCCAAACGCATTCCTCAAGCATTTCCCTTGCGTAACATGCGGGGCATTGTATTATCAGGCACAATTTTATAATAACATAGCAGGTTAAACATTGTAGCTTCGACTATAGGTATATAATTATGTTATAAGCAAGCTTGGTTTGAGCGTGGGTTAGAGTAGTAGTTCATGTTTGATACACGCATACATTGCTAGGCAGGTAGCTCATGCACAGTTGTTATGGTTAATGTGCTAGGCTAGTGTCATGTGGTGTTTGGCAGTGAAGTGTAGTCTATGTGTGACAAGCAGAGTGAGCGACAGCATACAGTTGCAAGAAAAAGTATGTGAACCCTTTGGAATGATATGGATTTCTGCACAAATTGGTCATAAAATGTGATCTGATCATCATCTAAGTCACAACAATAGACAATCACAGTCTGGTTAAACTAATAACACACAAAGAATGAAATGTTGCCATGTTTTTATTGAACACACCATGTAAACATTCACAGTGCTGGTGGAAAAAGTATGTGAACCCCTAGACTAATGACATCTCCAAGAGCTAATTGGAGTGAGATGTCAGCCAAATGGAGTCCAATCAATGAGATGAGATTGGAGGTGTTGGTTACAGCTGCCCTGCCCTATAAAAACACACACCAGTTTGGGGTTTGCTTTTCACAAGAAGCATTGCCTGATGTGAATGATGCCTCGCACAAAAGAGCTCTCAGAAGACCTACGATTAAGAATTGCTGACTTGCATAAAGCTGGAAAGGGTTATAAAAGTATCTCCAAAAGCCTTGCTGTTCATCAGTCCATGGTAAGACAAATTGTCTATAAATGGAGAAAGTTCAGCACTGCTGCTACTCTCCCTATTAGTGACTGTCCTGTAAAGATGACTGCAAGAGCACAGCGCAGACTGCTCAATGAGTTGAAGAAGAATCCTACAGTGTCAGCTAAAGACTTACAAAAGTCACTGGCAAATGCTAACATCCCTGTTAGCGAATCTACAATACGTAAAACACTAAACAAGACTGGATTTCCTGCGAGGATACCACAGAGGAAGCCACTGCTGTCCAAACAAAACATTGCTGCACGTTTACAGTTTGCACAAGAGCACCTGGATGTTCCACAGCAGTACTGGCAAAATATTCTGTGGACAGATGTAGCTAGTGCCCTTTGTCTGTGGATCCCCCTCCATCGTGAGTTCAGATCGTGGGTCTCCGGGGTTCCCAGCTTGCGGTATTCCCCGCAGGTGGTCGCACTGCGGCCTGGAGTCTCCTCCAGTTGGGCCCCCGACCCAGAAGAGGGGCAGGTGTCCGCTGCTGTGTGGCAGGTAGGTAGTATGTCAGGGGTTGCTGGCAGGTCCCCATGTTTGGCTATGCGGTCCCAGAATGCTTGGCAAACAGCCTCAAAGCGGGTTTCAAAGGCCTCTCTCCAGCTCTGGTGATGCCTCGTGGCTCACCCAGGTTTTCCGGTCAGGCCCTGGTGCAGTAGCTCTCGGTGTGTACTACAGTCACTTGGTTGCTTAGTTTGGACCGGGATATCCCCTACCGGTCCAAGGGGGAGGGGGGGAGGAGTTTGGAGGTGTGCTGAGCCTGTTTGCCAGATCTCTAGTGAGGAGAGTGGCCGCCTCTCCTCGGTTTGATCCCCAGCAGGCCTTAACGGGATTTTAGGGTTCCCAGTGGTTGTTAGGCGAGATTCGGGTGTCAGTCGGTTCCCCCGGGTATCCCCTCCTCGATTATCGTCCTCCTGATACCAGACGTGCTGGTTTTTGGGGTAATGCAGCCTTCTTAACAAATACAAAACTATACTGCAATATTAAATGTCTTAACTAAAAATAATGATAATAACGATGAAGTTAAATAATATAGTAACAGTAAAAGTTGCTGTGTTGTAGGTTCATTTTTGGTTTTCCAAATATTTTATGTGGAAAACCATATATGGTCACTTACTGGCCTTACCATCTTGAATAATAATAATTTGGTAACCCCTGATCTCAAAGGACAAAGTGAAATATCAGCTTTTAAATGTCAATGCCTTGGTCCCCTGAAATAAAACACAATTAATTCATGAAACCTTAAAGATAAAACCGTAAAGAAATATATATATATATATATAGTTGACCATAATGTAAAATACTAGCCAACTTTATACATAGTATATTGAAAATTTGCTATGGAGAAACAGTGCAATTTATTATATATTGTGCAGATGTTCTCAGATGTAATTCTAAATATGATTGTATGGAATGGCTGACAATATTGTGTTTCCTATGATGGTAGAGCTACACTGTAAATGATTGTAATATATATGTGACGGGAGTCACCATCACTGGGGATGGAAGACATACACTATATGTAGGTCCCCAGATTCCTTTTGGGTTTTTGTCACCCTGTGCCCATTATTGGTGCAGTGTATGTTGAATGTATTGCTTGTCTATGCTTCTCCCCTTCACCTTTTTACTGTCCTATTGTTTCCCCTTAAAGGGAGTTGCCCCAGGGACACTGCCAGACGTAGTAATTTATTATTTCAAGGAACAAAAAACAAATGGAATGTAAAAAAAAGCAGTTAATATCAGAGATGCAGACAAAGCAAAAAGCTAGAAGTTTAGCATGCATTTTCAGTCAGGTATTAGATCCACAGTGTTGGTGGAGGTATCTTCCTCAATATGCTGCAGTCTACTCTATCATAACCCTCCTTCAATAACTATTCTCTTGGCTTTCTATTCAGCTTTGCTCTATTTTCCCATATCTTACTCTCACCAAAACCAAAAAACTCTTTAGTATCCTAGATTTAACTTTTTCTTAAAAACCGAACACCCCATGTATCCCAATACTAAATGTAACCCTAGTCTAATCCAAAATCCTATAATCCAAACACCACGTAAACCTCAAAAATAGCCATAACTAGGTACATTAAAAATCACCTAACTAGAACAAGCAGAAACAGGAAGTTTAATATAAAGTCTTATAAAAACCATAGAAATAAAAATATATCTGACCTGTAAGTATCTGGGATGGCATACAAACTGGGTGGAAGTATTCGCCTCCTGTCTTTAATAAAATTTAGATTATTCGGTCACTGAAGCTGGAATAATCTTGAATTTTATGGTAAAATAGGAGGCTTCATGTTTGCTGTTTTAAAGCGTGGAAACAAGGAAAAAGGAACATGTGACGGTTGTCAAAAATTAAAGGTACGGAAGGTAGACTCTAGACCAATCAGCGGATGATAGAATGTCTGCAAGGGATCTCCCAGCCATAAAGGCAGAAGAGGCTGCAACACCTCTGACTGAGTAAGCTCCAAAAGATGAATCTACGCCCACTAAAGCGAGAAGCTTTATGTGGTCGACCATATGAGATAAACAGGGGGCCCGTAGGAGTACGCAAAGGTGAAGTAGACGAGACGTAGTGCTGAACATAATGAGCAACACAGAGAGTAAGGATAATTAAGGGTAACTAATCGGAATTAGTTATAGTGTGGCGAGAAATGTTGAAACGTACACCTTGGGGAGTGGAGTCAATAGCATGGAAGTCAAATGCCTGAATATCAGATACTCTTCTAAAAGAAACTAAGCAGAGAAGAAAAGCTAACTTGGCAGTTGTCAAAGAGAAAGCACGCTGAAAGCATGCCATGCCTCCAAGAATGACATAACAAGAGCAACATCCCAAAACTGAGAATATTTTGGGGCAGGAGGTCAAGCAAGACGAATGCCTTGCAACAATCTACAGATAGAGGGATGTTCTTCTTGTTACTTGCTGCTATTCCTCTTGCTTCCAGGAGATCTTTTAGCGTGGACCGTTTTAAAATACAGTAGTCAATCTCCATCCACGGTCCATTTAGCACTGCTGAATCCTCTGGTACTTGTTCCTCTGTGAACTCTAGATCCTGACGCTGCCAACCAATGCAGCGGAGCACTAGTCCTAGCAGGGACTCTCCCCCGCTGGTTACTCCACGATGTACTCAGGAACAAGTAAATTACTCCAAGGGAACAGCCAAGGGAACACAGCAAAGTAAGCCTGTATAGAGGTGGAGAGCAGTCCAGTTATGCGAGCTAAGTCGTGAAGACGGATAGGCCATGAGGCTAGAATTTTCCTGATGTCTTTTTTGATGTTGATCTTGACCAAAGGGAGTTGCAGGAGATGGAGTGAGGATGGATTTTTGGACATTGATCACGAATCCTAAATTCTGTAATAGGGCAGTGGTCATGGCTGTATGAAGGCAGAGTGTCAAGGTCCTGTGCCATAAGGAAGATATTGTCCAGAAATATGTTGGCTCGGATCCCCTGAGAGTGTACTAAAGACATGACAGGTTTCATCAGCTTGGTGAACTGCAATAAATCCTGATGCCATCTGAAATGTAGAAAACAGAGATGGGCCAGTGTTATAGGTACTGTGAGATACGCATCCTTCAAGTCGAAATGGGAGAACCAGTCTCCCTCGCAAGAGATGGATTTCCTCCATTTGAAATGCTGGTAAACAAAAAAATTGTTTAGGTCTTTTAGATTGATAGCTGGTCAAAAGTCTTCTGACTTTTGCTTATGAATCTGTGAGGGAACAGAGAATGTTCTATAGCGCCTTTGGTGACAAGGTCGTTTAGCGCGGCCTCTAGGTGCGCATTGTCCTCTTGAGACATATACAGAAGAGGTGGAGGAGAAACCTTTGCAGAGAATCGTTTGCAAAATCTATATGGAAACCTGATATGGTTTTAATAGAGACCACTGTTGGAAAAAAAGGGTTAATTGGCCTGCAACAGGAACTTGAGAATAAGGAAAGTCGATTACCTGTAGCAGTGCGGCAGCAGAGGGAAGCAGAGCCACGTCCTCTGTTGTATCCTCTAGAGGGATAGAACTGTTTGTGGTAGAAACGGATATTGCCCGAATTCCATGCGTCTGATGGTTGAGGCATGTAGCATGTGAAGGCAGCTCTGCTAGTCATTCGGCCCCTATAGCAACCAGCTCTCCTGGAAAAACACTTGGTTCTAAAACACCCTGCGAAGGGACAATAGTGCCTTGTTGAGGGAGGTAAACACGGATACATCTTTATTTAGGTCACGTATGAATCTGTCTCCAAATAACAGTCCGTTAGCCTCTGGAGCAAGTTCTTTGGTGCCTAGCTCTGGCAGTTTGGCATCAATTTTATATAACACGGCTTTATGCTTTTCAATTGAAATGTCTACATAGGCATTGCCCAACAGGCATAACACTCTTTGTGCCCATTCACGCACCACATGTGCGTCGAAGTTGCCACCTGCTAGTGTTTTGTCAGCAATTAAAAAGATCTGGATAAGCGGGTCCGCAATATCCATCAGCTTGTCTTGTGTTGCTTTTAAGCCTATTTCGATGCCTTTATGGGAATCTTTACCCGTTTTAGTTAAAAAATTGACCAGGAGTGGGTCAAGTTCAGGGGTGACAGCCACCTTATCAGGGATTGTAGGCTGTGGGCATTCCGCCCTCAATTTGGCCCTAACCTCCTTTTATTAGTGGTTTACAAAGCCATAATCTGCAGTATTTTGGCAACATGATCAGGAAGTGTCCATTCAGTCTGATACAGCGTGGGTCAAAAAGAGGACAGACTGTGGTATCCAGTAGAATATCGTCCTTAGTATTATCCAAATTAGTATAAGTCAAGGGATCAGTGCCCTGAAAGGACTGGTTTTGGGGTAGGAGGAAAGTCTCCGTAACATATTCGGAAGGGGAAGGGGAAGGATCTCATGATGTTTTGTTATGTGGGAGATCCTCATCTGAATATGCACTTCTATTCGTCCATCCATGATAGCCAAAGGTTAAACCTTTATTGAAAGTGCGTTTGGCATGAGACAGTTTAGCAGTCTTTGCTGGGACTTTGCCTTTGCCAGCAGAATCACTGTCACCCTTCCAAGGGCGCTTGTGTGGGGCTTCGTCATGGTCAGAAACTCTGGAATCATCAGAGTCAGACAACTGAGTGATGGTGGCAGTAGGGGCCGCTAATGGTTGATCACGGAACGCTGCCAAGGCCATGGGGATAGTGTCTGCAATTGCAGCTTGAAGCCAGGCCTTTAGTTCTGCTGACACTGCAGGTTCTGGATGGTCTGACATGTTGACCAGTATAATAGTAGTGGGATCACCACACAATCAGTATTCCAACAATTAAATATAATTTTTTTTAACAACATTTGTCATCCACAAAACCAAGGCAGAAGCTTTTCTAATTAGGGTTCACCCTGGTAAAATATTTAGTCACCTTTAAAAGGGACCTAGAGTAGATTTAACAAAGGTTAAAGACAAGGCATCAGTGTGGTTCATTCACAGACTTATGGCAGTTAGACTGCCAATATAATAACGACAGGTGTAACCTGTGTAATCAATTTAAATCAATATGGAAATAATATTTAAGTTTTTAGAGGTGTAGTTCCGATCGGGGAGAATATCACGAAATCTGTTGAAAATGAAACACATACAAATGGGCAAAAAAGCGCATCTATCTAATGATGCGGACAAGGGTGGTTCGGATTTATATCACAGGTGTGACCATGTTGGGCCGCAGCCACAGCAGTGGCTCGGCGTGACAAAGACTTGGACAAAAAAACACAATAGTAAGGTGCAAAGTACAAATAAATAAGACAGATTAAGGAAAATAACAGGGAAGGGAACCTGGACAGTGGGCTGACCAGAGAAAAAAGATCGGTCTCATGAAGGACAGAGATAAAATAAACACACAAATTACTTCATGAAACAACAGAAAATGAGAAATAGTCAAATTAAAAGGAGTAAAAATATCCTATAAACAAACATAATGCAGATTAATAATATACACTGCTCAAAAAAATAAAGGGAACACAAAAATAACACATCCTAGATCTGAATGAATTAAATATTCTTCTGAAATACTTTGTTCTGTTCATAGTTGAATGTGCTGACAACAAAATTAAAAAATGGAAATCAAATTTTTCGATCCATGGGGGTCTGGATTTGGAGTCACACTCAAAATTAAAGTGGAAAAACACACTACAGGCTGATCCAACGTTGATGTAATGTCCTTAAAACAAGTCAAAATGAGGCTCAGTAGTGTGTGTGGCCTCCACGTGCCTGTATGATCTCCCTACAATGCCTGTGCATGCTCCTGATGAGGTGGCAGATGGTCTCCTGAGGGATCTCCTCCCAGACCTGGACTAAAGTACCTGGACAGTCTGTGGTGCAACGTGACGTTGGTGGATGGAGCGAGACATGATGTTCCAGATGTGCTCAGTTGGATTCAGGTCTGGGGAACGGGCGGGCCAGTCCATAGCATTAATGCCTTCGTCTTGCAGGAACTGCTGACACACTCCAGCCACATTAGGGTCTAGCATTGTCTTGCATTAGGAGGAACCCAGGGCCAACCGCACCAGCATATGGTCTCACAAGGGGTCTGAGGATCTAATTTCGGTACCTAATAGCAGTCAGGCTACCTCTGGCGAGCACATGGAGGGCTGTGCGGCCCCCCAAAGAAATCCCACCCCACACCATTACTGACCCATTGCCAAACCGATCATGTTGGAGGATGTTGCAGGCAGCAGAATGTTCTCCACGGCGCGTCTCCAGTGTGTGCTCAGTGTGAACCTGCTTTCATCTGTGAAGAGCACAGGGCACAAGTGGCGAATTTACCAATCTTGGTGTTCTCTGGCAAATGCCAAATGTCCTGCACGGTGTTGGGCTGTAAGCACAACCCCCACCTGTGAACGTCGGGCCCTCATACCACCCTCATGGAGTCTGTTTCTGACCGTTTGAGCAGACACATGCACATTTGTGGCCCGCTGGAGGTCATTTTGCAGGGCTCTGGCAGTGCTCCTCCTGTTCCTCCTTGCACAAAGGCAGAGGTAGCGGTCCTGCTGATGGGTCGTTGCCCTCCTACGGCCTCCTCCACATCTCCTGATGTACTAGCCTGTTTCCTGGTAGCGCCTCCATGCTCTGGACACTACGCTGACAGACACAGCAAACCTTCTTGCCACATTGATGTGCCATCCTGGATGAGCTGCACTACCTGTGGGTTGTAGACTCCGTCTCATGCTACCACTAGAGTGAAAGCACCGCCAGCATTCAAAAGTGACCAAAACATCAGCCAGTAAGCATAGGAACTGAGAAGTGGCCTGCAGAACCACTCCTGTATTGGGGGTGTCTTGCTAATTGCCTATAATTTCCAAATGTTGTCTATCCCATTTGCACAACAGCATGTGAAATTGATTGTCACTCAGTGTTGCTTCCTAAGTAGACAGTTTGATTTCACAGAAGTGTGATTGACTTGGAGTTACATTGTGTTGTTTAAGTGTTCCCTTTATTTTTTTGAGCAGTGTATATAGAGCTAAAATTGGAATAGACTCATCTGGGAGGCAAGCAGCAAAGAAAGAGGCGTTGGGAGGAGTTTCACAGACTTATATGTTCTAAGATGTGTCCTGATTGGTTCATTTTTTTCTCTATGTGTTTAACTATTTCTTTGCTGCTGGGAGGTTCAGTAAACATGGTTAAAGCAAATATGAAGCCTTGTCTTGCCATTAACTTCCTTCTAATTCACAGTTTTATTGAATAACCCCTTTTATCCATGTCAGTATCCAAAGGTTTTTTTTTTTTTAGAAAGGCTACGGTGCCTGTGAATAGAATAGCTCCATAGTAAATGCAGTAATTCATTCAGAAATGCCATAAGGTGACCTTAGAATAATGGCCATAATGTAACGTTTATGTTTTGATACATGAACTTATGAAAACATGCTGTTCCTTTAAGCATATTAAAATGCATCCTTCTTTTTTACTTGTAATGAAATTGAATGCATGAGAACCTACTTAATCTTGATTTATTAAAATGATCCATAGATGCTTGAGAAGGTTCACGGCCCAGTTTAATTTAACATCCTTCAGATTGAAATCTGGTGGGAATATAATAGTTAATCAAAATAATTTTTTGTTCATTGTTTCTCATTTCACTTACATGATTTAATTGGGGAAATCTTTGTTTACTTTTGTGTTATATATTTAGATGTTTCTCAAATGATTATGTTCTTTATGGAAATAAGATTTGTCTAAGTAAAGAGAATATTATTATCCAGAAGCAAACAGACCTTGAGAAATTTAAAGCGAGCAGTGTTAATGTAAATGTGTTTATCAAATGCGGAATATTACTTACTTGCTAGATAACTTGCTAAAAAATAATTATGGGTATCAAAGAAAGGTTTTAAAAAAATATATATTTATTTTTCTTGTGCAAGGAATTTACAAATGTGCATACAATGCGACAACAGAGTGTATATGCAGTACATCAGGAACAATAATATGACATGAGTTAGCAATGCACATTTTTAAGGAATAAAGCAACTCTGTGCTAATTCTGTCAGTGAACGAGAGAGTAGGAGTGGTAGTAATGGCAAGTTAGGTACACTGGCAGACTAGGAAATCACAAAAAAATAAAAATAAAGTGTGAGATAAGTCATATGAGGTCTCCATATTATACTTAGGAAAATGCCATGGTCAATAATGCTTTAGATTAAACTACTTAATTCAAGAGCTCAGGACAAGGGACTTGTTTTTCATCCAAACAAATTAGAGAAGGGCTAAATAACTTTTACTGTGCTTGTGAGAGTAGAAGGAAGACCCTGCCCTGTGGGTCTTAGGTAGGGAACCAGTGATTAGGTTGTAGGGTTAATATGTGGTAAGGACTCAGGGCAAACGGGGGGGAGGGGAGGGTGAAGGAGTTGGCAGTTCTAATGTCCCAGGTCGTAAGATGTGTGTAGGCATCCAAAATCAACAGTGTAAAACTTGAAAACTTAAAAAGTAATGAACAAAAATAGCAAGTGGGATCAGTTTAAGGGTCAGTCCAGCACTGCACAGGCAGCTGAGGTTTCCTCCTTTCTCGGCCGGTGTCAGCGGCGGCACGAGGGGTGAAGGGAGCGATTTTGTAGACATCTCATCTTCGTCCTGGACATGCAGTGCCATCAGAGGGTAAAGTAATGTCCAGTCACTGCAGGAAGAGACAGTCCCTGCTGACTGTCAGGACTAGTAAGGGTCCCCACTTGTAGTTGATGTTTGCTGAACAGCCATTCTTTGTAATTGGTTGGAATGGCTGTCTCCATATCCTGAAGGAACTGAAGTTGCATCTCCTCAAATGGAAGCAGTGCTCTATTTTTCCCTGTATCTTGCAGCACAAGCTTGTCTCGTAACAGTGGAAAGTGTACCAAGACATCCCGGGGAACGTCAGCCAGTGCCCTGTTTGACTTGGCAAGCCGGAAGCAGCCATCAACTTGAATGCATTTTGCAGCGTATTGGGGCAACAGAGTAGCCAGTAGGCATCTGAAAAAGTTCATGCTCAGTAACGGATTCGGCAATACCATTGATTTTGAGGTTATTGCACCTCTGCTCATCATCCAGGGTATCAAGTCTAACTTGCATGACTTTGTGGGATGCCTGGAGTTGTTGTATCAGCTCATTGGTGTCTGTCTGTGTTTAGTCTGGAACGTTTAGTCTGGAGCATGCGGGGAGATTTAACCTCCCTTTTATCAATATGTCGGTCATAGTGACCCCCATAGGTTATAATGCGGGGGGGTGCATAGGAATAATTATTTGTTACAAGGAGGGAGCTGGTGACCACTATACTGATTTATATTTAGTTTTATGACAACAAGCAGCCACTGACTGCTAGCTGTCATTTAAAACTGGATATAAATGTATCCTATATAGAAGTGTTAGAGCTACAGTAAGAGTACATGTAAAAAGTAGCTTTTTAGATCTAAATAGCTACTTTTTCATATTGCAATATTGTTATAGTTTTTACTATAACTTTTGGTTACACGTACTCTTACTGTAGCTCTCTATCACTTCTATGTAAAATACAGATTTTTATATCCAGTGTTAAATGACAGCGAGCAGCCACTGTTTAGGCGACATTCCCCTACTACCTGTGCCAGGTCCCCTCTTATTGCACTAGTGAATGGGCTGCCCAGGCACTAGTACTTTTACATTTGTTTAGTTGACATGCCCTACTAACGGCATACCGCGAGTAGGGGCATGCTGGAGGACTTAACCTCCCTTTTATTAATATGGGGGTCATAGTGACCCCAATAGGTTTTAATGCGGGGGGGGGGGGGGGTAGGAATAGTTATTCATTTATTACAGGGAGGCAGCTGTAATTATCGTTTTGTATGAATGATTTCGTTCTAAATAAAAATGTAATTCGTCAATCCCAAATTTCGTCAGCAAAACATTAGTTTTCGAAAGAAATTAATTTAAAAAATAATTTGTTTTCATCCATTAGGACGAAAACAGCACTGCCGGCTCCCTCCTTGCTTTTTTCTTTTTGCGAGTTTAGATGTTTGCGTATGAATACGTAAACCAATAAATTGTGAGCTACTAGTACCTAGGGCATCTTAAGGGTTAAACTTTACCCATTCAGCACCAGTATCCGGTTTGGAGTTAACCTCAGGACTTTTCCTGTATAAACCACAAAATCTACCTCAGAATTGTTGGTATTAATAGAATTTATTTCAGTGGATCTTCTTCTATCTCTACCAGCTGTGCAACTAAATATAGCCACATTAGGACTATATCACTTGGATTTATGTTTAAGTATTTTGTTTTAGTCCTTCATCTAACATTGAGTTTAGATAAATGTTCTATATGAAGTAATACTTAAGCCAATAAATTGTGAGCTACTAGTACCTAGGGCTTCCTAAGGGTTAAACTTAACCCATCCAGCACCAGTTTCGGGTTTGGAGTTATCCTCAGGACTTTTCCAGTACAAACCACAGAATCTATCTCAGTAGTGTAGGTATTGATATAATTTATTTCAGTTGATCTTTTTCTAACTCTACCAGCTTTGCAACTAATTATAGCCACAGGATTTTCCTACATAAATGAGTCTTTAAATTACATCTATTTACTAAAATTAACCCCTGGGAGTTTGAGTACTTCCCAACAGGATTTCTTTGTAGACCTGTGGCTATTTGTGGCTACACTAGAGGTGGATTGTTTTAAGTGTGTAGTGCTTCTCCCTTCTAATACTACATCCCGTTCACTTGAATTCGATACCTTATGGTTTTGATACATACCAATCTGGGATATAGTTTAAATTCTATTTTAGAAGCTCACACTGTTTCTATTTTTCACTATAATTAATACTGAGCTATGTAGGTTTCCCCTTCTTTTTAATTGATAGTGATTATCACTTTTCGTTGCACCTATTTTGTATGTCAATTTATAATAAAGTTTATTACCTATAAGATGATTTTTTAATTTAGGTAATTCCAGTTAATTTAGGTAATTCCGGTGGAGTACAGCACCTCCCTTTTTCTAGTAGGGAGCAGTCTGATTGGCTAAAAGCAGTAATCTGACACTCGCAACCAATCACAGCTACCAATTCTGCTCAGGCTAATACTTCCTCATTAACCAAAACTACACAGAGAGGATGTGTAAACTATTGTTTAGTATTAAAACATAAAACATGAAAACTGTTTAAATCTGTCTTAAAGTGCAGCACCAGGATATTCCAGGCACTAGAACTAGTTCGATGAGAGGAAGCAGATACACTTCAAAAAGTGCCCCTTTAAATGGTTTGAAAAGCTAAACCAAACATATTAAATGGAGGCCATAAACAAATGTAAATTTTATTTTGCAGCCAGAGTGGCACTTCCTACTTCTTCTCGGTGTCTTCTCCAGTAAACCATCAGTGGAAATGATTGCTCAGGTTGTTGGAATGATGGTCACTGTTTGAGCAAGCTTGCTACTTGTCTACTGCAGTAACAAACCATTGTACTTCAATTTGAATGATAGCCAGCACCTAGTTAGGATGTCCTCTATCAATTACCTTGATAGGAGTTCCAATATCAATTGAATATACAAATCTTTCTCTGCAGGAACAATTAGGATACTGTTAATGACTGAACATAATTAACACTATATACACAATCCATTCAAGGGGTATTATGACACATTTTTGCAAAGTACGGCTAGTCACTCACAACACCTTAACATAAACCCTAAACAAAGTACATTTTTAATTAAGAAAACACATTTTTATGACCGATTCTTAAATGGGCATAGTCTTCATTTAACTGTTTTACAACAGCAGCAGAGATGTTGCACAAGATTGTACATGGTTTATATATTGATCAAGAGTGAAAATAATTAAGCACCAGACTTCACAAGATAATTGAAACTCAAGTACAAACGGATTGTTATTACTGGTCTAAGCTGATCATTCCTGTGCTAATACATTGTACTAAGTGTAGCCTCATGCTTTAACATAACATGCAAAATGAAACTCTTTCATTTGTTCCACTTTATAGGTCATTGGTCCCAAAGCCAGTAAATAACCACTTTATTATGACCACTAATAGGTCAATTGAATACACATTCCATTCCCCAGCTTTCAATTTATTTTGTATGGTGCTATGCAAATAATAGTAATATAATATAGGAGCATGAATAACAGAATACAGCAAATAATCATCAGAGGCAAAGTGTTGCTCTTCAATTAAAGTGACACTATAGGGTGTAACACATTTTCTAAAAATACATCATGGAGATAACGCAAGAAAAAAAAAATAATAATATAGAAACGAAAATACTTGGTTCTCTATCTCCCTTGTTTTAGGAATTCTGTCTTGATATCCTGAGAAGATGGATTATCTAATTTTGTTACATGACAGGTGGCTTTGTATTTTGCATAACTCTTTCTTTACTAAACTCCATAGCAGTAAAGAAAAGGATAGTAAGAACCAATCAAAAAACAGTAGGAGGCATAGTATTCGCAGTGAACATGCTCCTCCTCTTTCTTTACTGCTCCATCAGCAGACAGGTCAGAATATTGAGCTCCTTATATTTATTCATGTTTTTTGATATTTATTATAGCTTATATTCCTTGTTATATATTGTATGTATTTATTAAGCCTTTATTGTTCAGCTGTCACTCCTTACCTGCCCCTTCTTACCTCTATCCTACTCAGGATATTTTCTGGGGCTTTCCTACCCCACAGCCTTTATCAGACTGTACATTGGGCACTCTGCTTCTTCCCCCTCCGGTTTCACTTTACAGCGGGCGATTTCGCCATTTTTTTCCCTTCCACCACTTGGAATTTAGTCCCTGCAGAGCCCTATCACCTCCCGGCCACCTAACCGCGCGTTTCCACGCTCCGACCGACGGCTGGATCTATTTCCCACATTTTCAGTGTGGCGACGGCCATCTTGGATCTCGAGACCCGCGGCCGCCATCTTGGAGCATCACCCACTTGGTCTGCCTCAGTTTTGGAGATCTATATCTGCATTTGTCCTCCAAGGTAAGCATTTCTTTATTTATATCTTGTTTGCAATATACTTTATGTTAATCCATCTGTGCAACCCAGTTGGTCACTTATATCCCCTTACTGTTTCAGATTCAACAGTCAACTCCCATTATCCTCATCCAGGCAGGGGTCCCCACAGAAAGTCTCTACTACTCCTGTGGTATATGTGCACTCTAGGGCTCAATACCCTGTGCACTCTGGGGTGAAGCCCCATAAAGGTGCTGCCTATCAGTGCTCTGCTGTCGTAATCTCTGCCTACTGGGTGCTGCCCAGACTAAAAGCTCAATACACCCTGCTGGGGTGATATATATATATATATACAGTACTGCTGGTACTTTTGCTCCTGAGCTATTCTACCCTGCTGGGGTTATATCTGGTACTGATGGTACCATAACTACTGTAGGACCCTCTCCTACTATTGACCCCTGCCTCAACTGCCCTCTTATCAGTGCCAAATCCTTGCCATACATTATGGAAGAATCACAGCCTACCCCAGTGGACTTTCAGTCCATGGTTAATGCGGCGGTACTGTATATATCTATCACCCCAGCAAGGTGTATTGGGCTTTTAGTCTGGGCAGCACCCAGTAGGCAGAGATTACAACAGCAGAGCACTGATAGGCAGCACCTTTATGGGGCTTCTATGGAAAGGCCCTATCTCACATGATGAAAAAACAACGGAAAAAGGGGCACGCCTTTAATGTAATATATAAAATAAACACACAAGATAATGTATAGCTAAAGGTAATAGTTCACAATAAATAAAGAAAGTTCTTGTAGAATAGTGATGATTCGTCCCAAATGAAGACTTGTGTTTTCAATGAGCCATATGTGGAGAGAAGTAGAGAGGAGATCCAATGGTACAGTATGTAGGTATATATGAATATATATAAAATAAATTAGAATTACTCACACTTTCCAGAGCTAAAATCCAGCTCTGATATGAAGTGCGTGAAGTGGAATGATCCCCACTCAAGGATATATGGAGTTGTAGCTTGAAATTAGGTGGTCCACCGGGGATTCCGACTG